TGACAGGATATGACCAACTACGGGGGGAAAAACGGAAAGTCCCGCGATACCGCTAGAGGTGAGTCCCTATCCTTGCTTTTGCCCTTCTCTCCGTACCCGCCAGAGTAGCTTTTCCGTTTTCCAGCAGTTGATTGCGTTGAGAGGAATCAAAGGGATCCAATTCTTGCAGACTGCGGACCGTCCGTCATGTTCGGATACATGACGGTGTACATACGGTATATCACCTAAGGAATTAGTCCTGCTCCAGCGTACATAGACGCAGATGTAAGGAGAGCGGGAACATCGAAGGAAATTATGTTCCGATCCCGGGCGACGATCAGCTCCCGTGTCGGGAGTCGCTTCGGGAAAAGCTTCGGAATACCAGCGCTTTATCTCTCAGGTCTCCCAAATCGATTCGCGCGACCGGAAGACGTGTTGTGAGTCACGAATCGGGGGAGTGTAAATATTACGCAAACCCTGCTGCGACTTGTTCAGCAATCAACGACCCTCCTTTCTTCGGGGATCCGTGACAACCATTCGACATGTAGTGAAGTTTTCTATTCACGTCTCCCGAACGGCTCCAGACCGTCGAGGACATCTCCCGAGAGGTGTCTCGCTCGAAAATCTGCTTCCTGATTCCGAGGTTCACGACGAAGGCATCACCTCAATCACAGTCCTAAGAAGCGGAGCACGGAAGGTCAGCAATCCTAGAAGTCCGAGAGACATCGATTAAACTGCTCCGTCAGCTGACCTAAATGTGGGATTCCCAACGCACACAGTCGTCCATGAGACAACAACAACCGATAACACCAAGATGACAAGAATCTTCGCTTTGCATTGACAAGCGTTTTGGGATTATGTCGCACAAAATGCGAGACTATTCCGACTTAGGAGAGTCGGTTTCGTTAACGAACGATCACTTTCATCATGAGCATGACGAGCTATTTGTCAGAATTCATAGGTATGACCCGGATTAGTTCCTCTTCTGGATGGGTACGCTATTTCAATTCGCGAGTTTTCCTTGGTAGAAATCGAGGAGTGGAACCTGCTCGATTAGCCAACCGGATGACCTCCCAGCCTGATCGGCCCAGAAATTCGCTCTGAGTGTCCTGATCCTATAAATTGATGCAATGCATCGACAGTCCCTCGAGCGATAGAAGTTCTTGACATGCATTAATTTTCACGAATTTTGCTCGTCAATAATTAAGAGGCCGGCCTCTTCATCCGGTCTGGCAGACCCTGTCGCGATGATGGCTGATTGGGTGGGTCCCTGTGCATTATGTTATATTATTCCCCATAAACCATCTAGACTTCTCCGTAGTGATATTGACGAACCGGTCCCTCAGGAGATGTTTTCATATGAGGCTGACTTATGATTTCTCTTATGTCACATTCAATTATTAGTGCCTAGTTTAGATTACCTCCCTAGGGTTCAAAGATCAGCAAAGCTATGTGCTCACTCCGGTATCAGGTTCGTCGTGTGATGAGTTGATTAGATACCACCGCGAATTTGTCCTCAAGTGACCTCGGGATCAATTCGTCACAATAATGACATGGGCTAGATTGAGAAGTGAACCTCGGCGTACGGACATTCGTGTATCGGCGGGAGATTGTTCGAACAATGAGCGAAAAAGAGTGTCTCACTCAAGCTGACCAGCAAACGTTTGCTATCGTGGAAGACTGTTTGATTAGATGCCCTTCGAGGAGCAATAACTCACAAAACTTGCCCTCCCTGACCACGCAGGGATGGTTCCGAGAAGCTCTCGAAGTGAGGTGGTCGATCCGATCTGCGGGGTAAGCCATCGCCCGATCGGTTCCTGTCTCTGGATCCTATTCGTGAATGCCGCCCTGACATTGGAACTCGATTATGGTCGGACATACAATCATCTTCGGGGCCCGCAATTTTTCGAAGCGTCAACCAATCAAAAAGCGTAAACGGAATTCGTTTCGCGGGAGCCCTCAAGAGGGGAATGGTGCTGCCACTCGTTCTGTCTTGAATAAATATTTCGATAAGGACACGATTCTTCAATGCTTCGGGATTTCAGGTGAGACATCCTTCACAAAGCGCTTTCGCCTCTCGGTCGCGAATCCTTCCGACACGCGCAGCGTAACTCGGAAGTAATCTTCTTCGCTGTCCGGTCAGAGATTCGAATGAGAAGAAGCCTCTTATCCGTACGGATTCCTCAAATCGAGCAACTCCTTCAGTCGCAGCTGTGCTTCTCGCTGAGTCAAAGGAGGCATCTCCCGGATTTTCCAGAGCCGGGAGTATCTCGGAGGGCTCGCAATCTTCGCCGCCGTGCCATATCTTGACCCCGAAGCGAATACCCTACAGCTCTCGAATCTCTTGAAATGATTTCTGCCGTAGCAGCGAGAGAAGAAAACAAGACGGATTGAGGAGTGGGGAGAATTGGTGAAGAGTCACCATTCAATTCTTTCAAAGTGGTCCCTCTGAGGCGTCTTCGGAAGTCCCCCAGGACCTCGAGATGGAGCTCCTTCAGTCAACTCCGCTCGACCAGTGCATCGGTTGATCCAGAGTGTTCCAATCGACGGTCATCGGACCTCCCTAGTCGATCGAAGCAAAATGCTGCGAGCAGCTTATTCCGAAGGAGTCGACTCCTCTGAGTTCCTGCCCCTTGACTCGCCCAGCCCTCTTTGTTTTCAACTGAGCTGTTGTCTGCAGAGAAACAAGGAATTTCTATTCTCAGTTCTACGTTTCATGATTATCCCCGTCCGATGGAGAGATCAACGTCTCGACTTGAGACGCCTTGATCAACGCCTCCGGAGACTATCAGTGGAAGAAGGTTCCTCCGGGAACTCAGCTGAATATGGATTGGTTGATTCCAGAAACCATACATTAGAATAAGGCACGCCATGAGGGGAATGGCGAAAACTTCAAGCGAATAGGCCGCGCCGAACTCCCATCATCAGCCCTGTCGGCGGAAACGAGGAGAAGCTCATGAATACGAATTGCTTTTGATGATAGGTCATCGTGAATCGTGAGTGCTCCCTCAGAGACGACAGAGTGAGGACAGTGATAGGGATCGTTCAAGAACACAGTTCGCTTTGGATACATGAGGAGACTTATGAGGTCGGCCCTAGAGTCCCCCATTGATAAAGCCGACAGAGGATGATAGAGACCGGATTTGGGGAGATCGTAGCCGTCTCAGCTAATCTTCGCACGATTTTCACAGAGAGCACCCACAGGGTCACCGGGAACCGCCCCGGCGACGTGAGATCGCTGCGAGATCAGATGTTAAAACGCCTACGGACAGATCGGAGAGGACCCTGCTTCGGAAGTGCCGGGATGCTCCGGAGACCAAAACATGAAACAGCGTCGACCATCGGCTCCTCTCGCAGCCTAGCTTCTCGATAATAAGGCGAATTACTCATATTTCTTCGAAACACGAAGAAAGATCTCGATCTATGAGAAGTTTGCCTCGCCCTGAGCTTGCAGGCAGCACAGGAATTCCTCAGCTGTTATTCTGCCACGAATTCTACATGTCTCGCGAGCGGGAGACGAGTTGCCCGGAACCAGGGACCCGATAAATACCAGCCTCGTCCTCGATGGATCGAGATCAGGCCAGCGAGCAAAGGAGTGACGCAGGAGTTGACGGATCGTATTTCCCAGGATCTTTGTCTTTCTCAAAGCTGAGATCAATACTGACGGCATTTGACACCCTTGATTTTTTCCACCTTGTATTCCACATCGAGGTATTGGTATATATAAGGCTCATTCGTCAGAAGGAGTGTCGCTTCGCATTTTGTCAGTCGATTCAAGCTTCTCTCTGGAGAAAAGTATACGAGAAGTCGGCCAGTGATTATATCTTTCCCTTTGTCTTCACTCGCATCGGTCTCGACCTCGACTCTATCGGGTAACGTGGCTCCGAAGCGCTGCGAAGTTGACTTCCATCCGAGAAGTAACAATCCGAGAATCGATGCGAACTCCAAATGCATAAAAAGACTCCCGTCTGCGGTATAATGTTGTCGACGAATCATCTGAAACGCTTGTCCCACTTCGATTACCGTCATCAACAACGTGCGTTCGCCCTGCCTGCGACGACAAGCCAACAGCGTGAATCACTCACAATGAATATGACAGGGGGCCTATTTCAGAGTCCACTTCACTCAGACATTCCCAAGAGGGAGCAGGTTTTCGCAGCTTCAGGAAAGCTGGGACCCTAAGTTTCGGGATCGAGCTCCGCTGGCGGGGAACTTGACCGCAGTACCGGTGTCTCAAGAAATGGAGCGCGTGCCGCACCGCTGGAGTTTAGCGATTTTTCGGCAGTCCCGGCACTCAGAGAATCCAAGATCTGCATACTGTGGCGCACAGACGCTTCGAGTTCGGAGGTAGCATGGAGCTAGTTGCGACGATCACGATGCGTGTACCAAAAAGTTCTGCGGATGCCCCCGCACCTCTACCTGGTTCCTGATCGAAGACAAAACTTCTTTCCGAGCAAAGGTTCATTATCCACGGAGCTTACGGAGTTAGGTACATATATTTATGCGAGGCACAAAGTCGCTGAGAAGACACGGACGATTGGTCAAGCTTGCTCCGCGCAATCTAGAATAACGAGCGTCCCAGTATCAGCTCGTGAAGACTTCGTCACGCAGTCACCCTCTCACGACTCATGACTCGTGACTAATGATTGACCTGGGGTCTATTCGAGGGCATCCCCATGCTTGGATGCCCAGACGACCGACGCACGCGGAGGAGCACGGCGTTCCGGAAATATTTCTAGGAGCAAAATAGTTAAATCGATCACCGAGCCAAAAGCAAGTAGAGGGATGAGTTTCGCAAAGCCACCCATATTGAATTTTCCCGAGGACTCTTCGTTCCGAAGGAATGTGCCATTTTCGAGTATATGTGTCTTGTACCTCTTGAACAAGCCTTCATGGTAACGGAATGCAGCCGTCTCTAGAGCATTCCGGGTGTTCTTCCAGCCGTAAGTTGTCCTCGGAGAAAGTACAGCATGCTCGAAGACCTTTGCGTATAACGCATTTCTCTGAGTCAAGGATCTCACCAAAACTCGTTCTCCGAAAAAACCGCCGGTCTTTGTGAAGATGCCCTGCCCATTGAACTTAAGAAAAATACCGTCCGCCGAAGAAAAGTTCCGATAGAGCATTTCATCTTCTTCATGGCGAAGGGTTCGGAAGTAGGTGACTTTGCGCAGAGGGAACCCGCTCGAAATTTTCTGTGCCTCGTTCATGGAACACACGGCTTTTTTCTCAAACGCCATACTCCTAATTATGGTGGATGCATAGTCACAGAGACTATTGAAATGACACGAGTAGAAGCCGTCCACTTGAGGCGGCTCACTATGATCAATAAAACGAGTCACCACATCGTTCCCGAAAATTGTGCTCAAGAAGAAATTCATCGAGACCGCCGAGGCGCAGATCAAGGACGACGGACTTCTTTTATCCGCGACCTTGATCGGGATCGCATTGATGAAATTGAATAAGATGCAGCCCACAGTCTGAAGGAATGGAGTGTGTTCCGCTAGACTATGCATCAGACTCAGCAAGAGGACACTCAGCAGGAACATTATCCACGTGATGAGCGAGAATGGCTCCAGCAAAGTTAGAATGCTCACGTCTCTCAGACGTGTCAAGGTGTTGCAATCGCCTATTTCACTCGATGCTACCATGTTGTTGACGGCCGTATGGTGGAATAGTAAGTTGGAGATATTTTGAGAATCCATAGCAATGGGGAGAAGTTTCTCCGAGAACTTCAGAATTGACGCGTTCCAGCGGAAGGTCACATCGTACTCGAGTCGGTCGTCTGTCATATGCCGTTTGGAAGCTACGTGTTCCAAGGCGAATCGTATTGGCTCCGCCGTCACACACTCGTGGGGTCTGTTCTTGAACCTCTGGTCCACCCATGCGACAACTTTATCGTGTCTATCGCAGGCGAAGAAATATTTGAACTTGTCGAATTTGAAGACGGGGATTCCATTCCTCGACATGGCGTCGAAATTCAATCCGTGGAGCTTTCCGTGGAAGAAGTGGAGGACGCATTTGTGGCGAATATTTTGGTATATATCTATCTCGTTCGAATCAAGCGCCTTGAAGTCAGCGGCATTCGAAACGATAGCTATGTGTTGAGGGGCAGCCAGAGCGTTCAGATACCACGGCCCGACGGTCCGTCTTTTGAGCGGACCAACCTTGCTCAGCAAGTCGGTACGATCTCTCCTCAAGGCTCCCATCGCCGCAGAATGTTCGGGCTCACTCAAGAGAAGGTTGGTCCACAGACGGATATCGAGCATGTGCAGGATGCCTGTTATGTCGACGATCAGTAATTGCTGCATACCGATTCTCCTTGAAGATAGAAAGCTTTTTATGGTGTCAACCGTCATATCAGGGCCGAGTCGCTGGGATCCGGCAACTCCACAAATCAAGAGCCAAATGAAATCCATCCGAGTGAACACGTTCATCGTAAGCCGGCTTCTCTCAGGGCGGCCACTCCCCGGAGGAAGCTTCACGAGACATCAGGAACAAAAGATGATTCCCGCAGCAAGACGGTGTGCACCGGATGATCAATGGAAACGGATTGAACCGCAACTCAGGTCTAGGAGGGATACCGCGGATGATATCCGACGCTGAGGGTCTGGCTCCGGGGTCGATTGTGACATCCGTGGAGGTAAACCACGGAGACGCAACCCAGGTGGAGGCATCAGGAGAGCTGAAAGCGTGGGAAAGACCTAGAAAAAAGAGGCGCGAGTTATGAGTCACTCAGGTTTCTCCGGAATATCTCTTCCTCGATCTCTCTTCATTTTTGATCACCTCCTCGGGGGGAAAGCGGACGAATCAGGTCCTCGGACTTCAAACCTACGACTGAAGTGTGAGTGTCTAACAAGCTCCCTCGTCGAGCTCTACTCGTCTCGGACAATGCGACTTCACTGTCGTGCGTCAGGAAGTCCGTGGAAACGCCTGATCTCCATTCGCGGTCGATTGATGAAGTCGTTGGAGAGCTAGAATACAATCAAGCCGCAAAGCACCGTCCCGCTACGGATATCTGAATTGTTTAGTCGTTCGGATTGGCTAAAGAGTGATTTACCGGGTCGGAACAAGTCAGTCACCCACAATCCCACATGACTACATCATGTTCAGAGCCTGCTAATCATTGGAATGATATTCGGAGTAATATTCCATTACTACGATCAGGGAAGGCTTTGATGAGTTCTTCTACCTAATGTAGAACCTACACAAATGTGGAGCTATCGAATTCATGAGCTGTTCGATATTGCTAAAAGAATATACAAGTCAATCATTTCGAGATAATAGGAGTATAATCGGAAATGCTCCCGGACTACCGGAATGTCCTATTAGCTAATCTTGATCATCCCGGAGGAACTCATGCAGAGCGCTCGGAACCAGCTCCATCGGGGAGAATCGAGAGGAAGAAATATACTAGGATGAGAGAAAAAGTCTCCTTTATTCGAAAATGAAAAATCGCATCAAGCGCGACCCATGGGGGATTTATTTGACGCAACATCAATCGCCATGGATTCAATTTCGAATCTGGTGTTCCATCTTCCTGTATCCTTGTGTTGTTGTTGGTAGTTCCGAGTGTGCTCATGTTCGTGTGTCTGTTTTGTTGTTTGTTTCAGAACTCAGTGGAGTTAGCTCGACCGACTCCGCTCATTAAATAAAAACCTTCTTCCGTTCGAAGTTGATTGGGGAGTGTCCAGTTCACGATCTGTTTCCAAGTCTATAATTCACGTAGGGAACCTCGATGTCATCCCCGGCGAGATTGCTACAGCACAGCTCAAAGACCAACGACTTGATGTGAGAGGGAATTCGTTTTTGACTAACACTCTCCACGACTTCGGTCATTTTCATTTTAAGACGATCTTGTTTCTTCTGGGGCGGCATGAAGAAAGCGAACAGCATCTGAACTCCTTGAGAGAGCATGGTAATTTCGAGGTCGTGCTTCGTTTTGAAGTAGTCGATGAACTCCTGGAGAGTCATTTCACCCTCGAGATCAAACCGATCCCACAGCGTGAACTCGGTTTCGTAGTATTTGATCTTAGGGGCGGGCATCGGTTCCGCGAAGCCGATGTAGGGCAGCGAGAGATTGATGAAAGTATTCTTGTAGGCCTCGATCGATTTGTGGCCTTGAATAATTTTGTACATTTCGAGGCACACGAGTCCAGAGACGAGAGCCGTCGTCGTAGCGATGGCGGGGATGATTTTGCCGGCGATGAGCTTCGATTGGTGTCTGTCGGCCGGGGCAATGTCGTAGTTCTCGGCCCGGAGGTTCGAACAGGCCACAATAAAGTCCATGTGGAAATTCGTATCGTCGTCTTTCTCGAACTCGATCGGTTTCAGAGTGAAGTTCTTGAACTGCTCAGGGGCGGGGATGCTCTTGACGACGCTCTGTATCGAGTCCAGGTCGCCCACCTGCGACTGCTGTTGGGCTTCGGCCTCGGTGACCGCGATCACCACGCCTTGTTTCACCTTGAATTCGGGCACTTTCACAGCTTTGACGAGCTTTTTCACCTGTTCCTTGGTCACAGCTTTGGTATCGATTCCGTAGAGGTATGCCTTCAGTCGGGCAGCGGCGTCAACGTAATTCAAATGCAACTCGATGTCTTCGTCGAACGTCAACGGATGGGGGCAGCGTTTTGGTCCCGACCAGAACGGAGCTCCGGACGACGTGATTTGGTCCTTGGGGAAATTGTGCAACAGCTGCTTGATTTGGTTGGCGTACTGATCTTCGAAGTGGAGCCGAGCCCAGGCGACGCAGTCCTCGAACGTGCTGGGTTTTTCATCGACAAGTACTTTCTTAACCGATTGGTAGATCTCCAGACCCATCGCACCGGGGCTCTTCACTGCCTTGGAATGGAAGTCCGGATCGTGGATGTACTGACTCGCGTACTCGGCGCCGGTCCGGAACAGCCCCTCGAACTCGTCACGAGCCCATTGCAGCGTGTGTTCGATCGCGTTCGGGAAGTTCTTCAACGTGCAGATGGGAATCGACTTCTCCGGAGGGTCGTGACTGGAGCTGTAGCTCTCCGTCAGGTGGGGCAGGACAACCTGCACATTACCCTTAGTTCCGAGCGTCCCGGACTCGAGCAACGGCTTCCGGTAGTACACGCAACGTCTGTCGACGTACGTTCGGGCTTCGACGTTGTCCAGCGCGTTGGCAACGCCGTCGAGAGCCTCGAAGAAGTCGTCGTTGTAGACGGGCTCGGTCTCAGGTGAGACTCGGTTTTCGTGGGATGTGATTCGGACCTGAGGGTTCATTTTGGCGACGGCCTTTGCGGCAGCCTTCGACTTCAGCTGACCGACGTCCCACGAACGGAACAGGAATTGACGGTTGAGGTTGGACCGCTCGATGACGTCCATGTCGGTGACGATCATGCCTCCGTTGGGACCCGTTCCCACGCCCATCATGGCGAAGTTCTTCAGGTGCTCACAACCGATGGCTCCGGCGCCGACGATGAACCATTTCTGGGAGGCGATCTTCTCTTGGAACGATTTCCCGAAGACAGCGATTTGTCCGGCGTATCGATCGGACGGGTCGGCCTCGGCATCGGCCTCCGCGACGACTTGATCTGCGGGAAGGCATTCGATGGCGTCGAAGTAGAACCATTGATTGAAGGGAGTGAATTTTCCGGAAGAGGCTTTCATCACTTCCTGAGCAGCAATTCCACCTATGACGGCGTTCATGGGACACAGATTCCCGGAGCTGACTTTCGCGAAGATCTTGATGAGCTTCTCGTTGAGCTCCTTACCGGCCGCGACCTCCTTGGCCAGAGCGAAGAGCTCGTCAGCGTCGGCGTCGTTCCACGCTTTGGGATATCTACCCTTGGCTTTCCGGAATTTATCCAACGCCAGGAAAGCGATATGAAGGTTGGTGGGATGTTCGAATTTCGCCCAATCGGCATCGACGATCTTCGGATCGGCCAAGCTCTCCTCCATGGTCTTGAACTTGAGCACAGCCGGTTTTTTTACCTGGGTGGCGATACCGCCTCTGACGTAGTCGCCGAAAGCGCTCGTGTCTCCGATCGAAAACGTGAAGGGTCCCAAGACCTTGATCTTGAACTCCTTCCCGTTGATCTCGGCCATACCCTGTATTTCGTTGAACGTGACATAGTCACCGTCTTCGAATCCGTGCCGTGTTTCGTCCAAGCAGGTGACGACACCTTCGACATCCTTGGTGACGGATGCGATCATGGCTGTCAGCGGCTGGTTTCCATCTGTGTCGTAGACCGTGAATTCGGGGCCGAAGTCACAGAAGACTCTCGAGAATAGACCGCGGGTGTCGGCGATGATCACACACTTGCCCTTCGAGTGGGCCCATTTGTCGATCTTGACTTGTTCGTCGAGGATAGAATCAGTCAAAACAATAACGGCGAATTTGGAGAGGAAGTCTTCGCTCAACTCTCCGGTGCTCGCAGAAACGGTCACGTAACTGTTGAGCTCTGCCACTCGAGGGCATGAGACTTCAGCGCGATTCTTGCCTGCATAGTAAAAAACCGATTGTAATGCTTGAAACACAGGGCAATAGATCTCGCTATTCGGTAAGCGATGCTAAGGTGAGATTTCAGACAGAGGATATTGGTGCTCCGACCTTTGTTTCATCCCGCGGACCACTTACCGATATCGTCCTTGGTGAGGAAATACTGCGCGGAGAGATCCAGGTTAGAGACCGGCTTCGTATCGTGCAAAGTGACGGACTTGACGCCACCTAGAATGACATTTTTGGCGATTTCGACACCTAGGCCGCCGAGGCCGGAGATCAAAACGTCAGACGACTGCATTCGGCGCATAGCCTCATGGCCCAAGACGTACCTGCAAGGAGAATAGATTTCAGTCTGGAGAAATCTTCACGTTTCGATGGAGGCAGGAGAAATCAAAGAAACCACGCTTGCACACCCAGGAGCCCGAGACCGTACCATACGTCAGTTCTGAGATTTCCTCATCCCGCCGAGAGACGGAGATCAGGCTAACCAGCTCGGTTCCATCTAGACATGGTTTTTTTCGCGGAACAGGATTCCTGCATTGATTGAGATCGTCTGATCCTGCTCAGCCACAGCATTTCTAAATGAGGTTCAGATGACCCGGCACAAGCACCAAGGTCGGAAGAAATGGTTTCTGGCACAGAGAGGTACTACAGCGTGACCGCTCGACATCGAGAGTCGCTCAGAAGACCATTGCGATGCACTTTGACAGCGCGCAATTTTCTGCAACGGGTTTCTTGAACAATTCTACGGATGGCTGCCGGCCCGGTCAATGGCCTGCAGACGCCCTCATTCGTAAACACAATGCATCTCGGATGCCGTTTTCGCACGCTTCGACTCCGGCTCTCCAGCCGGTCTGGCATCAGTTCCGAACAACGTTTGAAATCCGATAAGTCGGCCGTATATATGGACGACACGGAATTCAGTCAACAATTCCGGTGTTCAAGCATGCCCATGATGGGAACATATTTAAATCAATTCATGACAGCGACGGTCGCGCTCACGTCGGTGGACGCTGAAAAAGAGCGCGAAGGAAGATACTCGATGAATGCGTCTCGCGAGATCTCAACCAGAACCTTCATTGGTCTTCATTGATCCCTCGGGGCCTGAGATCGATACGAGTCATGCTCTCGCATATTCTGGGCGACTTCAACGGAACGATATATCTTCGCTGCTTCGAAGGGTTATCTACGTGGGGAATCCAACTCACAATTGTCTCGAGTAAAGACTCTCATCGATGTCTTGGGCTTGGGAGCCGTTCGCTCCATTTCGCGCGGCCATGGATCCACCCTGGAAAAGGAAAAAAGTCACGAATTAACAAATATGTCTCGATTTCTCTCCCCGCCGATAAGTCTTTGAGTCGGAGTCCAGAAAGCCACTGACATCATCAACCGATTCTTCACGGGAGCGGGCTGAGGGACCAGACGTCCCCCCGGAACAGAGAACAGCACCCAGTCTTGAGCTTCTTCGTCACGAGTGAATTAACTTCAAGCTTTTGTTGAAAGTTTGCGCTAAAATCCGATGAATCGGTCACCATGGGAACCAAATCACGTGGACAACACCACGAGCTCCAGTTAGAAATGTTCGAAGGACCCGGCTCCGCGCATACGGGACTTCGGCCCCCGAGCCTCAACCTTGGGCCGCAACTTTCGATCTTAAAGCACGGGTCTTCATGAGGGCAGCGGATATGGCTTACGGAGGAAGTCGGGGAGTCTCGAAACACTAACGGAGCCCCTCACTTGAGAACCCGGAGCTCGAAGTGGATTACCATAACGATGGGAATGAATCATAATTCCGAAAACGAGCCAGAAGACTCTAGATCTCAGTACGGCTGGCTCACAGGCTCAATCAGAGCCAACAGCTGAGACACGTCACTCCGGCGAAGCTCATCAGCGACGAAACTCTTGAAAGCTCAGCACGGGAAAAGGGGAGGCGATAAGGAATGTATCGCTGATGACATTACGGACACTCTTCGCTTGAGAGCGATATCCTACTCAGCACACGCCACGACTTCGAGCGCGGGCTTGACCGGCTGGCTCGCTTCGGTCTTCCAGTCGTTTTTGAGGAATAGACATCACCTCTGGAAAAATTCCGAATCGCGAAGAATGAGTCCCGAGCACAGTCCCGAGGGATCGAATTCGAAGACCAAGGACGATTTGAAAGGAAGGAAATCATGAACGAGGTCAGAGTACAGTCTTTCGCCGTTCCGGTAGAGCCCACCGGCAACGCGACAAACCGGGCCGAAGCGCGCCACTCGGGCTTCTTTTCATTCGGAGAACAGAGTTTCCCTAGTATGGAAGAGAGACCCGTCAGTGAAGGGCTCTTCAGACAGGCGGAGAAACGCAATGGGACATTCGGTTCAATTGGCGTTCCAAGTCGAAATCCAAGTTTTCGATCACTAAAACCTCTCTCGGATTGAGCTATAAACCGGCAAGTCATTCGATCATGTCCGGACCAGGTAGTCTCAGCCCAGGATTGGCCTCGATACAGCCCCCGGAAAACGGTGATCGTTGCCATAGTTGGCCCGATAGGATGTGGATTCGGAGTCGATGCGAGCCCTGGGACGAATATCCGGGCTTTTCAATCAAGCTCACTTGCCCGGAACTCGCTTTCGATCCAGACGGCTCTGCTCCCCCCTCAGGGAAGGATAAATATCACGCTGTCTTCGAATCCACAAACGAAGCCGGCATGAAACAAATGCACTCGGAGAGTCTTCGAGGAAAACGGGCGAAACGGCGTAGCTTTCGCTCGAATCCACTGTCGATAGCTCTTTCAGAAGACTCATCATCTAACAAGTTGTCTGACGTTTGAGAGCGCTAGGCTTGTGGGTGCCGCGTCAACAATGGCGGAAAATCGACGTCAGTCGTTTACCTTTCGAGGAACACCGACAACGAGTCGAGCAGCGGATCCTTTCGCTGCTTAGAACAGGACGGATTGCACGATCACAGTCGAGTTGTCCGTCCGCTCGAAAATTCACCACGCACGGAGCACAACGGACCGGTTCTCGTCCCTGGGTTGGGTTTAGCGTGTTGTGACTATGGAGTGTTCTGATATGCTGCTGCTGCAGCAGCTACCATTCGCCTCACCACACAGCAGCCGGGGAACCACTGAGTCATCGTGGAAGGGAGCAGCCGACAAGCGAGCAGACGACGAGGGACCGCTAATACCGGGGGAGAGGGACATTTGTCTCCTTCGAAGTATCTGCCCATCATCGACATAAAGGGTAAGGACCACTCGTTTCGGACCAGCAACTGACGGGACGAGCAACAGCGGACACCAACTGGCGATCGGCTGTCCAGGCCGGCCCTGGCAGGCATTGCGATGGTGTGAGCGCAGACCATCACAACAGCTCGACGAAGAACGACGTCTGCCCACCGCCATTTTGTTGGTAACAAAATCATTTCACCGGCGCGCGCCACAAAAACAGAACGGTCTGCAGCGGCCCCTACCCCAACTTATCCGTCTGCACCGCACACTACACAGCTCGCTGAGGAAACCCCTGCAGGGGACGCTGAGGGGGGCGAAGAATGACATGGAATCTCTCGCGAGAATCGAACGGAATCACTGGTCGTTACTCGTTACACTCCTGACGCAGCGAGGGAAATTCGACTTCGGAGTGTCTCAAGGGAGTGAGGTCGGCAGAGATCGGTTTCCACAGCTGCCAAGCTTTCGGTCGTTCAGAATCAAAGCCTGCGGGGCCGCGGTGATCTGGGCTTATGATGATGACGGAGCTCGCCGTTCGCTGTTCTCTGATTCGTTTAGTTCGATGAACGGTACTTTGATACATATCAAATCAAGTGCTTCTCTAAAAGGAACGCATACAACGAGAATGAACGATGCACGTCTCGGCGATACTAATCGACCGTTCAACGTTCCCAAGGACTCCAACTTTCACGACCGCTCTCGGGGGCTGGGCCACGGCGGGTTCCACTAAAGGGAGACAACAGCGTAGCACGACAAATGAAGCTTATGATCTCCAGCCTCGGGAAAAGGCTCGGGTTCCCGTCTAGAATTCATGCTAATTGGATCCGAAGGCAAGACTCATTCCGTGCGATCTCCGATTCCCTCCACTTGTTCCAGCGGTGTGATACCATAAGTCATGAGGAAAACTCGACTTCCGAGTTGTGATAGAATGAATGAGTAAGTGTGTCCGTCCTAAGATCACGCAGGAGTGCGTTGTGACGGAAGAACATGTCATTGGTCACTTCAGTCCTGAGGAGCTGGGGAAAAGGCAGGAAAAGCGCCGTGTCTCGGCATGGATCGCTCCGAATAAGCTCCTCAGGGCAACCCAGCATTTGGAGGAGGCTCCAATCTGAGTGCAGCACTAGGCAGATGCCCTCGTTCAGACCAAGGGGGAAAGAAGTAATCTCGGAGTTCGAAATCCCATACGACGGGCGCTGGGACTCTGGGCCACGTACAGATCTAGTTTTAGCCCACCGCAGAACGCTGAGAGTGCTGCGAACCACCGATGGATGACCGGAACTCCGAGATGTTTTGATTCGCACAAATCGAGAGCCACGAGTGACGCTTGCTTGAGGATTGCTTCTGCGAGAAGCTGGTCACGATGACTATCGCGGTAGCCCACGTAGTCGTGCTACCGCTGTCGGAGGGCACATTCAAATGATTTCAGTGTATCGTACACGCAAATACTGATCAAACCCGATGTCGGCAACATAAAATGGAAACAGGAAGGCTCCCGGAGCAATGAGTTCTGCAGGTGAACAGTCTCATAATCTGAGTCGAAAAGATGCGAATTGATCGTTAGCCGAAAGCTCGGCTTATATCAGCTCTTAGAAACAGGTCGGCACTACGCCATTTCTTGTCCATGTACGCCTCGCACGAACTGATCGACAATGCACAAGCATCGGCTCCAACGGCTGATTTTCTCTACGAAACCGAAGCGATCCCGAGTGCCCCTCGCTGGCGATGAGTGTTCCGCGAAAAAAAAATTTAGGAGCGAGTGACGCCGACCGGACGCCTCTCTTGGGCGTGCAATGCCACTCGAGCTTGGGGAGATCGAGAGAAAACCTCGGAATTCATCAAACGAAGCATCGAGTACACGTGCATGTATCACCTAGGCCTTTTGAGGGGACGATGGAGAGGAACTCATACAGATGGCAAGGATGACTTACGTTTTTCAGAGTTGCACTGTCTTCTCCGTTGGATTCCTCAGGTCTACGCCTTTTTGCGGGCGGTGCAATATTTTCTGATTGTTTTCCAGAAGCAGAATCAGTTTGAGACATTTAGCTTTTACAGAGGGCACGCGGCATCAAGAACTCGCTAAAATATGTTCGTACTCGTCCAAGACAGTCTTCGTCTGCGATTGGCTGCTTAGCGAATCAACACGTTGACAACTGATTTCGACACGCTCGTTGAAGTGTACGCTGACGCTGTCTCGTGTTGTTGAAGGGCTCTCGAATATTCTCAGAACCAAACTCTCGCAACTCGACACAACAACGAACCAGCCAACCGACCGGCTGCTTTGTGTTAAACGGACGACCACAACAACAACGGACGCACGAATGCACGGACGTCAGGACCTCGGCTCGCGCGCTTTGGAGCAGGACGCGTGGCACGGCTGTACGTACGCTTGAGGAGCCGTTCAATCTTCCGAAGGTTGGGTCTATTGGAAACCTTGAGAGCTGTATAGAATATCAGGATTGAACAGAGATGGGATCCGCTGATGGGAGAGTGAAGACGATGATGGCGATGATCTTTTTCGAGAATCCGGGAGGAAGCAGGCGCTCCGTTCAACTTTCGCGAAGTCTGACTCTTCGCTGATGGAGAGACTCATCGCGGATCGCCTTTCTCGAACCCCGGTGCGTCAGACTCTTGCAGTTTGAAGGACTCCCCGAGATGATCTTCGGACCAGAAATTATGCGTGTCCTATGTACCTTAATTCAAGCTTCCATAGAGAACTCCACCAATGACAACTCGTTCACGGCAGAAAAAAAATCGGTAGAGCTTGTAGCCGGGGAGCAGACGATCTCCGCAGCGTTCTTCTTTAGCGCTCCCTTTGAAAAATCAACCCCGCCAGAGCCGTTTTCAGTTACTCGGGCTCGAGTCCAAATCCTTTCCGAGCCCGATCTGTCCGAAACCTAAGGAAATATTTCGGTCTGCTTTCGAAGAAACCAGACCGAAACCGACTCGAGAAGCAATCATCGCGAGGTCAAAACCTTACGTTCGACTCAGGGGGGTTTCCCAGGAGGTCCGCCCCTCCGTCCACATCCGTAGCTTTTCGGCGAGGAGGCGCGCTCTGATTGGTCGAACTCGACCGCGCACTCGAATGACCTCACAAACTCGCGAAGGCGTGAAGCCGGCCTCGGCCTCGGCGTGCGTCGTCTGTCGATGCACCCCTCCGAAACGTGGATCTCCGCGCGCAGCTCCACTCAGTCGGGGATCCCGCTCGGCTGACGCGATGACGCTTCACACAGAGGACGGGCAACGGCGCGGATTCGAGCGAATAATGAATTTCTGAGGCGTAAAAACTCAGAACAAGGAGAAGACGGGTTTAAAATTCAAAAGTAGCGCAAAAGTTTTTATTTCGAGTATGTTTTTCACTTTCACTGTTTTGACGTGATGTCTCAGCCGCCGGAAGCGATGTGTTTTGGTTTCCAGAATTTTGCTCGTGTTTAGAAGGGTGACGGTGACGGTGTCCTCTATCCGATATTACTGTACCCCTGCTCAGCTGACTCCTCTTCCGGGAAAACTCGAGAACGAGAAGAATATTCTAACCTACTCCAACGGCATATCATTCATTCCCAAAGCGATTCTTCGTTTCGATTCGAAGCACTCATTGTTCTAACATTCAGATTCCGACGATTTTCCGCGAAGTCGAAAAGGAAAGATCTAAGGGAAACCGACCGCACTCGAGAAGCCCCGATGCATGGATGACGCGTCGTCTCCCACTAGGTCGACAGACGGCGCGCAGGACTCGATGTCATACGGGCTCCCATCGCGGGAATTCAACGGTGTTTCGACGGTATCCACTTCAAGACTTCGTCAGTCTCGTCGTCTGATTCCAACGCAGTCAACCGTCATGATCGTTATTTACAATTATATCGTATCGTTCTGGGTAAGCCGTCCCGTGGTAGTCTCCGAGACATTCTGATTTGAGAAGCCAAAACTAAGCCGGGGAGTTGGTTCATTCGTAAATTACAATGCTCCTCGGGAAGGAGCGTTCTCGTCTCATCGCCGGATCTGTGAGTTCCACCCCCCGTCGCCTGTCCATCTTAGAATTTCCACCATCGGAATCACCGATATTTGTCGTCCCTGGCGCGTTTGTGTGTCAAGTTTTTTTAATATTCTTCTTACCACTCTCTAAGTCATCGCCGAATATTCCAACGGCATTATGTATTCCGCATTTTGCCAGGTACGTAGTTCCTGTCGATCACTGGTTCCTGCAGAAACATGTGCAAACATCTCTCGTTCTGGGCTAGAGGATGTCCTGAAGAGGGAGGAGGAATCGTTCTTAGCAGGTACCTCCTTTCTGACGGAAGTCAGCTTCTAGCTTCCCAAAGAAAGTTATACCCTTTCGAAGACATCTGTATCCATACCTGCAACTTTGTTGATAAAGGTTTCAAGATGTTTACGTCTCTCGTCTATAAACTCATCTTCGAAGAGCCCCTCGTCTTGTCGGAAGGGCAGCTGCCGCTTCCATGCTTTCGACGGCAGGGGTGGAACGACGATCTAGGGAGGAAGATATTCGTGAGTCGTCGAGATCAAAATCATGACAGGAAGGAAGACATTGATCAGGCGAGCAATCAGATTTATGGAACCGATATAAAATCATTCTCAAGGCAAGTCGCTGGAGTCGAACCACATGAGAAGAATTGGAACATAATTTGAGTTCGTTTGTAAGAGAAACTCCACCAACCTTGCTGTCTCGCTCGAGCTCGGAGCGAAGCCATTCAAAATCGCTGTATCTTCGCCTCACGACGGATTCTTTCAATTTGAAGACCGGCAGATTCGTCTGGAAGAGCGGAGGGAATTTAATTGCAGGAGGCCAGAACGTAAAACGGATTCTGGAGCGGAAAGGGGGACGGGATCCAAGGACAGTCTTTTTTTCGACGACCCCTGACTCGACGGGGAACTCCGACTGGCGACGCGACTGAGACGGCTATCAGACCGTTCCTTTATTGAGGTCACCTAGCACATCATCTCGGGCCAAAGGAGTCAACCCGAGAAATTCCAATAATTGATTTTTCGTTTGTTGCAACGTCCATCAAATTCTCCAACTCCGACCCAAACTGTGATTCGATTAGAAGTCGATCATTCAGGGAGTTAATGGATCCAGATCACCATGTTCCCGATGGAACATCATCTAAGGTACCCGGGAAGTAGACGAATGAATGAGACTTTCTCTCTATGAGATCGACGCCGCCATTGGCGGTAATCGGTACATTCTCCAAGCTTGCGTCCAGTTCTCTGCGTGGGAATCAGCTACGAGAGAACGGGGATTAATTCAGAAAGTAAGCGTCTTCCGAGGCTCTCAAGTGGAGTCTTGGAACTACAAAGCTCGCAGCGAATCTCACAACAGACGGATTAACGATCGACTCCCAGGATGGTTTGTGGAAACTCGTGATCCATTCGTGAGAAAGGCGATAAATTGAGATAGGGGCGTCGCTGGATATTTCACTGAGCGTTACGGCAATCAAGTATCTCTCGAACACGTCATACAGACACAAGGCTGCGGATGACATTTCAGATGGAAATCCACACCACGCGATCTTCTGATGTTCATGTACTGTAGATATCAGTAAATCGTCACCGCTGTTCGGAGCTACCGATCCAGAGGAAATTTGGCTGGCGATCCTTCACGAGTCCATGTGAGCGGCGATTCCTTCGTATCTCCTCTTCTCCGAGACTCTGAGGAATTAGAGCGGCACCTCGCAACATATGGCTCTAGGCCGGGAGAAGAACTAGCCCACTCGGAATGGATCCCCTGTCATCCATTTCACGCAGACCGGTAGATGAGCGACTCTCAAGCACGCTAAAGGTTCCTGACTGAGCAGCGGATCGGAGCCGAAGCCGCAACGACGTCCCGCGACGGTAGTACGTGACTCACTGCATTCACTCAGTGACCGATCCCAGGAACGTTTCATCGGCAAGCCGCGATGAAAATAATCGAATGTTCTTGGGAGTCTCCGAAAGATTTCAGTACTCACTCTCATGCGGACTTCATAGTCGGTGTATCTCTTGCGGGCCACTCCGTGGGTGACGGGGTTACTGACGTCGATCTCGAGAAAGTTGGCAGGTGCCGCGTACGCGTCATCCAGTGTTTGCTTCTTAGACACGAGCCTTTTTGTGGCTTCTGTGGGTGGTGCTGAATCTCCCGACATCTCCGCAAGCTCGTGAGCTAACTCGATGTGAAGCGCGGCTCGCAACGAGCTGAATGACAACCTGCTGCCACTCTTTAGACAGACGGCCACTCTATCACACCGCCAGCATAGAACATAAGAGGAACCGCAGCGTAGAAGCTTCGCTCAGAGGAGCTCACCCATAGAAGCTTGAGTAGGTTCAATAAACTGCACGGGTCCGTCATATGTTACTCGCTTCCGCCGAGCTTTCGCGACAGGACTTTCCCACTTGTGAGACTGAATTGGACGGAGTACGAATCCCGAATCTCGGCAGCGACCCGAGGGGCTGAGCAAGCGCTGATGGAGAGAGTTGAGGACGACAAGGGAGAGCAGAATTGAAAAAAAAGAACAAATATTGGGAGGAAGAAATGAGGCTAATAAATCTCTCGGGTAGTATAGGTGATAATCTTGTGGACGGGCGCAAGGCGCGTTCTTGGCCTTCAGGTCTTCGACTGTTGGGATCAGGGGAACATCGATGAACCCATAGAACCTCCGAGAGAGGAATGGAGTAGAAGCCTGGAATTGATCGGATATCTTCCCTGAATACGAGAGTCATGTGATCGAACTCACGTTTAGCGGAAGACTCCACAGAGAGAGCAAAATTCGACCGCAGTTCGTGTACGGAATGAGTATCGCAATTTGGTGGTTCATATGGTATTCGTGCAGTCAATCGCTTCGAGAAGTCATCAATCTTAGAATTAGTCGTTTTAGGTCTCACGGATGTCTGACATCATCCTCTAACTCTGAGTGACATGAAGCCCGACGTCTTGCATCCAGCACGGATCATGGAGCCGTCACATCTTCTGGTGACAATTCATCGCAGGCCAGGAGTCTCCTCTGGCCGCCTGTGAGATTCTTCCGGGGGGTTTCATATATCTATACCTATAGGGGCTATATCTGAGAACCTTCCAGAAGTATCGAGCATCGTATCCCTTCGTGACTCGATCGGTGCTTTCTTATCTGACCTCCTCGTAGGGAGGACCCGCTCCCGTTGTACCGCCCATCCAATGATCAACTCAGAGCTGTATTCAAGGTACCAAGCCTTAAATGATTAGACTTGAGCGGGTTCTCAGACAGTAGAGGAAAGGGGCCGATGTTCCCCCTCGAAATCTTTTCCGATCCCCCGAAAGAATGTGAGCTTGAGCCAAGTTCGAGAGGTGCATCGGAATCCTTTCTGCACGTCGAGCCTCGAACATCACACTCTTGACATCACGTGAAGGTTCGACAGATTTGAGTGTTTATCGACCCAGCGCCTGCTCGCTCTCGGACGGTGGCGCATTTTTCAACCAGTGTTCAAAAAGCCGAGTATCCCGACATGAAGCTCCGAGGATTACCCGTTGAATTGCGTCCCGGTCCAGTCGATCTACTGCCCGCCGGGAAAAAATGCGTCTTACTGCAACCCTGCAGCCTTTGCAAGCTCCACCACCGCACGTACTTCATATGCGAAGACAGTCATATCACCTGCACGGACTGCTTTCTCTCCGATCAACCGTTGACCAGAGCTAACCGGCATCGCAGTGAGGGCTATTGCAAGAGGTGCGACACTCAAATGACCATGTTCAGAGTCGAAATACCGCTGCATCTGTTGCAGAACTTGGAGTTCAAGTGCACATGCGGCTTCATCGGAAAATTGGTCGATATCAAGAGGCACGTAAAATCTGGGGATTTCTCCCAGAAGTGCTGCGGGGTTGCCGAAGAACCCGGTCCTTGCACTGACGAGTTCGATGTGGAAATGGCGAAACTAGACACCCTCCTGTCAGAGAGCGTTACGGAGTTCGAAGACTCGCTTGTGAGAATCAAGGAACAACATGGCGAGAAATTCGCGAACGGAGTCAAGCGAGTATTGGACCCAAAAGTTTATGGATACGAATTTTCGGTAAATTCTTCAATGCTCCTCGGTCTGGTGTACACTCGGCTCAAAGATCTCCACCGCGATCTGGTGAGGCTGCGGCGAGCGAGCATGAATGTCACACCGATTGTGCAAGATCTCTACCAAAAGCTGACCGTGAGTATCCTATCGAGTAGTGTCGGATCCTGAGAATCAAATAGAAGCGATCAACAACTTTCACGTGGGTACATCCTGAGGGATGTCCCATCGTCTTGGAATAGATTGTTTATCAAGCATCGACGATTCATTCTAATGATGAGTCCCTATACTGGAAATAAGGAAAATCTTCCCTTGCAGCTGACACAAGGCTAGTCGTCAGACGGAGCGAAGCGTCCGTCCGGAAGGACCAGCCTAGCTAATTTTCGAACGACATCCGCCTGCAACCATGCACGTCCCGCGTACCCGCGGGGATTCCGAAGAGTTTTGACCGCTGCGTGTTTTTACCGAACGCCCTGCCGACTCGCAGGGCTGTGGAAATTGTGAAATTGTACGAAATCATGGCCTCCTCATCCTCGAAATCAGAACGGGATCTAGCTTTGAAAAATAATGAACAATAAATGACAAAGATGCTCGATATGAGAGTTTCGTGACAGTTTCTGTCGGATTTCATTAGCTTTCCTTCCGGACGGCGAAGAGGAATCTCTTCTTCCGGTTTTACCCAAGTGCACCTTTCCCGGCTTGGGGGAAAACTACCGTCCTCAGTTCGAGCAGATACTAGGTATCTGCGAGATGGTTCTGACATTGCGCGTGCGAGACTGAGTGTTTGAGTCCCGGAGTTTGGGTCTCAGCTCGTTCCGCGCTATCCCAGCCTCCCCGTCAGGATTTCTGTCAGGCTTCCCGCAGGATAAAGGTCTCTAAATTATCCCGTCGGAGCCCGCACCAACCGAGGTACCCCCCGTCGGAGTTCGAGACCCGTGTCTGAGAAGGGAGATGGGGAGTGGTCCCCACTGGAGGCAATAATCTGCTGAGTCATCCTTCTCCAGAGCAGTATACAATAAACTTGACAGCCAGACGTTTGCGTAACATACGACAATCAATATCGGAATCACCCCACGGGCATCCCCGCTAGGGGACGGAAGGTTCCGGGGCAAGCCCGACCCGCTGGCGCTCCAGGCCTCGGGGGAGGTTCGCATGCAAGCGTCAGATTAGCCGAAGGAATTCCTCCCAACTGATGGGAAGAGTGATAAGGAAGGCCAAGACTCGGAGTTTGGCACAAGCTGAAATTTATTCTTCGCTGTCATTCGTCAGGTGGTGAATTGAAACAATATACTGATCTGATCATATTCTAATTCAGAAACGAGAGCTGGGTGTCGGCAGCAGACATCATCGTCTTGGTATCTCTCGTCAATACTGTCGGTCGTGATGAATATTCGCCGAGGTGATATTCGACCCTCGACGAGAAGGACACCTCGCCCCTCACCCTCCTTGAGAGACGGAATTGGATTGAGAGGTTCGCCTCTATTCTGCGGAGCCCGCAGTCGGCGAAACGGAGAGCTAAAACGGTTTTGTAGAAATGCTACTTCTCATCAGGATGTGACCGTCGAGGGCTCAAGCATGCAAACGAGCCGAAATATGAATCAAATCGCTCAGGAGCACCGCGGGTCCGAAAAGTTGAACACAATCGATGAAGTCCGTGATTTGCCTCTGCTCAACAACTTGCCGCTGCTTCTGAGACCCTTCGGCCGCTACGTTACAGTGGAACACTCCATTGGGGAATGGTTTGACCGAAACTTCTTTCAGGGTGTAGCCGTTCTGATCGTGGTGCCGAATGACAACGCATTTCTCAATCATGTTGGTAGGTGAGCGACTAGTGTTGCGAACGCAGCCGCTGACCTTGAGATCTGCGTTGCCGGTCTTGTTCAACGTCAGGGTCAGGAAAATCCTCATCGTTGAAGTTTCGATGTACACCGTTTCGTCTCTCCCTCGCATGACGTTTTCGATGGAAAACGTTTTGTGGATGGCCGGTGTGCGAACTATGTCGACGATGGGTCGGATCTGATCGTTTATGCCTTTGAGCGTTCGATATCTTTCGAGCAGCTCCAGCGTTTCAGCGTCGAAAGCTTCAATTTTCTTCTTGATCTTCGGGATCGACTTTCCTGGAACCAGTTCGATCCCGAAATGCTCCACGATTCCCCGAACCTTCTCGAGTCGTGTCTGGATGTTGGATCGCATCCCAGTGAAGATCATCTCGAGATGTTTGAAATCTCGTTCATGGATCACCATGAGCTGATCCTCAGGTTCCGGCTCAATATCACAGGCTTGAGTGTATTCCGATGATTCGAGATGAGTTTTCAACTCCAGTAGAATTCCCACAACTCCGCATCCGCAGCAGAAGTCCATATTGATTATGAGATCGATCGGGACAACGACCTTGCACGACGGGAGCCGACATGTGCTGCATGAATTTTGAACGGTGGGGGTTTCGCTTTTTGCTTCGCATTTCGGGCATATGACGTGTCCGCTCGTGCACAAGAAGTAGCAAGGATAATAGAATCCGCATCGATCGCAAGGTTGCAGCAAGGGACATAAGTCGCCGTATGGCCATATCTCGATATCTTCATTCCAATAATGCGCGGGGATATTCCGGAACTTCATCGCTGCGAGAGTTGGAAGAGCGACCCTGATGTCTACCTTGCGATCTAGAACAAGAATGAGGAGTTCTATTCCAGCGGAGCCTCTCGATCGTGATCAGGGATCAATGAATCATCCACGGAAATATCCGGCTATATGTTATCTATGCATCCGACGGGAATCAGCCGAGAAGGTTCAATTCCCATCACAGGGAGCAAGATCCATGGCCGATACGCATCGCACGTACCTGGGGAGGATTCCAGCGAGTCAAGCTCGGAGAATTCTGCTGGGAGCGTATTATTTTCTCACAACCAATGGCTTCCCCGGGGCAAGCGTCGCCTTGATCTCGTCCGACTGACGATTTATAGCAAGGAACGTCAGCTTGTACATATTTGTGTACACGATGCGACGTTTGCTCGTCCGGTTACGCATCTAGCTGCTCTGACAACAAGAATGAATGAATCATTCCGACAGAATTATATGTCTTTTAGAGACATCGTGGGTCATGGAGTTCTTCCAGGAAAAATGCTCCGAGATCTCTGTCGCAGCCTTTTGGCTTCCAATTCAATGTTCTCCTTCCGACTCTTATGTTGAGCACCCTGGCTCCGTGCCGCTTGGAGGTATCCGGATCTATCGTTCAAATTAGAAATGAGCCCCAGAACTCCCCTTCGGGGAGAAGTCGATCGCTACATTGCACCAGACAGACTTCCGATGGATGGATCGCGAGCCCAAGCTCGACTAGAGGATAATTCTGGCTTCAAATCAGTCAAGTACGCTCGCCAGCGACTCGACGGCGTGCGCAGAAGCATCGTCGAGGACGTGAAGTGTTTCCACGTTTCGACGTCTTCCGGGCGACGCCAACGCCGCGCGCCCCCAAAACAAAAACAATTTCCGTCCGCACATCCACGTCGGAGTGAACGTTTTCGAAGGCCCACCCGTGACTTTGAGGTAAGAGCTTAGACTCGGCTTTCGGACTCGGAATTCCCGCCATCACACACCGGATCGGAAATCAGAGAGAGCGATGCGGGCATTGATGAGCCCGTGGATCGAAACCCTGAGACGTACGACTCGTTGAGCCGTACCATTCCAATCCGTAGATACGATTCCTTAGAGATCGAGCGTCCTAATCCAAAAAAGATCCTGATTCCTCCCTTACCCCAGGAGATCCCACGCCTGCTGAAACATGAAGTTCCGAGGATTGCCGGCAGACATGAAGGTCGCGGGCGCCGACGTCAGACCACGGGGCAGACTGACTCTACCTCTCCTACCATGTGGATTCTGTAAATTCTTCCACGTCGATTATTTCCTCTGTGAGAAGGGTCACGTATTGTGCATAGACTGCGGTAATGACGACCTGCACAAAGCTCGAGGGGATCGTGTCGAGTCGCCTTGTTTCGGATGCGGCAAGATTGTGCCCATGCAGAAGATACACGTGGATGTGGAGCAGCTGCGCTACGAGCGATTCTGTTGCGCGTGCAGTCACGAAGGAACTTTAGCCGAAATCCAGATGCACCTACACAGCGCAAAGTATGGACTAGCGTGCATCCTGATCGACAAGACCCCGACCGAGATGGAGATCAATCACTTCAAGAACCGTCTGTACGAATTGGATACCGTCAAATCGAAACTCGACGAGGCTGAAGACTTGATCTCTGCGTTCTTCGACCTACATTTCGCGAAGCCTTCTGCTTCTTTGAAGTCTCACGCGACCAACAAGCAACTGGTTCGTCGCATCGAAGAGAGACTCGTCTGCGTCAAAAACCTCTTGCAAGAGGTCGATGTGATGAACAACGAGATGCGGCCCACGCTCGAAGCGATGTTCAAGGGTAATTGTTGGCTCGTTCTGAAAACTTGCGATATATTCCCGAAACATAGGCACGTCTTAAGAACCGTCATCTATGGCGTCGCCGTCGAAGTACTTTCGAAACAGGAAATATACGACGGTGCTCTGTGGCTCGGCATGTTCATACGCGGCTGCGACTTCGACATGTCGGGGCTGCAGAAACGAAAAGACGCCTATCCTCTGAAAGCGAAGATCACCATCCGGATACACAATTCTCGAGGCTACGAGGTCGGTAAAGGTTCTTTCGTGACATTCGACAATAATACCTATACCAGCGCGAGTTTTAAGGATCCATTCGTAGAGGAATCCGTATTTGTTGGCGTCGACAAACTAATCTTGATGAGCGATGTTCGGAAACCAGAGATGATTGTCGGAAACAAAATACGTCTCTCATTTCAATTTGAGCCTCTACTCGACATGTGATGATTGCCGATCACTTCGGTGCTTAGTTTTCAGTGATTTTCATATTTGTGAATTGACCATGACCGACAAGTTCCGGCGATCATGATTCGTTCGTCGATCGCGACTCTCCGGATCATAGATTTTAGGAAGGATTTGTCTCTGACAAGTCCGCGCCGAGGAGGCTAATCATACAAATTTTGTGAATTCGATACATCGCGGAACGCGAGCTCTGGTTGCAAATCGGGATGTTGGGAGGAGTCGACCTCCGACTTTTTACTCATACATGATATGGAGCAGGATAATTTCCGACTCCGTCTAGATGGAGACGCAGAAATAAATGATGATGATTGTCCTAGCTGCTGTTTTTTTTTCCGAGTCGAACCGCGAAGTCGAGCGGTTTTGCAGATCAGGTGTCACGGATTCCAGCGACAACTCTGATGGAAGTCAGAAGCGATGAGGTTGCCTATCGGGCACGTCTCTTTGTCGACGCCACATCGTCTATCGATCTGCAATCGGGGTCTATGCCAATCTCGGGTCTGGAGCGTGTTTGTTGACACGCAGAGCTCATCGTGTCTTCTAAGGTAAGTCACGCTGCAGAAGTCCGAGAGACAGGCAGAACTCACTTTGTCAGGTCGCCTGCCCCCTTCCCTGTGACGCATCGGGAAAAGCACCACGGGAATGAGCGATTCAGATGGCGAGGTATTAGATTGACAGAGTATACGTGGCTCGGAGCGCATCTCACAGTCAAGGTCCGACACCAACCACCACTGATTGTGAGATATCGGTCCTCCTGAGGATCATCGTCTTTAAGAGGACAGACGCGAAGCGATGGAACAACCAAAGCACGATTATCGATTTTTTTATTCGAATAGGTTTTCCTGAAACTGTATTCCCGTGCTGTCATCCCGTGGCCCCGTCGAGCCGCAAGCTCCTGAAATATTGTTGGCGGCATGCTGGCGTTCATCGAGATCAAGGCTGACCAGTTCCTCCAAAGGTAGGGAAGGAATGTAGGAGTGGGTCCATCGAGGGAGAACGCTTCCGTCTTTCCACATGCGGAGAAGCGCCGCCGACGCTGGTCCGACTGTGGCCTCTACTGCTTCTTGCTCACGGCCTGCATGAGTTTGTAATCGAATTGGGCGAGCACTCCGATGAACGTCGCAAGGGCAGCGAGATATCCCACGAATGTTCGTTTCTCGATGTAGAAGAAACCCCAGGCCGAGAAGTTGTCTCGATCAGGATCGTGTCGCAGGATACGGTAGTCTCTCGAGTTGAAATATCTACTCTCCAGAAAGACAGCTGCGGTCTTATGACACTTAGTGATCATTCGACTCGACAGCCGAACGCTCTCGTACAAGCTCAGTAGTTGCATGAGGGGCATCAGGACCAACAGGACGGTCGCTGCCGAGAGAGGCAGCTTGTACACGAGTAACAGGATCAGCACGCTGTAGATGAGCGAGAACACTTTTATGTACATCAAAATTAAGGTTATCCCGAACACTCGGTTGAGGTTAATGATATCACTGCGGATCGAGGCCTTGAGCTTCGTGGCACGCCGCTCATGAGGGATACTCTCTTCCACTTTATCCAACCTCGTGCAAAGCATCGCCGCGCTCTGCATTTGCAAGATAACAAATAAAGTACTGAGTCGCAAACAAACCGCTTCGATCGCGACACGAATTTTCCCTAAAGGAGACTGCATGAAGTCGTATCTTTCCACCCTGAGAGCGATGTCGAAGACATCCACAATCAGGAGGTAGACGAACCTGGGAACATCGAAGAAAGCAGAATTCTCGCTGAAGAATCTCCTGAGGGTGCTTTCTCCGCCCCAGAGAGCCCTTTGCGATTCGAGAGCGATGAGGATCGAGTTCGCGTCGTGAATCCATAGGACGAAGTCGGAAATGCTCGGCTCCGGATCGAATCCCTCGTACGTTCCGAAACCAAAGCTGACAACTAACGCTGCAACGAGCACAACGAAGACGATTCGTAGGATATGCTTGAACGTCCGCGACCTCGTTTCCGCATGGGAGCCTCCCGCTCCTTTCGGCCAGAGGTCCAAGCCGAGAGCGTAGCACACGTACAAGAAGAAGCGAAACGCGAGGGGTTGCACGCGAGAACGCCGTCTTTCCTGAATTGACCCCCGGTGAGTCTTAGCACCGTACGAAAGACAACAGTCTGGAGCGATGCGGTACGACATGCGTGAAGTTGCTTTTCTGAACTGAGGACTACTTGACTTCGCCTCCTCTCGAACAACTGGAGACAGAAGTGCGACGGGGTCTATTCACGGCGTGGCCTTGTTCATGGAACCCAAGAACTCCCCCTAGTCACGTCTCCCGTCTCAGTTGGGCACGCAATCGAATATCTTTTCGTAGGGCTCGTGTGCATAGGGCGCAGGTTGCGTGGGCTCAACTATTTTTCGACTCACTGAGAATCGATTTCGCCGTCAGGCTCTAGGTTCTGTTGGGGGAGTTGAGGAATGAATCAATAAACGGGCTGGTTCTTCCGAGAAATCCCGATGGCTTCGAATAGCATCGACCTGATTCCCAGAAGTCACGGCTCAGGATCAATCCCTGGCGAAGGCATATTTCGCCTCTGCAAATTCAATTGAAAGTCAACCGAACGCCAGCATCGGAACAAATTGAAATAACCTATCTCTCGAGCAATACTACTCTGCGCGCGCGAGTACTTAACTTGAGTGCGGTGCTAAATCCGACTACCTTGACGACTTGCGTGAATCGAGCCAATCACGGATTGGATTCCGCCCCATTTTGTTCGAGCACGGCTCCGACCTGATTTACGAACCGATAAGGATTGTTGTCCTCAAACAAGGCGCCGACAGCCGTCAAAACCTCGGTCGATGATCGGTCGAGTTACATCATGAGTCCAAACGATGGACTCGTGCGGAGCTGTGATGAGTCATGATTAACACGCTCCCGGTAAGATCTTGAGAATCGATCGGAAGTGATCTCCGTTCGGGTCCTGGTCGTTTCAGAGTCGGCTACCGCCGCCAATTGAGTAGGTACCGACGGATTCATCAACAAGATGAGTTGTTCATATTCGGTCACGCCATGGAACATCGTCATTGGCATCCATAAACACCGGAGCACGTCTTATTCCAGCGAAGTTCGTGATTAGGTTCCAGAGCGAGTTGAATCATCAAGATGCTGGTCTCATCGAAAGGTGGCGAAAACCCCCGAGCTGCGACTTCTACGAGAGACAGTTCTAAATGGGCTTGAAGAAGTTCGACATCCGACAGCCGGCACGTTTATTTTGACGTAAGAGCGCGGTCTGAAACGGGATGCGCATGCGACCCTTGACGGAACTGAAGTCAGGGACCAGAAACTTGTGAGTGTTCATATTCCTGGGGTAGACTACATGAGCGAAAATTCCTTCAACTAGCTCATTTCCATTACACAAGAGCGGTCCAAGAGTCGACAGGATATCCTGGATAGAATGATGATCACGGAGCGGCGCGGCCGGCGCTGTCTTGCGCCTCAGATGCTTCCACGGAAGGCAATCATTCCCCACGGATTTGGATTTCGTAGCGAAATAATCTGCAGATCCCCAGCGGATACGCCGGAAGTTGATTCTTCCGACATCTCCGCGGACGGATGCAGATCCCGTACCTTTTGCACTCTGATTTCAGACATTCTACTCTCGCGATGCACAAAAGGTCTTCATGAGTTCCACCCTCACTCGCTCTCGGTTATTCGAACTTGGTGAGCACCGCTTTGAAAGATACCTAGGCGAGGTATCCCAGGATCCCTATTTTTTTTAATAGAGATCGAGTCCCGGGCGGAATGGTCTCCGGGGGAAGAGCGGTGTCGATTGACACTCATCGTTTAAGTGGTTCGACACTAGGACGCTACCGTAAAAGCCTAGGGGTTCCCTATCAGGAGTCAGGATCAATAGGACAGTCGTCGAACTGAGGAGAAGGTGCATCTCGCCAAACAGAATCGGCATTCGGTAGACTGGCGAGAACTGTTTGAGAACTGTACATACACATTACATCGAGGTCAAGGTCATCTCGAGAATACCGTTGAAATCACTGACGACACGACGGATCGGACCTTCGAGTGCCGGGCTCGCGCTACACCAAGCGCGCGCGATGCTCGTTTCCATTTTCTGAAGTCTAGTGCACAGAGCATGGCCGTATCTATATTTGAATCTCGAATAGAGTGTCGAATTGGCAACACAGGACCGCGACCGCAAATTCCTTTCTCTCAATCCCTCTACCTCCTAGGCGATTTGAAAAATGGTCTAGAATCGGAAAAACGAGGAATCTCGGAACATTAAGGTTGGAGTAGTTCTCGCTGGAGGACCTCCTGAGAGTGGCTCCGGCGCTGCACAGACTTCGCTGCGATTCAGCAAGGATGCAAATCGTGTCCATGGAGTAAATTCACACAGGAATGTCCAGTATACTCGGCTCCGTCTGGAATATCCCAGCTCTAGAGAAACGGTGCGACAAGCGTACCGAAGAACAAACGAATACCATATCCCAAAGTCAGATCTGTGGTATTTGCGGAGAGAGGTGCTGCCTCTTCCTGCCTCAGGTCCAAGCCGAGAACGAAGCTGATTCCCGAGGGAGAGCGGAACCGAATCCTCCCCTCCCCCTCTTTTATATAAAGGCTAGGCACGCAATACATTCGGATACTCCTCGGGGTCGGGTTCAAAAATGATATGTGATTTAACATTTCGAGACGAGCCACTTCGCTTATCGATTCAGCCGTCGAGTACTTGTAGTCACTGCGATGAAAGATGTCACGGAAGTGTACCTGAGAATAATCATAATTTCCGCGCGTGGCAGGGAATCTCATAGAATTGATCTGCTACCATCGTCTCGACGATGAATTGAACAGTCTCGACGCGGTATCGCTACTCACCACTAATTAGAGAGGCTCCTCCCACTAGTTACCATACTGGCAAGAAGTAGCCCTGCGAGGATTCCCCAAGAAATATCAGGCTGAGATCATATGAATCGATTTATTGGATGGAAGACGAATCGCTACGACGTCTTCACGGTCTTCATGACCTGATCATCGTATTGGCACAACACTCCGATGAAAGTTGCGAGAGCGGAGAGGTATCCGACAAAAGCTTTCTTTTCAATGAAGAAGAAGCCTGCGGCTGAGAGGTTGTCTCGTTCGGGATCATGTCTGAGGATGCGATAGACTCTCGAATCGAAATACCTACCCCCCAAGAACGAAGCCGCAGCCGATTTACTCTTATCAATCATCCGGTTGGACAATCGGACGCTTTCGTACAGCGTCAAGAAGTGCGCGGTCGCAGTAAGGACCGAGGAGGCGATCATCAAGGAGAACGGGGGTCGCTTCACAAGAATCAGGATCAGTATGTTGTAGGACAGCGAGAACACTTTCAGGTACATTAAGACCAGGGCTCTCCCGAAGATTCTGTTGAGATCGATAATATTCTTACGGATCGAAGCCTTGAGCTTCAGGCTTGCGCCCTGCCGGTCATGTGCGATGCTCCGTTCCGCACTTCCTAACCTCGCGCAGAGCATCATCGCGCTCTGTATCTGGAGGATTACGAGCAAAGTTATGAATCGCCAACACACGATCTCGATCGCGACACGAATCCCCGCAACGAGATATGCCGATGATCTACATCTCTCGATCTGGAACAAGATGTAGAAAAAATCCGAGGCCAGGATAACGAGGAACCTCGGGCTATCGAAGTTGGCAGAATTTTCGTTGAAAAAGCTTCTGAGGGTCCCTTCGTCGGTCCAGAGAGTCCGTTGTGCTTCGAGGACCATGCAGATAGAGTTCATGAAGTGGATCATTAGGACCCAATCGGAAATACTCGGCTCCTCTCCGGACGCCTCGTAGTTCCCGAAAGAGTAGCTCACACAGTAAGTCACGACGAGCGCACCGTAGAAGAGTCGAAGGATGAACTTGGGGGTCAGGAACCTTTTCTTCGCAGAGAGTTTTTCCGCTCTCGCTTGTCTCAGATCCAAGCCGAGAATTAAGCACATGAACAGGAAAGACCGGAAAGCAATGAGTTTGACCCGAGAACACATTCCGCTCTCGGAGGACGAGCGCGCTCTAATGATGTCGATGGATGACGACGCTGTTTGAAGGATGCAGGATGACCTGCGGCAAATTATGAGCTTGAGCGGCTCATCGTAAAGGTCGTGCCGCAATTCGCTCTGTCGAAACATCGGAGCCGAGAGCGCGTCGGAAGTATATCAACAGTCTGAGGCTGTCCACCGAGGGTTCACAGATCCAGCCAACCATAACTTGGCTTGTTCCTTGCCATCTTCGAGCACGCAAGTGAATTTTTTATTCATACTCTCCTGGATAGAGTTCACATTTGGGCACACGTCCGCGTGCCCAACAGTCCTGCAGAGGAGCAACTCCGGGAATCGATTATCCACAATCCCTTATGTATTGTGGAATGCGCGCCGCGTCAACGAACGACGTGCTGAGTCGACGTCATCACCTCTGATGACGGGTCTTTTCCCCGAATACGATTCAAGGTATTGTGATCGAAGATTGAGGCTAGTAATGATTGATCATTCGAAATCTCCTACCCGAATTCCATCCACCCGGGCATATATCACTTGCAGTCCGGTAGGGGACGTGCCTCTTCCTGAACTCCGCGACTGCAGGATCAGAATGCACCCGCCCACACAGTGCTTGCCAAGAAAGTGATTTCCTTGCACGATTTCTGTCCCGGATGGGGGATTTCGTCTATCATTGTTTTAGCAATGAGGCGTGCGTGAAATGTTTTGCGCATCGGTCTCCCGGTCGTTTCCTCAGACTGATACCCAGATGTATCGGTGGTTCATCCCCGATCGGCGTTCGTTCGTGGGCTGATGTCTCAGTCAATCAGGTACCGGAGCACATGCGACAATCAGCTTCTCCGGAGCGCTCTTTCGTCGCCCTGGTCCGAGAGATCAGCTCCAAGCGCCACCGTTCTCACGGACGAGCGGAAATTCGATAATGAAGCTCTCGTGAAAAGCGCCCTCCCCTATTTCAGCTCTGAGCAGCCACATGAGCACGCCCTGCCGTACCTCTGGCAAGACGACATGCTTTCGGAAGCATACGGAGCGCCATGCGGATGCAAGTGCAATATCGCCGCGGTTTTTGAGACTTTCTCGGGACGCCGTCGCGTCGGAAACCGATGCGTCCGGCATCTCAGGAAAGAGAACCGTAGAATCCGCAAGAGAAGCGAACAGCTCACAGTCGCCGAGACTCTCATTTTGGCGCTCGGAGACTGATCGTGTTGAAGCTGCGATATGTGACGCTTCAACGAGGAGCTCATTCAGCGAAGGCGAGGTCTCTAGCGGGGAACTCAATCTGCAGACCACATACATAATATGGACCCGGGAGATCAATCGCAAGCCCGTGAATGTCAAGAAATTCCTAATTCACGGGCATCCGCCATCAAGGAACCTCTCGCTGGGACTCGTCAAGGCGTCAAGATTGATGAGATAGCGTGACCTGGAGCTCGCGCCGGTTTCCATGCGCAATATCCTCGAGGTACCTACCTCGGAGCTTACCTACTCGACTTCTAAATGAGCTTCCCTCAGAATGTGGCGGTCAACGTTATTCCGCGGGGATATTCCTCCCATTCAAACTCTGCAGAGGTGTATTCAGTAGCGTTCACGCCACCAAATCTGACACCATGCTATAGAATAACACCGATCTATGACGATAATCAGGAGCTGGACAGCAACCGATTTCCAGGGGGAAGATACCGTTGTTCACATCCCGAAACGGTTCTACCGCGCTGATTTCGTTTCTTCGGGGAGCTCTTTGTGGTAGTCGGATAGTCCCTCAGGCATGATCACCATCCGTCACCTTCCTCGGCTCGTTGGATGAATCTCGTTGGACGCGGACCTAGAGCCTTAAAGTTCTTCAAACCTGCCGATCTCTCGCTTCAGCTTCTGTGGGAGCTTAGTAGGCATCAAACTTCAAATCTTGCTCATTAAGTTCGTAATTCTATAATCGAATTGAAGCAGCACCCCGATGAATGTTGCCAAAGCTGAGAGGTATGTCACGAATGTTTTTTTCTCGATGTAGAAGAATCCCCACGCTGAGAAGTTGTCCCGATCAGGATCGTGGCGAAGGATGCGGTAGTCTCTTGAGTTGAAAGAGCTGCTCTCCAGAAAGAGGGCCGCAGTCGATTGACATGTTTCGATCATTCGGCTCGAGAGCCTTGCTGTTTCGTACAGAGTCAAGAGTTGCATGATCGGAGCCAGGACTAGAAGGCAGAATGTCAAAGATTGATCTGGTCGATCGATGATCAGCAGGATCAGTTCGTGGTAGACGAGCGAAAAGACTTTCATGTATTCCAAGACGGAGGCTATCCCGAAGATTCTGTTGAGATCGGTTATATCATTCCGAATCGAGGCTTTAAGCCCCAGATTCGCGCTACGCCAGTCCTTCCTGATGCTTGATTGCATGCGCTCTAAGCTCGCGCAGAGAAACACTGCGCTTTGCATCTGCAGGATGATGAAGAAAGTTTCGAATCGCCAACACACGGTCTCGATGGCGGCGCGAATTCTACCGAGTCGGTTGTGTTCGAGCTTGAACACTTCCACGTCCAGGGCAGCGTACACTAAATCCATAGCTGTAAGAACCAGGAATCTGGGAACATCGAAATTGACTGATTTATCGTTGAAGAAGCGCCCCAGGGTGGCTTCGTCGCTCCAAAGAGCTCGTTGCGATTCGGCTACAATGCAAATGCTATTTATCTGCTGGATTCTTATCACAAAGTCAGAAGTACTCGGCTTCTCAGGGGCCTCAAAGTAATTCTCGAGAGCGAGGCTCACAGCGAAGGCAAGGACGAGCATCACGTGTACGAGACGAAAAATATTCTTCAGGTTCAGAAACCTCCAGTTGGTTGAGAAATGTCCTTTTTTTTCAGGCCGGAGATCGAGACCGAAAATAATGCACATCCACAAAAAGACGCGGAAGGCGAAATCTCGCACGCGTGAAGGGTGTCGGCTCAGAGAGGTCGTTCGACCCATCATCCTGGCGATAGAATGAGACACTGTGGGGAGAATCCAACGCGATCCGTGAAAGCATGTCGCTCTGCCGAAGCCAGTTGGTTTCGCAGGGGTTCTTTCCCCCGAGCTCTGAATCCTCGTCGCGCGAGCGTCGGGAATGTTAAGTCGTTGTTCCAGCCGTCCTTGTTCCAGTCTGGAGGTCCGCCGGAGGGTGCCTACAAGCAATCAATCAATCCGTGCGTTTATTTTTATGGAATCCGAACACGCGATCGAGCACCGATCCGATTCGTAGCCTCAGGATATGATTTCAGAACTCTGAGGAGCCGCTCTTATAGACATCGATCCAAGAACTTCGAGCTTGATTAAATTGCGTCGGAAGAGAGGAATCAGGGGGGAGTATGCCTATCCCCATGTACGGATGCAGGGGGACGCAGCCAAAACTGGGACTCTTTCCTCGAATAGATCCGATTTCGAATTTTTTGGGCTTGCCGATCCTTGTGGGGGAGATTCTCTCCCGAAATCCATCAAGCTGTGAGAACTATCACAGACATTCCGGAATGCTCATCTTTCTGGATTACTACGGTGCCAGACCCTGGAAACCGACTGGAGAGCGGTCCTGTGGATCTCACGGAAGCCACTCGGAGAATCGATGAGAATCCGTGGGAGAACGGGAGGGCGATCGAGTCCTAGGCAGCAGAATCAGCGAGCCCTGAATTAACGTTTGATCCGCGATCAACGAGGCGAACCGAGCCTCCTCGTGTTCCTTGAAACATTCCCTAAAAGAAATCCGAGCTCCTCCTTCGTTACATCCGAGCACGCGATGGAGCCCCCGAGGAACATTCCACAGACGTAGAGGAAACAGATATTCCCAGATCATTTACAAATATTCAATGGTGGTGCCCGGAGGACAGGGAGCTCCTTCCCGGAAATCCTTCACCTGGGTAAGGTCTAGATCGCGAGGAATTCCTTCTTCTCGGAAATCGATTCAGTGATCGCAGACTCTTCGCTGCAATCAGTCTGTGGCGACAGGAAGATGGGTCGATGGGTGAGCGCGCGATCGAAGAGCCTCGGATACTGTTGACTGACTGTGTTCGATATTAGATGGGTGCTCAGGAGCCAGCGATGAAGATCAGGGGCGACTTCCCCTCAGCTGCAGTCCCCTCGAATTCGGATATGGCAAAAGGCGGAGAATATCACGGAGCCTGAATCGATCCACCAATGCAAATACTTTATTCGCGTTCAAGACTCAAAAAGGTGCTTAGACCCCCGTGTGATCTCATAATCTCATAGAAGGGGGAAATATGGGATTTACAATGTACGTATATTAAGAAACTCATCTTCCCTCGCGCTCGAACAGCGGTCATTTGTTTAAAGTCATCCAAAAGATCTACTCGTCTAATCGAAACTCTATTCGTTCGTCCTTTTGTTCCTCCTCCAATCCTCTTTAAAGCATTCATATGTAAACACTGACATCGATCTCGCGATTGTTGGAAATTTCACATAATATTCACGGTGGCATTTTCGTCAGAGAGCTGCTTGGCTCCAGGGCAAGCTTTCTTGCCGGCTCGTTTACCTGCAAACATCGAAACTCGAAATGATTCAAGACTTCTCCGATCATTTGTGAATGGATATCAAATCCTAATCTACAATCAACGAGCTTCAGGAATTATGGGATGAGAAACTCTCCACTCTCGTGACCGTAGTTCGGCTGCGTTGAAAGGGCGCAACTTCCGATTTCTAGGCCGCGACTACGAATCAATTCTAGACAACTCACGGGGCTCCGGGAAACTTGAAACAAGTGTCTGATCGTCTTGCGGATCTTCGTTCCCCAAATCTTCCTCGTTGATATCCGCATGATCGCCACGGGAGCACACGTCTTCGTGAACCACAAATTTCGGCTGAGCAATAACTGTGACGTGAAAAACCACAATGAGACAGCTTCGACGTTCGACCTTCCACTCAATATTCTCGAGCTCCACCGGAAGACCCAATCGGAAATTGGCCGTCGGAGCCTGCGGCTTTCTCGATTCCGGCAATCGAATTTCCATTCAGATGGTAAACTCAGACCTCGATCAAGCTTTACTTGCCTCGCGAGCTCTCGACCCGCTTCGACGTCTGGTTGACCAGGCGGATGCGATCGGGTTCTTCATCTTCCCAAATCGTCTCTAAGCTTGAGATATAAGTAAAACCTTTCTGGAGGCGTCGCTTCCTATGGACACTGGTCCGCGGCTTCGGTTGAGCTCGGAAGAAGTCGGTTACTTTCATTCGACCCATATCGAAGAAGCTGATGATAGCTGCCATTGTGTATGGTCTATTTCGTTGAGGCGGGAATATTCCACCCCAGGAATCAGTAACGGCGGTGAAAGGCTCCTCCTGCTCCGAATCGGCGCCAAAGGGAATCACAGTATAGGGAGCTCCGACCGAAAGTTTCCAGAAACTCGCATCTCTTGTGCACCGTTTCGTCGAGCTGTTCTTGTTTAGACGATACCTCATCTGCACGTTACGTGAGCGGATCATACGTAGCACATGTGCGTTTCACATTTCGCCAAGGTCCAATGCTCGACTTCGCGGAAAACCATTTTCAACAATTCTGCGATTCCGTGGTAGGTTGCTGCTAATTTACCGTTTTCCATGGCTCCAGTCGATTCTTTCTAACCGTAGCCCCCGGTTCCAATTATCCTCCCCGCTCCGTTTCGTGGAAATGGAGGGTGAAGGGAACCGACAATTCCTGTTGAGGCGTCCTGGTTCTGCGAACATAGAGCCTCAAATCTTCGTCTTAGTCGGAAAGGTCGCCAGAGACCGTAGTGCTGGACAGCCCTCTGAAGAATCGTCGAGACCGGTTCCGACTCCTTCTTCTCCCTGCTTCTCCTCCGGAGGAAGTCTCCTGCCGAGTTCCGAAGCATCGAGAGGATATCCCGTCTTTCATGCCGCCGTACCCGTCTGTCATTGTACTTCCCTGATTTCCGCCTGCGAATCTCTCCGACCACGGCACCGCGCAACGGAATATTTGGACATCCGATTCGGGAATCGATCTTGCTTGAGAAGCGCTTCTTCTGGAAAGCTACTTCACTCTCCCTCCTAAACCTCCCGACTCTTCCCATGCGAATTCACACCTTCTTGAACAAGCCGGAATGGCAAGAATGCTCCAGCGGTAAGTCTCGACGAAGACGTCCTCCAAGGAGCAGGGCAGGATCCGGCCTGAACCGTGTTAGTCCCTCCATAGATTTAATCTCCTTGAAGGCTACTGCGCTAGAATCGAAAGTTAAGCATGGCTAGATGTTCGTCGCCGGGGAGTTTCCCCTCTCCCGTCAAAGGTATTTCAGATGATGCCGTTCTTCCTAACCCCAAGCACTCTCGAATCACTAGATTGACTGACAGATCGGAATCGGGCTTGCTCGATAGGTGTACATAGGTGTGCAAGAGGCAAGGCAGGTTAAGGGATGGCCAGAGCTCCGGGAAAATTTTTCCTGACAACGGACCTCTCGGGAAGTGATCGCCAGGGGCCGCTGTTCGCGAAGCCAGGTTTGGACCTCGTGGCTCCGTAGGTTTTCCCGTGTTCACTAACTCCGAATTCTGGGAACAGGAGCCCTCAGCCTCCGCAACTCCCAGGAGTTATTCTCAGCGAGCAGGATTTCGAAGAAGCCGTTGAAACATTCTTTCTTAATAGTAGTCTCCCAAGATCTCTCGTCTCCGTCTTTCGTAGAAACGACGAGCGATTCGAGGGGTGAGCTGATGCCGGCCGCGCAGGATCCCGTTCTACTGTTTCTTTAAGCTTAATGAAGCGTGCCTGATGAATCCATGAACTAATGAATCATTTGAAAACTTCCGCTCGACTTTCGACTCGATGAGGATCCCCAGTCCGTGTTACTGATGTCATTTGTCCGGGTTCGGCACGTTATTACAAGGGCGACGAAGACTCTCGACGAAAGTCGACAGTAGTTCCCACTCTCCGCCCGACTGAGAACGACCATCACTTTTTTCGGCGTATACCCTGCGGCCGAGCATGAGCGGTCGCTGTCCCAGCATCAATGAACCCTCCGAACGGGACCAGAAATATTTCTCTCACCCGACGTTCTGCTCATCGTCTAATCACATGCAGGCCGATCGACAGGTTTGCGAAATGATCCTGAGCACCGATTCCTGAGAATTCGTCATATTCGGCGCCGATTGGAATACAGTTCCGTTGGCGAGTTCCTTCTGAGTGGATCTCTGGCACGTCGTTCACGATCCCCTACACACAGAAGAGGTAATAGCTCTATGAACTCATGTTCCGCGATCGGAAGCATATCGTTTTTCGAAGCGCTACGATGTCCCTTGTTCCGGAGGCTGCCTCGATGGTGATCCAAGTGGTCACGCCGTCATATTATTTCCTCACTCACATATCCGGAACCCCTCGCGAAACCCGACTAGGTAGTCCCTTATGACCGAATCGAAGAGTTTTGTGTCCCAGGCAAAGCGACCCGTCGAAAGGTTGATCAAAGACCTATAGGTAGAGGATTTATCGTCGACTTCAGATATCCCCCCTCGTCCGCATCATCCGAGGAGGTGTTCACCCTTTTCGGATCGCATCAGTCTTTGACAGCTCCCGAGGTTTTTGCTCATTGTCAGAAAGCAGGTGAATATCGACTGATTGGGGTATACTGCGGTCCCGAAATTCACAAAAGTTCCTGTTCGAGCCGGTGTTGTCTCCACCGTGGAGCTGATAAGATTCCACGTCATTTGCAAGAGGAAATTCCGGATCCGTCACATATGAGCCGAAGCGATCAAAGTTCGGAAATCGATACAATTTCCCGATTGGCTCTGTTGACTTTTTGAATTGACAGGCTCTCCGTGCGGTAAGAGCGACCTCCGTCGATTAGGCGCCGTCATGCGCCGCTGATCCAGCGGACAGTTTCCTGGCTGTTCTCACCCTCTCCCTCAGGAAAAGATATGTGACGTGAGATTACCTAGACTCCCTCGATTGACTTCGGGAGTCTGGCTAGGGCTTCTCGGCTCGAAAAAATCGGTCGAGCTGATCACTGAATTGAATCAGATCACACAACTAACGGCATCTCAGGAAAATGGCGTCAGCGTCGCGCTAATGCAAGATGGCGATGTCGATAATGGTGGAAGGAGGAACCGCCCGTCAAACGGTCAGCAAAGATCACTAGCATCAGTGACTTCGGTCTCCCATCGAGAGATTCCTTTATCGTGGAATTTCACCCTGCGTACTTCTTGTGCGCACTTCCCATAGACTTGGCATACGAACAATTTTACGCAATCTTGAGCATACGCACAAGCATAGAAAATTACGCCGTACAGAGCGTACAAGCGTGCGAACCGGATTTCTTGTCAACGGAGAGAACTATATTGCTGCTGCCGCCAGCGCCGCCGCCGCGATACGCTCGCCTCTTCGACCGACTCGGGCCGCCGCCGCGCCACCGCCGCCGCCTGGCTGCTGCCTGGCTGGATGGATGATGTTTATGAAAACATGGCCGCCGACGACGACACCACTGTGTGCAATCGTCTTCGAGGTGAGACTGCTCTCTGAGCGTGTAGAAGTGTTTTGGCGCACTTCTGGAGCGATTTGGAAGCTCGGAAATATATGAGAATCCGTCAAGGAGCAACCGAATGTTTCGCGTCAGCGACGGCGGCCGAAGGATTGAATAGGGAATTGTCTTGCGAACAAGTCTTCTGGAGGAGCGCCCGACTGTGGCCGATCTTCCGTTCGTCCAACCATCAGCGACGAGTCAGACGAACCAGGAGCTATCGGCTGAGTGTTAATCGGATCGAGCAGTGCAACAATTTTTATCAGGGAACAACAGCAACGACAACAAGCCGATCCAATGAAGTCGAATACCGATTATCGAGTTTCTGAGCCGCTCTCACGATGAAAGAAATGTTGGGTGGCTGCTGTGTGTGCTCGGACGAGAGGGGTTGGACTGAGAATCCGCTGGTTTACTGTGACGGGGCCGGTTGCAACGTCGCTGTTCATCAGGGTGAGTGCCCTTCCCATCGATGAATCGATTAATCAAGTAATAATCTATCGTTCTGCCGCATCTACGAAAACATCACAAGAGTTCCGACACCCACACTCAAAGCGAGCGATGCGGTGCCAGCACCGTTCCCCAATTCTCACACTGCACAAGAAACCCCACACGAGAAGCTGTGAAAACACCCGAGAGTCGATCAGGGGTCCGTGGTATCATCATTGTCGGCATCATGAGAGAATTCGAGAAGCCAAAAACGAAACCGCCCCCCCCGGTTTGGCTGAGTGATCATGATTTACTGAAAAGCGTCAAGGCGCAAGCTACCGAATCTGCGAGAAGTCGTTGACAGCGACTCGGTCCTCCAGTAGTTCAAGTTCGCCGCAGCCCTCTTGGGATGAAGATCCTTTCTCCTTGAACAGCTATTGAAGTTGGTCAGGCTAGGGCGCGGAAATAATTTCGGAATGGATGGAAGACAAGAGGAAAAAGTCGGAATTTTCCCCCCTGCTCGGGAAAGATTGAAGATCCGGTGCAAAGATGCCCCGAGTAACGGAATCGTACTCCATTCCATCGCCTGGTCGCTCTCCATCCCCTATCACGGCGACGTAGATTCCAATGAACGCGACTTTTGGCGGCACTCGGTGCCGCCTTGACGTCGTTGACGTATTTCGGCGGCAACGACACAGATGTCTCCGGCAGTCGGACTTCCTTCAGAGCAGATGTGAACCTACGACTGCTCCAAGCTCGGGACTGATAAGCGCGCCCGCTATCCGGGAAAGGACACTTCTCACTATCAGTTCTGGAACGATTCCTGCTCCAGAAATCAGATAGGGGAGCGGAAGTCGTGATTCCGTCACAACCCAGAGATATCGAGTTCAAAGGAACAAAACAGTGATTATTTCCTTTAGGGCTAATCCGATCGAGGATAGCTCATGTCCTGAGCTTCTTCCGAGACTGACCCGGAAATTTCATCCCTCGTTGTAGGGTCCTTCAGTGAATGGACTCTGTGAAGATTGATCGAACTCGAACTCGAATCTTCCCCGTCGCTCCCGAGTCGCGAGGATCCCGTGCGGATCACGGAGCAAAAACCTCAGGAGAATCAGCTTGCGATGTCGTCAATGCCGATCGAATCAGGGTCACCTGGGGAAAATCGAATATTCCCGCAAATGAACTCGATCATTCTCTGGCGTGAATGAAGCGTCGTCGCACGTACTTCAGGCAGGCGATACTTGGAAGCCCGCGCAGAGAGAGAAAATTCTCAAGTCTCTGGGGTCCCAGGAGCAGATGGTCTCTCATTTCGGTTACGCTTCCTGCCGCTGTCAGTTTCTCAACGTCATTAAGTCAGCGGTCGCGATTCACAACCTGCGAGAGGGTTTCATCTGGTGCTCAGGAATGCGCCCGCAAAACACTCATTTTACTGAGTGGTCCAAATCAAGCCTAACACCTCACCGAAACGAATAAGATTCCTTTGATACACGATGTACAAGCGGCACAATCGATATCTATTTTCCCGGACCCGTGACGATATGTGAATACCTGGCAAGTAATGATTGGTGTATTCTTTCAGCGTGTTATGGAATTGTGCAGGTACCCACCGGTCCGTGGTTCTGCCGGAAATGTGAATCACAGGAGCGAACAGCGCGGGTGGTGAGTAGAAATCGATGTCTTTGAGATTTAGGGATAGATCAATCAGTGAATATATAGGAATTCCTTGTCAGGAGTATAGCGAAGAGATTTGCTAACTCCTAGGACCATTCCAAGAAACTCCCCTCCGGGAAAAAATCCAGTCCCGGATAATTGGACATCGGGAGGCGTTGGCGAATCCTTGAACAGTAGTGCATAACCACTGATTGAGCTTCCCGATTATATTGGGCTCCTCACACATCTGCCCAATGATCAGCGATGATCGGGAGCTACTGGTCGTGAAAGGACAGGCGGCTTCGGATGCCTCATTCTTATGCAAGTCTGATGAAGGGGAGCCGCAGGTCCGGGTGACACTGTACCCGCGTGCGGGGGCTGGGCCGATGATCATTCGACGGACGTCGACTTCTCTATAGGGATCGTCCTCAGCTCCACGAAGCTGTTTCCAGATCGGAGCCTTGCTCATCTGCACATCGCTCAATTTCCACCTTCCATACCGGACTTCCCTTATGTTCTTTTGAGTCGAATACATCGAGGCAGAATTTCGAGACGGATAGGTGCGTCTGCGAGAGCAGTCTGTGGGGCATTTAAGCGGAAAAAAAGCCATCAATGCTCATGTGAAATGGTATTCTTGACGGATCAGAAGACAAGTTAGATCGCGCCCACCATTGCCAGCGGTCGATCGCCTTGCTCGATGATGGCGAGACGGAGCGGTGTTTTTTTGTTATTGTTGGAGCGAGTGACTCCGAATTTTGCAAAGAATATTATCTATGATAGGATCCTCATCCACGCTCATGGATAAGGATGGCGATTGTTCCGAGGTCGTCGAAGTGAGAGAGAACTATGCGCCCGATGCTCGAATGATATTTCCAGTTTTTCGCCAGTATGCAATGGCTGGCAATCGCGAACCAGGAAGTGGGGGTGGTTCTCCTGTGGCTTTGTCCCCGCTCAGTCTTGCTCTCCGCCGATAATATCCAGGTCGTGGTTTGTGGTGTTCTCCTCAGAGATAAGCGGGAGAGATCAATTATATCTCGGAATCGAGGGGGACCGGGGAGCCGGAACCCACGTGGGTTGATCTTCACTGGAGTTCGGACGACGAGTGTGCCTTTGTACACGATCTGGGACCACCGGAGAGATGGCGGTCGGGTCATCGCATGAAAATCCGCTCGGAGAGTTCATCCGCGCATGATTCTCGCATCTCTCGTTCAGTTCCGAGCACCGAGCGTTATGAATCGCGCTTGCGGCTCAGATGGGTTGCCTCTCCTCTATGGTGCGTGTGTGGCATAAGATCCCAGACATACGCCTCGGAGAGTCGTCTCCTCACGCGGGGTTCAATGAACTCGGTGGCTCGAGAGCTGTGCGATACCGAGAGGGGCCGCGGTACTGCTCCTGGGTTTGGCTTAAGCTCAATCATTTGGTCTTTCGTCCGTTTTCCCTTGATTCTACGACCGCAAACCAGGCACAGCATATACATATGTATCAGGCTGGAGAGGGCTTCGAGCGGCTTCTCTTACGCTCAGTGGTCGCTCATCTCCCGCGCACATGACGAACTCGTCTCTTGGCACAGAATCACCGGGAACTCCGGCCTCCTGGAACCGGATTCGACACTTCATCCAATAGATTGGTCGGAATCTGTGGATGCTTGGAACTTTGGGAGCTCAAAGCTTTTATGTAATGAGAACCTTCTGTCGTCTTTTTTCGAAGTTCAGCGGTCCATTGGCGGCCTGTCGTGTACTAATGCACCTTCTCCATCAGACGATTCCGAGACCGAGCATGAGAAGGCTCCGACGACTGAATTGTTCAACTCTGACTGAGAGTGAATAGCGGCTCGAGAATGAGAGGAAAAGGCATGATCTTAAGTCCCATAGTCTCTGCTGTCCACCGCCACCAAATCGTCCGAGTCGGCTGAGCCTAGATACTGCATGGGGCGGCTCCGCTCATTTTCCACAGGAGTCCTGGGGCATTCCTTGTGGGAGCATTACACGCAAACGTGCGGCGTGCACGGTTTTTCCCCTTGGATTAAAGCAGTACCCGATTCATTCTAGCGGTGTGAACTGTGCCCGTCGCGCGATGGAGCCTTGAAACGAACGGATGCAGGTGGATGGGCGCACGTAGTTTGCGCCCTCTACATACCCGAAGTGCGGTTCGGAAATGTCACTACCATGGAGCCCATTGTTCTGGCAATGGTGCCGCAGGAGAGATACCACAAGTCGTGCAGTCTTTGCTCGGATTCTGGACATGCGTCGGTGAGTTCCAATCGAAGCCGTGAAACGTCGATTTTCCTCTCGTGATCATAAGACTAGCATCTCGACGGTTCCGAGCTGTCTGATGGCAGAAATCACCGAATGCACGAGACATACCGAGTCGATGAGCCGTACTTGAAAGAGCTGCGCGAAGTTGAACACGGAAACAATTCTCATTTCAGCTTGGAGCATGCATGCAGTGCAATAAAGCTGGTTGCAAACAGTACTTCCATGTGACGTGCGCGCAAGCGTCTGGTTTGCTTTGCGAGGAAGCCGGCAACTATATGGACAATGTCAAGTATTGTGGATATTGCCAACACCACTACCAGAAATTGGTAAAAAATCGTCTGTCTCATAAATGGATTGCATATCGTTATGTATATCGGATCCAAGTTCTCATCATGTGCGGTGAGCCCGTCCGACTAACGGCTGAAGAACTCTCGTCTCCGTTCACAGAAGAAAGACAGCAACATAAAAACGATACCGGCTTTCAAACCTCCGTCCTCTCATCCACCCACACTCTCGGACGACGACGACGACGACGATAGTGACGATGCGCCTCAGACCTCGACGACGAGAGGGAGGAAGTCCACGAAAATCAAGAAACCAATCTACACTTCAGACTCCTCGGGCGACGACGAAGACGTCTCACTTCCGCCACCGCCGCCAGCTTTAAAAACCCCGCCAAAACGAGCGGCCAAGGAGAAACCCACAGTATACGACGACCCCGAGTTCGATGATGATTCGAATGGCGCCAAAACGAAATTCGAGAGCAAGACTCGCGACGATTACAAACGTAAGTTGAACATTCACAGAGCGAGTGGTCGTGCAGACGGGGATGCTACATTATCCCAGACGTCGCCTGACCTGATTGAACGACCTCAGTTCACTTCCTAGCGATATACAGTGCAGAGCTGCCTGCGGCGCGAGCACGTTGTTGCTGTTCTTAGCAGAAGGACTTCACTGTGGGTTCCTCGCTCTAGTTCGAGTCGCGAGTGCACTTCTAATCGCATCGCTCCTCCGTATCCCCAGCTGCGAAGCAGAAGCGCTCTTCCGAGAAGAACCTTCCAGCTATAGTGTCGATGTACGATTCCCTCACGAAGGGCTCGACGCAGAAAAAGTCCCAAGGCACAACAAAACGTTCATCTACGAAGGAAAAGGAGAGCCCCGCTCCGAAGGAAAAGGATGCCATTCCCCCACCTCCATCCGCCAAGCGACCTAAAACACCGAGCAGTTCGGCTGTGGCGGCGGCGACGACGACAGCCGCGGCGACGACCCCGCCCCCCTCCAGCAGCTGCTGGTCCCTCGACCAGCGCTCAACCTCCAAGGTAAGTTCTTCTTCTCCGAGAAGTATATTCCGGAACGGGATGGCTAAAGTCGATTTCATCTTCGGATGATCAATGGTGAACGTTCAGAGTCGAACTTCGTCTTCATCCAAGATGGCAGTAATCGCTCGGTGAGATCGAATCGAGCCCAAAGATGCGCGGCGGATGATTGATGGTTCGATTGTTTTTCAGTGAGCCGAGCTCGACAGCCGTAGCGAAAGAACCGCCGAGTTCGGCGCCCGGCGCTCGTATCAAGTACGACGGGAACCTGGTGCCGCCTCACTTACCAAAACGGCCGGATCTCTCGAAACCTTCACCGTCATCAGACGTCGCCTTATCGTCGTTGGAGGCGTTCCTCGAGAAGCAATGGGAGCAATCAGGCATGCTGCTTATGAAGCACGCCCATCCTTTCGACGTTGCGGCGTTGTTGTCTTGTCTTCACCAATTGCGGAGCTCCAACGAGTCGATCGAGGATCGAATCGCCACGATGCAGGCTCGCAAGGATCAATTGCTAGCCATCAACGCTCGACTCAGTCTGCCGATAGGTTTACTTCACTCAACCAATCAGCTGACGGCGTCGGGCATGACATCGATCCCGGCTGCAGCTGCCCTCAGTCGAGTCCGTTCCGCAATCAACGGTCTGCCAGCCGCGATGAACGGCGTCGCAGCCGTCATGAACGGAGCGGTTTCAACCAACGGTCTGCCGCCGGGTATGAGCGATCTACAGAGCGTCGCCGGACCATCTTCATCGTCTCGGACGGAGAACGGTCTCAACGGAAGTGCCAAAATTCCCGAGAAAGATCGATTTCATCCAAATCCTCCTACGTCCCAAGCCCAAGGTGGTCAAGCTTCCGCGGGTCATGTCAATCCAGGCAGCTCGTCACAAGCTCCTCCATCCGCTTCCCATCCCCCTCCGCCTCCTCCTCATCATCACGGCTACATGGGCGCTATTAACGAGTCGGTGGCGGCGGCCATGGCCGCCAACGGACGTCTGCCCACGTTGCAAAACTACAATAACTATGCATCTCAACATAAAAGCAAAAGGTGATCTGAGCGTAAACGTGTCGAGAAACGCCGCTGTCCTACGTTCGATAACGACACGTGACAAACGCTCAGTCGGGGAGTCTCCTCAATTGTCGCGGTCCGGTGGCTCGCCGTCTCTGATCTCCGGCACCGTCAGTATTCATGATCGGATGTCCCGTAGTTCATTGGGCGAACCGTTGTGCCGTCAGTCAGTTGCCTCGCAAAAAATGTGTAATATAGAGTCGGTCGTGACGTCAACGAGTCGCCGCTGCTGCTACTGATGATGATGATGATGATCATGGAGATATAACCGAAACGCGATCGCCAGCCAGTCAGCCTAGCGATCGCTGTCCAAATCGACGAGTCTAGAAAATTAGGTGATGCGGATCGGAATGCAGTATTTATTGGAGGTTTGTTCACATTGAGAGTTTTTCTTCTGGCATGAAAGGTTCACTGCAATTCATATGAGTTTCGCTGGTGGGAGGCTTCGTCATGGCGACCGATCGGGTTGAACGAAGCGATCATCTTTCCCCTCGTCCACATCAATCTGACTGAGACAGTTTGGCTCTCGGCCGCCAGGCTCGACCGCTCGATCTGTTGACGATGATGATAAAATGATCTTCAGAATGTCAAAAGCAATGTGAATAAAGTATTGTTCGGCCAATCGCGTCCGGTGACGGGGAAGAGAAACTTCGTACCCTGAATCATGTTAGGTATAATGTAATTTAACTCCGTACTTGTACTCCATTCGTATTCGGAACATGAATATCAAGACAAGCGGATGAAGAGAGCCTATAGCAACCTAGTTGTAATTGTAAATTAGTGCAACGAAAACCCCTGTATCTAACTTGGCGACGCGTTTGACGGAGATGAAACACAACGATACAGGCTGGGAGGCATGAACGTCTGGCCTCGCGTTATGTACACAGTCATCTACATGATGAAAATCATCTATCGTCATGTGCTGGCGAAAATTAGCTAGACCTGTAAAAAAAGACTGAATAAATCGGCTAAGCTTTTGCCTTATCAAGATCACGTTCGATAACTAAGGGTCCCAAGCGGCAAATTTCGCCGACGCCGACGGTTCCCGAGGACCTGCTCGAGAAATTCAGAAACCTCCAGAGAGGATCGATTGCTCCTCGCGGCTACGGAAAGAAGAAATTCCCACTCATCGGGTATGGATGCTCGACGGGCATAATCTTCATTTTCTTTAATCAAGTAAACATCGGCTCGGTAAGATCCCTGGTTGAAATATATTAATATGTATAACATGTTAATATTGGGTGTCAAATGTACAGCAGGAGCTCCGGATTCCGCATTGCGGGGACTGATCCGTGTAGAGGGCGGACAAATCTCTCAGCTTCCGAACTGTTTCCGGAGATTTCTATAATGAGCAAGTTCGTCATCACCGACAGACGGCTTCGTCTCCACGAGAGCTGCCCGAAAATCCTCATCCGTCACGACAACGACGGACTCGTTCGCTTCGATACAACGAGCCATCGCTGATGTGTATGCGGTTGCGCAGAGCGAATACAGATCGGCACCGGTGAACGTTTTCGGGCACCGTACACTGACGGCCTCCAAGTCCACGCTGTCGAGTTGCATCTTCCGAGTGAGTGCTTTCAGAACTTTCAGTTTCACTTCGGGTTCCTCAGGAATGTCAACGTAGATCAGCCGATCTAAACGGCCCGGACGTAAAACGGCTGGATCCAGGAGGTCGGGACGATTGGTTGCGCCGATGACGAAAACTTGTTCCGACTTCGCCATGCCGTCCATTTCTGCCAAAAGCTGAGACACGACCCGGTCGAGTACTCCACCCGAGTCTGCGCTTCCTCCTCTGCGCGGAGCTAAGGAATCGAGCTCATCGAAAAATATTATGCAAGGCTCGACCGAACGGGCCTTCTCGAATACTCTGCGCACGTTTTCCTCGCTTTGACCCACGTACATGTTGATGAGTTCGGGTCCTTTCACGCTGAGGAAATTCATCGAGCATTCGGTCGCAACGGCCTTCGCCAACAATGTTTTCCCCGTGCCCGGAGGACCATACAGTAGAACACCCGAGCGCGATAAGGAAGAATGAGCGATCCGGAAATGCCTCAACGGCGACTGCACGGTGTCGAGAATATTCTTCTTCGCTTCCTCCAAGCCTCCGATGTCCGACCATTTCACCGAGGGGATTTGAGGGGCGCCCACGTTCTTGCTGCTTTCCATCTGGATCCTTTTCAGAGCATTCATCGCATCCTCCATCGAGAGGAGAGGACCGCAGAGCTCAGCTTCCTCCGAAGAACCGATCTCTTCCAATCTCTTGGTCATGCAGAGCTGCGTTGAGCTAGCGAAATCGACCAGGTTACCGAGAAGAGAGCCACCCATCATGCTCGCGACTGCCTTCCAATCGAAAAGAGAGCTGCACGGACTCTCAGAGAGTAGGGTTTTCAAAACATCGATCGTTTCCTCTTTGCTGATATTCTTCATCTCGACTCGGGAAAGTATCGCAGCCGTGACTTCGCTCGGGATACGGGTGACATTCGAGGTGGTCATGATGACGACGATCGGTTTCTTCCCGTTGGCTTCGTTGAAGACGAGCTGTCTCAAAGTTTTCGCAAAGCTGTGACTCAGTCTCGAGTCCTGCTTGTCCTGGATATGGTCGAAAATCAAATCCACTTTCTTCAGATGAAGAACACAGCTCCCGTAGGAGTTTGTCTCTTCGAGACAGTTCTTGATCCGCTTCTCAGCCGTCGACGCGGTGTCCCCGGTGAGGTCATCGCCGTTGATCGTTCGCAGTTGAAGACCCAAACCGTGGGCGATGGTTCGAACCGCGAGAGTTTTCCCGGACTTACTCGGACCCGAGATGAGGAAGAGCAGATCGTTCCTCCGTGACTCGCGTCCATCGATGGACTTTTCAATGAATCTCGCCATTCCCTGTATTTTGCGGAAGATTGATTCGCCAGTGTTGAAAATCGGATGGAATGGGGGCGTTTTCGCGAGTGTGGGGATCCTGCTGGGAACCTCCTTGTTCAGCACGAGGCTTGTCTCGCCTTTCTGTACCCACAACGATTCGTGATCGTTGTCGGTTAGAGCCTGAACGACGATATAGACTGGTGGTTTATCACTGTGCGACTTGTCGATCCGCGTCCGGCTACTTTGGAAATTCTGTTTCGAGATCGCAATGACGTCCCCAACACTCAGCAGTCTCGGTTTCCGGAAATGATGATGCAGCATCAGACTCAGATCTTTTTCGGGGACTGTGTTCGCGGGAGATATCGCTAGCGCGATCGTTGCTGTCTTCGCGAACGGAGCATCGACTTCGATGGGACGGATTTCGCACGTAGTGCTCTGTTGTGTCGAACTCACATTGAAGAGCAGTTGCCAGGTGACTTGAACACCTTCGTCCTTCAGACAGGCGATCAGCGACGCCGGGACGACTCTTACTTGCCGAGAGCGACGATCAGTGACCAAGTCCGCCCAGCAGAAAGGATTCAGATTGAGTTCGTATATGAGATCAGAAGCCACGAACACGCATCTGTCGAGGTCCAACTTCGGATCGCACGCGTTTTCGGCCAGACATCGGGAAACACTTTCACCAATCCGCTTGTAGTCATGAGTGTTGACTATTGCCCTCAGGGTGAGGGCAGTTCCTTCAGTTCCACTTGCGTAGGCCTCGTCACTTATGGTTTCAGGAGTTCGTCTCTCTACGGAGATCAACTCCGTGGAGAGACTTATCAAGCCGAACGCGTACGGGAAAACGTGCGTGACCGTGAGTTTCCCGAGGGTGCTTCCTATATGAACAAGTGATTCACAATGAGTACTGAGCCATGTCGGATTTCCTGCTTCCTGGACTGCATCGGCTTCGCCTTCGAGCACTACACGCTTCAGGGTAGGACATTGTTGAATTTGTTGGAACACATAGTCCCTCTTCTGTTCTATCCGGAACTCTTCTAAGAAATGGCGGGATACAGTGAACTCAATAAATTCACCAGTTTCGAGAGCTCCACGGCTAATCACTTGGAAGACCACGGCCTTTGAAGGAGCTCCAGGTGGCCAAGCAGCGCCGAAACTTCCCTGATCTGCAGAATGAAGCACTCCGCCTCTCGGAGAAGCGATGGCTTTGAGGCTTTTGCACGGCTTGAAGTGAAAGTCCAATACGAAACGGCAACGGATGTGCGTCGGGTTCATCGTGGCATCACAAGAGCTCCAAGACTTCGAAAGATGTTTCCGCTCTTTAAACCGGCTCGGGATTCGGGATTCCGCAATCTGATGATCCAACAGGTGAGTGAGTGAGTGTGCCGCCTGCCCTCTGTTTGTAAATAGTGGAGAGCTGCACTCGGTGGCCGGTCCGCTACCGATGCCGGAAAATGAATCCGAAAACCTCTTGGAACGTTTCTCAGTTTCAGAAAATTATTGAATTCTAGCATCACTCGACTCGACGCTCGGAAACGTTTTGCGCGAGTCGACTGATGGCGATCTAGTTGACCGTGGGAGAGGGGCGGATCACTCCGCCCTAGCGGTATCCGTTTCGGATTGCAGTCGGGCTGTTCTTTCCGGCGGACCCACGTGGATTTTTCGCTGTTCCTTCGATTTGCAATCCTTGTGACGTTGTTTCGGCTAGAGACAGCGACTTGTGTTCGGCCGGCACGGTCATAGAGGTAAGTTCGGCGAGATTCCGTCCGCATTGGGCGATCGGTTGGGGTATTTCTACACGTTCGAATTTCTCGAGTTTTGAGCGGAACAACACAGATGATCTTCCTGACCATATTGTTGGTTCTCCTTCGATGGGCGACCTACTCGGCAGGAGCACTCTTTGGAGGCTCGGAATGACCCTCTCTCGGATGTCACTCAGATTTCCGGGTGTCAGAGGAAAGGCACTTGCCCGACATAACGGAATAGAAGTTCCGGCTCGGCAGGAATGATAGCAGGCCGTCGCGGTCCAGTTCGATGAACGTTCAGCTCCTACCTGCGAGATTCAGTCCCCTTACGATTCGCCGGTCTCAGGTCTCGATCATTCTGTCGATGGAGAGCCCTGTTCGTTCTCACCGGGAACGAGTGTATGCTGGTATCCGCCAAGCGGGAAACACATCTGTCTCAAAGCGATCGGGTTTCGACATCCTTTGTTGTGATCCGGGGAATGCTTCCAGCCGGACTATGCGGGGAGCTACCGGGCGGGACAGACACCACCCTTATTCATGATGCTGTCTTCCCGGTTTCCCCAAGGTTCGGGAAATGAGGAATCGCCATCGAAATTTATAACTCTTGGAATCGTACGGAACAAGTTCGGAAGCTCATCGTCTCCGGCGAACTCCAAAGGTCCAATCCTTGATAAACGAAGCTCCAAAGTCTCTGGAAAAAAATGTCCATCAGCCTCTTGAAGATTCGTCGGGTTGCTCGCCCCGGGACCGAAAGTCCCGGAGGGGAATTTTCGCACCGCAGAGAAGCATATGGCGAGCAGTGCGGTCGGCAGCTGTCTGAAGCTTCTGGTTCAGGTTGCATTCCATGCCGCGTAGTTCTCCGCGGCTATCGCGGAAGGAACGGGAAACGTCTCCGAATAGACTTCATGAAGGAGAACCTGAATCTCCGTGAGCTCAGCTTTCGAATCTAAAAACTTATTCCGGTTCCAGCGAGAAAATGGCGAGGAATTTGAAGAAAGAAGATCTTCAGGACAAGCTGACGCGTATAGCCATTGTATCGACGGACAAATGCAAGCCGAAGAGATGTCGCCAAGAATGCAAGAAGTCCTGTCCGGTCGTCAGGATGGGGAAGCTATGTATCGAAGTGACTCCCAACGACAAAATCGCCGAGATTTCCGAGAACCTCTGCATCGGTTGCGGTATCTGCATCAAGAAATGTCCTTTCGAGGCAATTATGATAATCAATCTACCGTCGAACCTGGAGAAAGACACAACTCATCGATACAGCGCAAACTCTTTCAAGCTCCACAGATTGCCGACGCCGAGACCCGGTGAAGTTCTCGGTCTTGTCGGAACTAATGGTATCGGTAAATCTACAGCATTGAAGATCCTGGCAGGTAAACTCAAGCCGAACCTCGGTCGTTACAACGATCCCCCCGACTGGACGGAGATCTTGGCCTACTTCAGAGGGTCCGAACTGCAGAATTACTTCACAAGGATCCTCGAAGACGATCTGAGAGCCGTCATCAAGCCACAGTACGTCGACCAGATACCCAAAGCAGTCAAGGGCACCGTCAGACAATTACTCGATAAGAAAGACGAAATGGGTAAAAAGACGCACTTGGCAGACATACTGGAGCTCAACAGCGTCATGGACCGACAGATTGGAGATCTGTCCGGAGGCGAACTCCAGAGATTCGCGACGGCCATGGTGTGCATCCAGCGCGGAGACATTTTCATGTTCGACGAGCCGTCGTCCTACCTCGATGTCAAACAGCGTCTCAAAGCTGCCTTGGCGATCCGGGGACAGATCGAAGCAACGAAGTACGTGATCGTTGTCGAACACGACTTATCGGTCCTAGATTATCTGTCCGATTTCATCTGCTGCCTCTACGGTACTCCGGGCTGTTACGGAGTTGTCACCATGCCGTTCTCGGTCCGTGAGGGTATCAACATCTTCCTCGACGGTTTCGTTCCCACGGAGAATCTTCGATTCCGGGAGTCTTCGTTAGTTTTCAAAGTGTCCGACAATACCGGTGACGAAGACGTCAAGAGGATCTGCCGTTACGAGTATCCGACGATGGTCAAGATAATGGGCGACTTCAAACTGCAGGTCAAAGGCGGATCTTTCACCGACTCCGAGATTATCGTCATGCTCGGTGAGAACGGCACAGGGAAAACGACTCTCATCCGAATGTTGGCCGGGAAACTCGCGCCCGACGGAGGCGAGACTGTACCGGCTCTGAACATTTCGTATAAGCCTCAGAAGATTTCTCCAAAAACTCAAGGCACCGTCCGTTTCTTGCTGCACGAGAAGATCCGTGACGCGTACCAGCATCCACAGTTCGTTGCCGATGTCATGAAACCTCTGCTGATCGATAGCATCATCGACCAGGAAGTTCAGAACCTGTCAGGAGGAGAGTTGCAGCGAGTTGCGTTGGCCTTGGCGCTCGGCAAGCCAGCAGACGTCTACCTCATCGACGAGCCCTCGGCCTACCTGGACTCAGAACAGCGTTTGGCCGCTGCTAAAGTCATCAAGCGCTTCATTCTTCACGCAAAGAAGACTGGATTCGTGGTGGAGCACGATTTCATCATGGCCACTTATCTCGCCGATCGCGTCATCGTGTTCGAAGGAGTTCCCTCCGTCGACACGGTCGCAAACGCTCCACAATCGTTATTGGTAGGAATGAACAGGTTCCTCGAGCTGCTGAATATTACCTTCCGTCGAGATCCGAACAACTTCCGGCCGAGAATAAACAAGCTCAACTCGGTCAAAGATAGCGAACAGAAACGCAACGGAACGTATTTCTTCCTTGAAGATTAGATATTGAATGTGAGAAAAAACGTTTGTCGTGACGAGAGCTCAGCTGGGAGGACCGGGACACCGGATCAGCCTCACAGGAGTTGTGTAATAAATTTACTTTAATTCTCTGAAAAAGTCGGATTTATTCCATCGTCAGACTTCGATAGACAGACAGAGGTCTGATAGGTCTCGCGCATCCCTTTCCCCGATGGATGGTGATCCCCTGCCAAATGGGAACGGTGCGCTCTGTCACCCTGCATTACGCTTTGACATGCCCTCCTGTCAATATGCCTCCAGCTACCTCGTCTTCGACTCGTCGATGCGAACAAAGGGACTGACTTAACGAAAAATCAGCTCCGAAGCCCAGGCACCTCTCCCGCCGGATCGCACGATCAGACTCTCAGTGACGAGCACGATGGGGGAGAGAACGGATTCCGGAGCCCCTCCCCGCATTTATCCCGGACATGAGTTGATATCGTGATTCCGAAGGCTGCTCCCCTCAGCTCATCGTCTCCGATTGCTCAGTGGCCTCGTGGGATGCGAGACTCTGAATCCGAATTTTCGCTCTCAAGACGCTCAGGGGGAATACCGTCGAGTTATGAGGGCTGATACGAGCCCATATGGAGGGACCTGATGTCAGAGGAGATGCGGAACCATGAGCTACGACTCCTCATACATTAGATTGACTGAGATCATAATCCATTCAAGACAACATCCGATTTCCACTTTACTTGTATCTTACATGTTTACTTTTCTTGTCTATTAATGGATGGACTTTAATGAATCATTCGAGGTACAGTCTCATGTTGAAGACGTTGATGCCGACGAAATATGCTTCTTGAACCAAAGCACAGTGTTGACGAAACAGTCGGCGTCGTGGGCTGGTTTGGCGAGGTCGTGATTATCATCGTAGACGTTGCACCTCGTCGTTATTCCGCGACTCTTGAGATGCTTGAATAACTTCAAGCCGTGACACATGTCGACGCGACGATCGGCTTTTCCGAGGAGGACGAGGGTGGGTGCGATTATCTGGAATACCGAAGCTCATGAAAGCATTTCCCCTCCCGGAGGTCTCGACTTGAGTCGATGCGGCGATCGCTGCTCACGAACAGTACGGAAATGATGAACGAAAGACATTCGAAACAAACCTTGTTCATGTGTCTAGCGGGACTCTTCATCCACATTGTTTTCAAGTCGTCTCCGTCTGGGACGTTGTCGAAGACGAAGTCTCCGGATAAGCCAGATTCGTACCAGAACCAATCGGGAACATCGGATGGGTTACACATCGCCAGATCTATGACCGGGTTCCGCATCGCGGCGGCCTTGTAAAACTCCGGATATTGGCCTTCGAGGGAGAAACAAGCACCAAATTATTAGTGAAATCAATCAGACTCGGAATGAAATCGTCATTCAAGACAAGTTGTTTTCCTTATCGATTGAGAAGAAATTTGAGCTCACCGATGGCGTGAGCGGCTAGGAAACCGCCGTGACTTCCCCCGAAGATGACGATCTTCGTCGGATCGATTTCTTCTCTCTGAGCAGTGACTTCGGCCGCGCATTGGACATCGAAGACGTCCTGTTGTCCTATTTTACCCGCCAGAGAGCGAAGATTTTCTTCTCCGAAGCCTGCAAGGGGCCAGACGATGGATCATAATTTAAATTTCAATTCATGCGGGGGCGCTCAAAGAGTACCCCTCCAGCGGATCTCTGGAGTAGCTCACGCATGGACGTGACGCACGACACGTCCGGAATCCGTTATGTCTCATCGAATCGATTCCTCACCTATTGAGCCCCGGTAGTTCACGAGCAGAACTGCGAATCCGCATTTCACAAAGAGAATCGGCCAAACTTGATAGCCCGCATGGAAACTGCAATGGGGTCCACCATGCGGCCACACGATGAGCGGCAAGTCCTTCTCGCTCTTCGGCGTGATCAGCGTGGCTTCGAAAACTTGGTGACTCTCGTCAGGGGGTGCAAACTGCAGGATATACCAACAGATTCCGGTGACTTTCGCGTCCTCGGAGTCGATCGGAGTCCAGTAGTTGACCGAGCCTTCAGCGGTGAGTACACCGACAACTACTTGAGGTGTAGCGTTGAGAGATGAGAGAGCCGCGATCACGATGCTGTCTCTGACGAACAAAACCTGCCATCTCCCGACGGTTTCGTCTCGACTGAGCTTGATCAGATCGCCACTGACCGTGTTTACAGCCAGGAGTTCGACTTTCGAGTGCCACACAGATGACACAACTACGGTGGTGTTATCGTTAGACCAACAGTGCTTCGGGAGCTCATCGATGTAGAGTCCCGGGAAGTCGTTTGCTGAAAGAGAAAATCGTTAGCAACATGACCCCGAAGTAGCTCACAGGTCGGGGAAGGAACTGTCGCAGGGGCGAAGAGGAGAGGGAGCACATACTACGTATACGGGTTCAAGCAGGAGTCCCGGCTGATTTTGCTCATGTCTATGGAAAAATCGGGAAAATTCCACGGCCTGATCATCGGCTTACTTTGAGGACTGTGTATGGTGTCCACGATGAGCAGAATGTCCTTCTTGTCCCAACTGCATTTCATGAGTTGGCAACTTTGGCTGTGAGGACCACCGATTTCGTTTTGGAGATACACGAGCGTGGAACCGTCTGGACTGAAGCGCGGCGAGTAGATTGCCTTATCGGTCTCACCGATGGTGCAAAAAGCGTGACTTTCCATGTCGTACAGGTAGAGTTTCGAATGTCGATTCGAATGATGGGTCAGCCCCAACTTATAGGCGTAGTTCTGGTACCCCACAAACACGATACCTTGAAAGATTGAGAGGACTCTTTATGCTCCATGCACCGATCCGTCCGAGCCCGGAATTACGATTTTGGATTACCTGAGCTTCCCATCCCTTCCTATTGTTCCCTTCCTCCATGAGATCGGAGGGCGGGAACGAGAAATACCTGAATCGTCTGGAGCCCATATGGCCTGAGCTGGCGTGCAGCCCTCCGGAAAATCTTGGATGGTCGTGATTGTCATGTTGTTTATATTCAAAATACAGATGATTGGTGACGAGGCTCCCTCGAGTTGCTCTCCGAAGTTCTCTTCGAATTGATACTCGGTTCCTCGCTCGGTGTCGAGCGCGAACTTTCGAGTGAAGTAGGACTCTTTCTTCGCAGCTTTTTTCTCCGCAATGTACAGTAGCTTATTCTCGACGTTTCCCCATTGGAACGCGAAGAAGGTGCCTTTCCGGTAGACCTGGCCATGCATTCCGGCGTTGTCCAGATCTAGACAGTCCAGTTTCGTCGTGGAATCCCAAATTTCAATGTACTGCTTCGTGACGCCGTTGCGTACGAGGTCCTTCAGGACAGCCCGGAACGTGCCACTCGTCGATATCGTGATCACTGATCTGCTCGACAACGATATTCGATTTAAAATGAGGGGAACATTCTATCCTCATTAATTCGCTAGGAGAAGGGAACAATATGCTTTGTATCGGTGAGAATCGGGGAAGTATGGGAGGAAACACTCACTCATTCCCGATATCTTGAGCATGGCCGACTTGCTGGAACGCGAGAGGCCCTTGAACATCGAGAGCTGAAGTGTGGTGTCGCATGAAGGTTACTTTCTCTTCGAGTTCCGTGTCGGTGGTCTGCCACGTCGTCGTCAGGTGAAGGGTTCGGGCATCGTTCTGATAGCAGGCATAGGCGTCAATGGGTTGGGGAACTCGCGCGAGTTCTTTGTACATGGAGACGACATTTGTGGCCTGAAAACGGAAATACTCATTTCGTGGTCCAGTCCATCACCCGTGGGGTTTTGGAAGCAATTCGACACTTCCATATGCCGCTGGTTCTCTCTCTCGAGCGGACCCGAATTCGTCGATTCACAGAGAAGTCCATGCTCTTCAAGAACGACTTCAATTACAAATTGAAACCACTCACGGTCCTTCGCCATAGCACAAGATCTTGAGAAAGCCATCGAGAACTTCAGATGGTAGTTGAATTATTCCGACTACCAAGCCACCTAATCTACCCCACGGAATACTCACGTCCAGCGATGGGACACCCGTGGTTTTCACCGTCGAGCCCACGACTCGTTTGTTGTATTTGAAGTTCGTCGATGCTCCGGCCGAGGCGACCTTGTGGCGATTTGAGTTGCAATGAGATTTTATGTCGGAGATTTTCGCTGTGAAAGTTATCTTGCAGTGCTTGCAGAGAGCGAGGCATGGATTCTCCGGCACACAGCTGAGCCATCCTGGAACAAGTCGAAATATCCTGTTCAAAGCTGGAAACGGCTAGAGTAGGGGTCTACTTCGTCCTACAGCTCCCATCGTTCCGGATGTCTCTTCATCTCCCTCGCCATCGACATGGGTTATCGAGCTCTTCCTTCTGAGCGACTCGAGGCCCGTATGATCCAAAATCCGAATTCCGACGTCTAGAGGCCGAAAAATATATTCCCTATGACGAGTCGGTAATGCAACTCAGGGCTCAGTCGGGCCTCCCCGGGAAATCATCCGGGGCGGAGAAGTCGTCTTCATGTACCGCCGATTTCCGGCGCAGAGTCAATTCCAGTCGGCTGCTCAGAAGTTCCCCGCCATGCGTCGCATGGTCCTGAATGAAGGATGACGCCCGTGCTAAGACATCAGGTGAGACTTGAGCATTGTAGGCCAGCGTAGGGGCTCCCCGCTCTTCTACCGAGAATGGAGCGAGGAGTTTCGTGGAGCTGAATACACCAGAGACAATCTTGGATCTCAGTCTCAATTTTCGCATCGATTTCTCTCGAGGGAGTCAACACACATGGAGCAAACTTATTATCCGGTTGATCTGATTTCCCAAATTATTCTGTGGGATTTGCGCCAGATACTCTTCCGTGGTCGCCTTGAGAGGAGACAGGTGTCGTCAATCTCCGCGGAATTTCCCCCAGCTGCTAAAATACTGTTTATGAAGTTGATGACCGTTTTTTCCCTTATACCCCGATGGAAGGGCACCCCAAATATCGATGCCAGGATAATCAAGAATATTCATCTCATGAGGAAGCGACTCCAAGCGGATTCAATTCCGAAGGCGCAAGAGAGAGCTCCAGGATTAATTTGGAATGAGCCAGCTAGCTCTGGACTCGCCAGGCATTTAGCTTATAGAGTATCCCGAATCTGCCATGTGGGATGCTCTTCAGTTAGACGGAATACGGTGTCTTCCGAAATTCATGCCCATTCGCGCTATGCATCCCATGAAGCCCCCCGCGGGGAATGAACTCCCAGGACTTCGATTACGCATCGGAATTTTCCTCGATCCGAAACAGAGATATCGCTTTCGAATACGCTGCGGGCAAGGAAAGGCTCCTTCGCTCCGCATTCGAGCGGCGCCTTGGATGGGCCTCGGGCCTCTCGGACAGTGCTGTGAGCACCTCAGACGGTATGCGCGTCGCAGCGAATTCTCTTCAGGAACGAATTGCAGGCGACTGCCACGGTCTCCGATCGTTGACGGTCAATCAGACCTGAACCCGCAGAGACATATATTGGACCTGGGACCTGGGTGTCGATCTCCGGAATGGGACGGCGGTAGTCAGTCAACACAGCAGCTACTCATATCGAGAATCCAACCCGCCGCTATAGCGGGCGCTAAGACAGCGGACAGGATGACAGTCCAGCGGCGGGAAATCAAGGGCTTACCTTTGAAATGAGGAATGTCCTCCCACTCGCGACGGTACCGCTGACGGTACTTCGTCGTACGCTGTTGAGGAGTTATGTTGTTGCTCTGTTTTGCAAGACTCCCTGCATCTAAGCTGATGTTGTTGTGTACGACAACCATCTGCGGGGCTGAAGTCGCTGCTTCTTCTGGTGCTCCACGCATTTCTACTTCTTGTACATTAAGAGCGTCTAGGGCTTCAAACGTTTCTTTCGTTTCCGTCATGATCACTCCACTCAGTCGTCGAATCCGAGACCAGTTCTTTCGACGAAATAGTCAGTCCTTCAATTCAAACATGGGAGATCGGTGCGGCGGTTGCGGCATAAACAACAAGATCGATAGGAGCACTCACAGGTTGCCCGGAGAGCTTCTTAAGGTCGGCCCGGACAGCATTCTACCCCGATCATCTCGGATATCTCGAATCTCAACCCTGTGACCGGGAAAATTCACTCCCGGCATTTCTTTCCCGTCATGCCATTCACATTCGCCGGCTGTCTCGTTGGCGTCGGTTCGCCCAACTACGCTGCGTTGAGAAGGTGCTCGTGTGGAGTCATCCGCACATCCTGGCGTTTCCCGAAGGACATTCATGACATAGCGCGGATTTGCCTTAGCCCGACCGTAGATATGGCCAAGAGAAGCAGGGCCTCATCTATCTTGGCAGTCGGAGGGGGGGGAGCCTGATGTCGTCATCCATGATTTCTTTGAGGCCTCCGGTCGGAGACGTCAATGGAATCTCCGTCATGAACCTGAAAAAGAGTTTGTCGCCTCTGCGTATATTCCGATCGGGGACTGCCCTCGAATACGATAAGGTAAATTTAACTATGAGGACGGTCTCAGTTATCGCTTCGATCGATCCAAGCTTTTTCAGGATCACATCAAAGTAGGAAGACGCTCCAGGTAGGCATGCGGAATCGAGAGCGAGGTTTCCTCGTACTTGGGCTCCAGGGGATGGGCCTTGTGCTCCTTAGGAATCTTGCCGATCGGCTTTCGACTGAGAATGAGGAAATACACGACCGCATTTCAAAAAATAGCGCTCTCCCATACGTCAGAGTTGAGCAGACGACAGTCGGAGCGCTGAGGATATCACTCCGCAGTCCGCAGCCGTTCGAGCGAGGAAAAATAAATAGAAACCTGGGACGAAATTCGCGCATAGTTGGAAACCTGCATTGAGCAAAATCGCGGAAGGTCCTCGATAGTCCGGCGATGTTGCGAACGTGGTCGCTTTTGAGAAGACCTGGTGAGTAGATCCTGATAGATGAACGATTCGCAGGCCGTCGCCTCCGGCCTCCGCGGATCACCCGTGCTTGTATGCGGTGTATCTTATGTCCGGCGAACCACGACAGCGACCGAATGATCATCCCGCGGGCCCGGGAACTCCCCATGCGAATGTTCTGTGGTCTCGTTGTCTCTTTCGAGCACGCCTCAGATCGGAATCATACCACCTCGGGATACTGACCTCGTATTTCTTCCTCAGTGTGTCAACTGCTCCAGAGGCAGAATAAATCTACCTTGGATCATGATTGTGTCGTTCCGGCGGAAAACGACCGCATGTATGTCGCATGGCATCCAGAACGAGACATCCCATACGAGCACACGAAGCCGATCAGTGCGACTCGCCGCGAGATCACTGCGGCTGCAATGAATGTGAGTGAAGGCACCTCACAAAAACATACCAGCATTGAAATGAATCTCCAAGATGAGACGAGGTCCCTTCGAGGGAAATTCGAAGAGCCGTCAGGAAAAGCCGCCTGACCCGGATTGTTCTTTTGATTCCTGCGAGATTGGAGCTAATGCTTCTCTTGCGAGAGTTGGGATCACATATCATCATGGGTCAGATTTTTCATGTCCACACTGAGTTGTAGCATCGACGGTCTCAGCGTTCCTCTCAAAACGGGACTACGTAGTATTAGAGTTCCTCCCCGATTCGTCTCCTCAACCCGAGCTAAGGTCTTTTCTCTTCCTCAGGACTCTACGCCTCTGAATTTGCCGAAGGGCAAGCTCGTCTTCAATAATATAAGAAACGAAGTCGAGTACCTGAAACGCTTGACCTACACCAATAAACATCGATGGTTTACTCAACCGAAGGACAGACGACTAAAGCGGAGAGCTCACGATCGGGACGGATTGTAGAGAACTAATAAAGTATTTAGTGTGTTTCGGAGAAGGACGATCTCTCTCTTGGCCACAACTCAGGACGGGGGACTCTTGCTGCCCTCCGACAAGATTTAGCTCCGATTGGGAAACGACAGGGGGGGGAATGCCTCCGACGGCGATTGCTACTCCAAGTCTTCCAGGAAACCATTCTCGGCATGCACCTGCCGAGCCGGAAGCCTTGAGCCTGATCGAAGCCCATTCGAGTCTCCTCTACACATATATCCTTATACTCTTCATACAGATATTCAAGCATCATGTTCAGGCTTCGCGAGCTCCGCACACCAGGACCTCACGGTCGACGAGATCTAGTTCCCCCGAGATGTGTCCATAGCGTTTATTGCAGGTAAAGGAAGAGGCCATCTCTGCTCATCCGCTGGAGTCGCGAATAAACCCATCCGGAATACTTCTACTCATTGTGTCGGAACCGGACCTTGAATTCCGAAAGAAGTCACGGAATCCCTGGAGTGAAATTCGGTATCAATCGCCCGGATAACTTTTGCGAGAAGTCGCGATCATCACGGCGAATGAGTCTCGTACACCCGACCGTTCTATTCAAATTTTTCGCCTGATGCCTTAGACGGGTGCTCGTGCTCGTACGTACCTACGGCGAAGAGAAGCACATACTGATCCACGGATATCACCTTGGCTCTTTATTACACCTATCATAGACGGCTAAGGTCCTCTAATTCAGATTACGTACAGAATTTTTGCGGACACCCACATCCTCTCACTTAATCTTCGTAGCCGTCGCGAGTGAAGTTGACTTTCTTGTTGAAAAGCAAGCCATGCTTCCCGTCTCCCCATGGGAATGGCTTGTTGATGATGCCGAGGTGTTCACAGGGGATGAACTCAGGTCGCTGCTCGTGTTTATGATGTTCAAGTTCGTGAAGGTAAGTGTTGATGCCGACGATGACTACCGCGGGCAGGGCAACGAAAAGGGAGAGTCTCTTCCAAAGGAGAGCAGCCGCTTCATGATCCTGATGATCCTTGACAGCGGTTGACGCGAATCTCCGAGCAACTCTGCCCAAAATACTAGCCATCTCTCCGTCTTGTGGCGATCTTCGACCTTCCAAACGTTCTGGCTGGTCGTCGCAATAGCAGCAGCTGAAAATAAACAAAGTCGTCTGCTCTGCTAATACTCGGAGGGAGCGAAATGTTCTACGAATCGTTCTCCCATTGGGGCTTTCAGAGTTTTCCGAGTCTTGACCCTCGCTCCGGGTCCATCGATCGAACTCTGCGATAAGACCATTCACGCCGTGAGAATCGAGAGCGGTCCAAGTTCCCTGCCGAAATTCGTGAATTAAAAAATTCGGTCCAGTCTGAGTTTTTCTGCGGAGCGCCGATCTGTGGATGCGGCTGTTTATGTCTACGTGGTTGCGGCCGAGCCGTCTTGACTGACGTGTGCCGGATAGTGAGATAGAAGAATCGGTTTCGGCGATTCTCCAGTCAGGATGCCGCTAAAATTGGACGTAAAACGGAAGCTGCTTGCTCGTTCGGATCGAGTGAAGTGCGTCGATCTCCACCCGGTGGAGCCTTGGATGCTCTGCTCGCTGTACAATGGAATCATTCACGTATGGAACTATGAAACCCAGACCATGTTCAAAAGCTTCGAAACATGCGGACAGCCGGTGCGGGCTGCGAAATTCGTCCCGCGTAAAAACTGGGTCCTTGCCGGCTCCGATGACTTTTTGATCCGGGTATACAACTACAATACTCTTGAGCGAGTACATCAGTTCGAAGCTCATAGTGATTATATCCGATCAATTGCCGTACACCCGACTCAGCCCTTCGTGCTGACAGCGTCAGACGATATGCTCATCAAACTCTGGAACTGGGACAAAGCCTGGGCTTGCCAACAAGTGTTCGAGAGTCACACGCATTACGTCATGCAAGTGGTTTTCAACCCCAAAGACAACAACACGTTTGCTTCGGCATCGCTCGATTATACCGTCAAGGTTTGGCAGCTGGGTTCCAGCGCTCCGAATTTCACATTGGACGGTCACGAGAAAGGAGTGAACTGCGTGGACTATTACCACGGCGGAGACAAACCCTACATAATCTCCGGAGGCGACGACCGTCTCGTAAAGATCTGGGATTATCAAAACAAAGCCTGTGTTCAAACCCTAGACGGTCACGCGCAGAACATCAGCGCAGTGTGTTTCCACCCGGAGCTGCCCGTCATCCTCTCGGGCTCGGAGGACGGCACGGTGAAAATTTGGCACGCCAACACGTACCGGCTCGAAAACACTTTGAACTATGGCCTCGAGAGGGTTTGGACGATCCAGGCTCTTCCCGGCTCAAACAACGTCGCCGTGGGCTACGACGAAGGATCGATTTTAGTGAAAGTCGGACGAGAAGAACCCGCGATATCGATGGATGCCTCCGGCAAGATTATCTGGGCGAAGCATTCCGAGATCCAACAAGCCAACCTCAAGGCAATCAGCGATGCAGAAGTCAAAGATGGCGAAAAACTTCCGCTCCAGATCAAAGATATGGGCAGCTGTGAGATCTATCCCCAAGCGATCTCCCACAACCCCAACGGACGTTTTGTCGTGGTGTGCGGCGATGGGGAGTACATCATCTACACGTCCATGGCTCTCAGGAACAAATCTTTCGGCTCGGCTCAGGAGTTCGTCTGGGCACAGGACTCGAGTGAGTACGCCGTGCGGGAAAATTCGTCGAGCGTGAAGATCTTCAAGAACTTCAAAGAGAAGAAAACTTTCAAACCCGAATTCGGCGCCGACGGTATCTTCGGGGGCGTCATGCTCGGTGTCAAATCCCCTTCGGGTCTTGCTCTGTTCGATTGGGAGAATCTCGACCTGATCAGACGGATCGACATTCAACCGAAGCTCGTGAACTGGAGCGAGAGCAGCAACATGGTCGCAATCTGTTCCGACGAGTCGTTCTTCATTTTGAAGTATAATGCCGAGGCCGTAGCTCAAGCCACAGCGGACAGCGTGGGAGAAGACGGGATCGAGGACGCGTTCGACGTTCTCGGCGAAGTCAGCGAGTGCGTCAAGACCGGTATCTGGGTTGGAGACTGCTTTATCTACACAAACAGCGTCAACAGGTTGAATTACTATGTCGGAGGCGAAATCGTCACGATCGCGCATCTCGACCGAACAATGTACGTGCTCGGATATCTACCGAAGGAAAGCCGATTGTACCTTGGGGACAAGGAACTCAACGTCGTATCGTATTCACTGCTCCTGTCGGTCATGGAGTATCAGACGGCCGTCATGCGCAGGGACTTCGATACCGCGGACAGGGTACTTCCGACGATTCCGAAAGAACAACGTACGCGGGTCGCGCACTTCCTTGAGAAGCAGGGCTTCAAGAAACAAGCCCTCGCAGTCTCGGTCGATCCCGAGCATCGGTTCGACCTCGCCTTGCAGCTCGGCGAACTGCAGATCGCACTTCAGCTCGCCCAGGAAGCGTCTAGTGAACTCAAGTGGAAACAGCTGGCGGATCTCGCTTTGGCACAGAGCAAATTCGGATTAGCGCTGCAATGTCTACGGAACGCTCAGGACTTCGCCGGCATGCTCCTCCTTGCGACGGCGGCGGGTGACGCCTCCACCGTTGAGGAGTTGGCGAAAAACGCCTCCCCGGCGGGTAAACACAACATCGCTTTCTTGTCGCATTTCCTGCTGGGTGACATCGAGGCCGCTCTCGGTATCCTGGAGGAGACGGGCCGCTTGCCCGAAGCGGCCTTCTTCGCTAAATGTTATTGCCCCTCACAAGTTTCTAGGATCGTGGCCACCTGGAAGGAGACCCTGGCCGCGACGAACGCCAAGGCAGCACAGGCCATCGCGGATCCCGTTAGTTACGACAACCTTTTCCCCGACTTCCAAGACAGTCTCAAAGCCGAACAGTTCCTCAAGCAGGAGATCAGCAAACGTCGGAACGCTCCTGCGGCGATCTATCCGCAAATGAAACCGAACCACGAACGGCGACTGATCGAAGAAGCCGAAGAGTCGGGGCTCCACTTCGACATCCCGGACTTCGTTGCACCTCCGAAAATAGAGAAACAAGTCGAGAGAAATCACGTCGACCGCGTTCCTTCGCCACATCTAGATGGAGTGGGCGGAGAGACTGATGTCCTGCCCCTGGCTGAAGAGCGGAAGCACAGCCTTGTCCGGACGGAAACGCCACCGCCCATCGCACAGCAGACCCCAACGGAGGCGCCTAGACCGCACCCCGTGGACGAAATGGATCTTCTGGAAGCCGAGATTCAAGAAGAAATGGAAAAATTGGAATTCGGGGATGCGGAAGATGATTTCGACCTTGACGAGAACGAAGATCTCTGATTGGGGGAGGCTAATTTGATTTGACCTTTCGCGTGAATGTTCAGTGCGGATTTCAGAGAGCTTACCGTTTTTTTTCTCTGACTTTCGCGATATACAAGGGAAACATGGATGAGTATAGAAATCGACTTTGCTATTATGTTCCGAGAATGAAAGAGTCAGATTTTTAATAAAAGCGAATGTCGACGAGACTTTGCTCCTCCCTAATATCATCCTGTAATTATGCCTCTGTGACAATGGTGGGGTTGGGGAGGGAGAATCTTGGATAGTTCACCGCCACTTTTCGTCCGGTAACCCCGTCGTGGGATGCTGGCGCTTCGCTGTGGCTCTTCGATGATTTTCTATGATCTCCATCCGCTATCAGCTCGGTCCCCTCCCGGAAGGAGCGCGAGGTCACCCGAGTGTTAGCTGCGTGAGATTTGCGAGTCGTCTTTTGTCGCATTTTTCCCGCGACCTTCCCCTTAATCGAGATTTCTCTTCGAATGTCCGAACGACGAACGACCCGATAGTTTTTCGGAACTTTCTCGCTTGATGGAGCTGAGCCTCAAATCAGTTATTGGATGTCCGGATCCCGAAGGCCACCGAAGCTTCAGGATGTACGTCCCGAAGCGAGGTCCATCCGCTGACTCCGTCCCCTTGATGGACTCTGTCGGTTCAGTTCGGTGGATACTTCTCTCGATAGTCCAGATATTGATCTCCCGCCGAAAGCTGATAAGATCCATTAAAATGCCGGACTCGATTTTCGGTCATTCAAAACAATCTCGATAGCCTCAGATGCGACAACTCTCGTTTCCCGATGGAGAACTTCTGCATACCTGTCAAGCGGAATTCACCAGCAAGCAATCGGAGTAGATTGGGAACGCTCCCTTCCCCACCCGGACCAGTGGCGGATCCAGGGGGGGGGCCAGGGGGCCATGGCCCCCCCCAAGAATCTTCGATCCCTATACAAAAGCATGGGCCGCGAGGTGGCGCGTCATCATTTCCGGCTCTTTCCCCCCTGAAAATATGACTTGGCCCCCCCCAAGAAAAAAGCTGGATCCGCTCCTGACCCGGACGTATCTACGCAACGGCACCAACTTCACAAAACTCGATTTCGGCGCGGATGAGTGCAGAATCTCGCTGGGGAGATCATGCTTCTATTCCGAATACGGCGAATAGGCCAACCCGGATTTCTAGCGCAAGGTCAGCCGTACGATTCAGGGCACCCAATGACTCCAGAAGACGCTATGAGCCCCTTCATATCGCTGAGGGAATTCATGAGGACAGTTCCCGAAGCAGAACTGTGGCTTCGTGGATGTTCACTAGTTTTTCCGTCTTGGCAGGCTTCGCGATCGACTCCTGTACGATACTCGGGGAACACTCCATCGGACTTGTGCTGAAAATTAGGCATTCGAAATTCCTCCCGCGCGCGGGGTCGGAAGTCTAATTTCAACTCGCTGGGTGACGACCGAATCGATATCTTCTTCTACCCATACGAATACGAGCACAAGCCATGATCGGTAGCTATTCGTTCTGCTTGTCTTGCTCGCGAATCACAAACGTCATATAGTTTGGATGATAGCATGCCAAGAGGTAGATCCGACCTCATCCACACTACTCGTGACGAGCTCCGCATCACGGCCAGATCATCCAAGGAAAATTGATAGTTTTTACAGCGAAGAGTGAAATCGTCGTACGCGTTCGATTGTCCGTGTTAAGGTCCCTGATGGCAGTCTCCACATCATCGGGCGTCTCCCTGAGAGCTCCCTCGTGACCCATAGGGCGACTTTAATGCAGTTCAGCCAAACGTCTGTCGATCTCAAGCCGGTGTGGAGATTGGTGCGACTGGCTTGTAAACTCGGATCCCGGGGTCCGAACCTCGAGCGGAGCCCCGGAAAACACACAAAGACGGCTGATATCGACGAGAAGTTCCCGCAGACCCCGGCAATGAGAACCGACTGGTGGACAGGGTCCGATTGTAGAGGGAGGCACCGACTCAAGCGTGGAGCCATCCACGGCTTTCACCACAAGATATGCACGCGAAAATCCGGCCACCACGAAGTCGACGAGAACTGTCACCGCAGACTACGTGATGGACCTTGTGATACATATCATCACATACATATCCATGTCAACGAGCTAGAGTGGAATCAAGACTGAGTAACGCACAACAGACCGTACCTGGCTTTATGAAAAGACACCATGTTTTTTGGTAAATAAACGCCGTTGGAGAGCTCCGGAAGACTCCCCGATCCCCGATATCCTCGATCATCATTCTGCGCTCAGTGAACCAATCTGCATAGGAACGATCATATCCGATACGCTTGGAGGACGGCAGCAAGTTATACCCTGAGCAGAGACTGCTGAGACATTTCGTCCATCGAGTCAGCTTAGGACGAGCAAACGTTCATTTGTTCTATGTCGAGAGACGAGCAGATGACTCCGTGTGTCTTGACGATTGAAGAATCATAACCCATCACGGAAACCAGTCGCATAAGCAACCAACCTCGATTCACTTGATGGGAGATGGAAGAAATGGACGGGCAAGCTCCCGAGGGTCGGAATGATTGACGGACATGCCCATCAATCTGAATATTCACGGTAGGTGCTCTGTGCCTTCAACTTGCCCCAGGAGGAGACCGGGGCGGAGTTCCGCTCGGGAGCTCCTGAATGTTGATAAGCTTCAGAAGTTCATTCTCAAGTGCCTCCGAGGATAGGTGCGGCTGCCCAGTCACCCCCGGCTGACGGTACGGAACTGCCTCTTGCCCGACGCAAGAGAGGTCTCCGCAGTCGTGCCCAAGCTTGCCGCCCAGCCGCTCAGTCTCACCTTTATCCTTGATTGTTCCCTCGCAGTTCCAAGAGCCCAACTTCACACTCCAGCGCGGATTCGAATGATTCTCCCGGAATACTTGATATTCGGATCGGGAAAGGGAACCGTGATTCATTCCCGCCTGATGAATCTATCGCGAAGCGTCAATCAGTTGGGGAACAGGAGTGCTTACCTCATTCTTCAACTTACCTTATAATGTTCTGATTCTTCGGGTATTTTCAGTCTTCCAGCATCCGGAAGTTCATACACCTATGTGTTCGAGGCTACAGGTCACGGCATGCCAGCGTGGGCCTCGTGAGCGGGAGGAGTCCGGAGGGACAACAATGATTGATTGAACGACGGTTCGAGCGCGGCGTCATCGATCCATCTCAGTCCACCTTCTCATCTTACTTTTTACTACTCATTTTTCCCAGATTTTGCAAGAGCGATTCCTTTGGGGGTACCTGAGTCCCCAGAATCATTGGCGGCTCGGTGATAGCAGCCTGAATCTACGCTGCTCACAAATCAACGCTGCACGCACCCAGTCAGACATACTTGCGCTCGGATTTGGTGGCGCCGGACAGTCGAGCTTCGCGGTAATCTCGAATCACCTGAGCTCGTGAGAATCATCGTGGAGCACCTGTTCTCCCCATTCGAACGAGCGTGGGCAACCCCTGGTGCAAGGCTGCGTATTTTCTGGAAGGTAGCCATACCCTAATGATGCGTCAGGAACGACGAAATCCGAAAAACACAAAGGGGATAGAAGTGAAAAGGCTTTTTTCTTCCATCCTCCGACCGAGACAGTTTATTTACAAGGTGGTAACGAGTCTGGGACTCTCCGCGGAACGACGCCATACTTGACCGAATAGCGATCACGGGAATCACAGAACGGTATTTACATTCGGCTCTTCTTCCTTCGGGCAGCGTATGTTTCAAGAGCGAGTTCAAGCCCGCTGAGGACGACGACCCCTCCATTTCAGAAGGAGTGCACCGAGTACGGGGTGAAGACCGTGGCCCTCGATGAGCCTGCTTTATCGAATTCTTTGGGACTTTGAGCCGCGTAAGGGATTCTAGCGCCGAAGACTGGTTTCGCGTAAACGGCCGGCGCTCTCTAAGAGAAAAACGAGACGAGTTGAGCTCGCGAATATAGTCTACTTGTCGTGAGTTCTCGAATTGAGGAGTTTGAAATGCATCGACTCACTTGGTAGGTCGGTTTTTGCTCGATCGAGTTGGATGGCGGAGCGAAGTCGTGGGTTTTGTCCTCGGTCGGTAGCGGAACACCCAGAGTATCCTGACTCGGGAAGAATCGATTAGCAGACTCGCTTCGTGCTGATGGATGATTTGTGGAAACTTTCTACCTCGAACCATATCTCCAGCTTGAGGATATATTTCGCATTCCGGACGCATACCTTTGAGTAGACATGCGGAGCTCCGTTGAAGGACGCGTCGGCGGGGCTCGAGGCGACTACCCCGGGCTCGTTGGTACGGATGCTGACTCGAAAACCGTAGGAATCTGCGATCCAATTCACTACTCGAACGCGACCGTCCGCCTCCCTGAAGCCGTACGACCCTTGCCTCACTCCCTGGGCATTACCGGACTCACGACGGAACGATCCCGAGCTACCCTCGTCGATATCGTAGCCGAAATTGAAGTTCCCCAGGCCCTATCGACGGCGAACTCCGGATTGGCGTCACGAATTTGCGTACTTCGCGTCACAAAGAAGTTCAATCGACGTCTTTAAGTGCTTACGATGAGCTATAACTTACGTCTTCACTCCGGTAGTGTTTGGCATTTGGAGTCTCGTAGTTCGATTCGAAGATCTTCTGCGCTCTGACGGGGGCCAAAAGACCGAGACAAAGGCACATTATAGTTGTCTCCTGACGGAATCGGAAAATTATTTCTCAGGACATTCACTCCTCTATCCCTTAATCCTGCTTATTCCCTGATCGTCTGATCGGAGCTGCAGTACTCTCCGCCCTCTTCGAAAACGTTTTTCGATTTCGGCCGTTTTCTTATTCCGATAGCCGTGTTTGGAAACGAAGTTATATATTTTGCAAGCCCCCATCACGCGCTCTGTTGTCACCGCTGCCGCATTTCTTGAGCCCAGGATTATAATTGATGACAAAAGCCGCTGGGCTCCTTGGTCGAATGTCTCGTCCGTCGTGATCTGGGGATCGTTACCAGAAAACGACACGGATCATCTCCGAATTTCATCAGAGCGCTGCATACGAAATGCACTGGAGTTTATTGAAAGCCGAATGATTCATCGCCGTAAACTCCCGGGGTCCCGGTGGAATCACGATTTGAGACACCATGAGGGCCCCCATGGCATACGAGAAACCAAGGATCCGACACCGCCCAGCCCGTCGGGGAATCGGGCGCACGAGGAATCTGTGCGTGGCCCAGGTCCGCGCAGAATTTCGATTCCATCAGCCAAATCGAATCTCGCGAGCGCCAATTAGGGTACTTTCTCTCCGGAGTCGATGCCCGGAATCGTTCCCGGATGCCTCGACTCGTCAGTGCCTCGTGGTTCGTGATTAACCAGATCCTCGGGACCGCCGACGAGAATACCGGAATCTCTGTCTTCAGTCATAGATCTTCCCCCTGGCAAGGCATCCTGACTCGGGGCTCCGTGAACGGAGACCGCGCAGTTTCACCGAGTCAATAGAGGGGATCTATCTTCGCCGATCGTCAAAATGATTAATGCTCAGATGTTCGTCAGCGGTGGCTTTCGTAATAAATTATTGTGATCCGTCAAGATGAAGCACCGCTTCTTACGGAACGTGAACATTCGGAGGGCGACGCAACGTGGTGATATATGAATGGGTGCCTCTTCTTTAATCGATTCGTGCTCGTGGAGACATCGATCCCCGTCGACGGGACCACGAGGCGAGTATCTCTCCCCCGCACAGTGAGCGCTCGACGATTGCTTCTACCTCGCTCGGTTAGCGCATCAATCGTGGCACTCTGAGAAAAATGCGCTCTGTGGGACAAGGGACCAGGGAGCGCATTGCCCCTTCTCGCTCTTCGAGCGAGAGACACAATCAGTCTCCAGGAAAGACGAGTCTTCCCTGGGTACCCACAATGGGACGCCCTGACTTTCTCGGAAGTATGACATTTCGAGGTCTCGGAGGCTCCCTATGCACGGCTCACCTTCATGTCTGGTGTCCTCTTTGGAATATTTCACACACAGTAATCCCTCACCAAAACTCAAACGGGTGCGCGACCTTATTGTATTTAAAGCAACGCTCTTTCCCAGCGAGGGCAAAATCGTACTTGCTCCGCGGTCGGGTCGTTGATTGCATTGGATCGGAAACTGATTTCGGTTTCTGAACACAATGATGATGATGGTGTTGATGACGATACTCTTCCTCAAGTCCGTGCAAGAAGGAATGCGGTATGACGAGCAGTCGATAGAAGGCTGAGCGAGCGAGCAAACGAACTTCTCGAGAACTGTAACGAATGACCTTGGTGTAGGTCATCGGCCAAAATGAGTTCAACAACGCGCCCACCATCAGTCGGAACAGCTCGTAGGACAAAACTCTTGGTGGCGGTTTCTATGTTCGATTGGAAATCGATTAATATATGCAAAGTAATGAAAAAGCTTCAGTTCGATCGCGCTGATGAGGGATAAACGACACTGCGGTACTTCATCATTCCTGGAAAGTCCGCTGCTCATTATCCATCCAGAAATCCACAAATTACTGTTTGCATCGGATTGGTCGATCGCGAGAGAGTTATTCTAAATGCGGAGGAAAAACAAACGCTCACAGTGAAACAACCGGGTCTTCTGATCCATTGCCGAAACCGTCCCGGTCAAGTAGGTAATTATGAAGACTCATGTCGAGGTGCGCGATACACATACGCGCACGCTATTAGATGAGAACGGCAACTAGCGTAACGAATTCTCACTCGCGATCTGCATCGCAGTCAAACATGAGAGGGCACACGCCGAACCCGCGAAAAAACCGCAGATTTTTACCGATAGCTTGCAGAAGTCATGCTGTACTTTTCGATAGCTTCAACCAAAGCTCGGGTCGCCTTCTATCAAGATAAGCATGTTTTGCGAATTCCCGGCCCCCAGATGATTCGTGAAAATTCGTTGGAGTCACTGGAGGGCTTGCCAAAAGTGAGCTTCCTCCCAGACTCCCTGAGATCCGGGACCGCCCGACCCGTCGGAATGAATAGGCTCGATGCTCCTTTCGCGAGGGACACGGCGGCCTATGTGCAGCCAAACTATGACAGAAACGATCAGAGACGAAGAGAATAAGCTCACATACAATTGCATACTTATTCACTGATTGTGAATTGTGAGGATTTATTTTACCGGGTGAGGTCTGAAAATCGTGACTGAAGAAGTTCCTCGACTCTGGATAATTATCTGAATGGATGTACCCAGGAGATTTTCTAAATCCTTCTTGGCCCTCCCCTCAGACGACGGGCCCCATTGAGCTCAGTCTACTCCAAAAAGTGTGGTAGTTCAGGTGTTTGCCATTCTCACCAGTCATCCTCCGAGCAGCCATCAATGATGTGCATGGAAGTGGTGGTGAGGCTGAGTTCTCCTCTCTTTCGACGAATCTTCGATAGTCTCTGATCCCACGCTGAGCACAAAATTATCCCCGATGAAATAGGATCTCCAGTCGACTTTCGCGAAATATGGATGCTCCATTATATCCGCGAAGCCGCGACGTCTGCACCCAATCCGAAGACGAGGCTGCTCGTATAGAAGTTCCTTCAAGAATGATAGCTGATTCGCTTCTGCGTTTTTCGGCAGCTTGATAGGAACCGTTTTCAATAACAGCATGGTGTAATCAGAGTCGAGAGTCGGATCCAGCTCGAGCTTCCAACAGTAAATGCTCAATGGATGGTGTCGAACTATCATTTCGTACATCAAAATCCCCAAAGACCAATAGTCGACTTCGAAACTGTGGGAGCCGCTGCACATCTCTGGTGCCATGTACGGCAATAGGCCGCTTGCGCTGTAGCTCTTACTCCGATTGATAGCGAATTGGAAATCGATCAAACGCGCGTTACCCTCGGCGTCCACGAGAACGGTCTCGGGTGCCAAACCTCGGTAGATGATGCCCAAGTTATGCAGACAGCAAATAGCGAATGCCAACTGGAAATCAGGAAGAGCTCGAAATAAATTCTCGAGGAGAGGCAGTCTTTTTTTTTTTTTTCGGCTGACTCAACGTCTCTCCAACGTACCTGAGATACGATCTTCGCAATCATGGAGGGCTTGATGAGACCCTCTCCAATCAGCTCGTTCAAGAAACATCCGTTGAAGTGCTCGCAGATAAACACGTGGAACTCGTCCGTCTTATAATAGAACTTGAATGGGATGACTTGTAGACAGGACGCGGCTCGATGCCAGCATTTCTTCTCGGTTTTCAATAATTTCTCCGAGCACGCTGATATCTTCTTCACTTTCACTAGGGCCAAATGTCCCGTGAGTATATGTCTGACAGAGCAGACGACCTCGTTCGGATCGGACTTGAGCTCGGCGATGAATCGCATCTTCCTGAAGCTCCAGAAGGTTTTCGGCCCGCTGGAGTTGTGCAAGCCAACGAATGACAAGATGTTGTGGAGGAATGTACCTTCCTCAACTCTGTTGTCCGGTTTCACGGTGTTCAGCATTCCGATCGTTGTGGACACGCTCGTGCGGTTTCTCAAAGTGCCTGACGTCCGACGGAACGGGGATTTCACAGCGTTTTGCCCAACAGCTTTGAAAATCTCTTTGTGCAATTTGGTGTCGACGTCCAGGGCGATATCTGAAACGTCTTCATTCCTCGCTGAGCTTCGCCTCGTGGCGTCGACATCCTCAGCAAGCCTCGTGGCGCTCCGTGCTCGTTCCGAAGCCGTGTGACACATCAAGTCCATTGCTTCTAGGGCTCCGTTACGTGAGAGTCTGATCGATGGTGCTCGGCTCATTGTGGTCTGCTCACGAAGTTTGATGAGTGAAAATCGTATTCACTGTCGATCCGGGTACATTTATCGTGGTGACTTGATCCGAGAATAACCCATCCGATTAAGGATGTAGAACGGCAAGAAAACTCACATAGATACTGTTAGTGGTCTTCCAGCCAGCAATCAGATGCGAACATATCAGAAGCACTGATGAAGCCACTGAAAGATTCTCTTCACCTCTGATAGGCTCCGTCACGTACAGAAAACTTTTGGATACATTCGATCACTTCTTGAGGGCACCGATTGTGCTGCTGATCGAGGCCCGACGATCGGGAGTATGAACCCTTCTAGTGCGAGGATATTGTTCCCTGATCAATGAAGTGGTGTGAACACAGAGGGACACGATACGCGATAAAGTCCTCGATGAGCGAAGAAATCTGGAACTACCTGTTACTTCTCATATTCGATCTGAAGAGCTATCGGCTCACAGTCGTCCCTCAGGAAAGACTTCGTCGTTCACTGTTGGGTAGTACATGGTAATAATATTTCTGAAAATTCCACAATGCAGGTCTCATCTTTGATGATGCCTCGTTTATCCATTGTCTTACGTGGGCAAACCTGGACGGAGTCAGGGATCATGCGACGGGGGAGACTGTGCCAAAAAGCATTTTTACGCTGCTGCTGTCATTATTGTTGTTGTACATAGTTGTTTTCGTCATCGTTCTTGAAATGGCATGAGCACATGGATACCGCTTTATTGTTCACGGATCACGCTCCCTTCTTCCTTTGAAGGAGATGATCCAGAAGAACGCTGGCTGACCACGACCAAGCGTTTTTTTGGAAGAGGCGCTAATTGCGTGATTTATGGTCCTGATTGAATAGCCAACGACATCAAATAGCTCTCAATTACAACAGAGTCACAAGGTCAGGACCAGGGTTCGAACTTTCAGCGAAGAGCTCTTGTGGACTTCAAGCTAATCTTGATGACCAATGACTTCGGACCCTCCCCCGCTTGAAGCCTCCGTAGTTCCACGCTCACTTTCGAATTCCCCTACGGAGTGAATACGGTTCCATTGGACCCATCTTCTCTGAGCAAATGGAACTAACCCTATTCGAAAATGCATCTGCGGATATGGGATGCTCGTGGCTCTCGCGGACTCGCGGTAGACATATTCTTTCTTTCCGATTCCATCGATTCAGAATCCCTGGCGCTTGCCCCGGTGACTGATAAGAATACTCGCGCGAAGCCACTTTCACATTCTGTGTTTGTCTGAGCTGAAATCTGGAATCCACATCTCCGACGACCGACGAGCACCAGCCGAGACACCGGTCTCATCTGGAGCTTTGCATCGAGAAACACTTTCCGAGGCGCTGATTTCTCGCGTTCCTTTCCTACTCTTCTCCAACTTGTTTTATTATCCTCGAAGTCGACTGGTTTTGGAAGGGGCCACGCGATTCGACGCGACGACCTTCGAGAGATTGTCCCGACGCAATCGGAATGAATTCGAACCCCACCACACAACTTGGGCTCATCTCGGTTGAGCTCTCATTCCTGCTCGCTTTCTCCTCGATGAGGCATCCGAATGCAATATTCAATAATTTCCTAGCTTGAGCCGGAATACGGCAATTTCGGTTTTGAAATATTCGCTTTAATGAGGGGGGACAGAGAAAAATTGCAAGAAAATTCAATCTACTGCGAATGATTCGGCTCCATCTCATGACCAGGAAATGAACAAATCCAGAAGTATCTTGTATCTTGCTGTTTAGCTGAAGCGAGCCGAAAATGATTGAAACCAGGATACAAGTGCGAAGGCAAGGTCGGAGGATGAGTCTTGGGTCCACGCGCTCATTACCGCCAACATCATCCAGTTCTCATGACTGATCGGCGCGAAATATAAACACTGAGCCGGCTCTGTCATGCTGAGCAAACACTTCAGAATAAATACGATCCGGAAACGTGATATGAAAACACGGTATTGACACTGCTCTGCACGGCAGCCGAAAGCCGATGACTCTCTGGAAAGAGATAGTGGGTGAGGAATTTATGAATTGATCGAGCAGTTTGATTCCCATCTCGGATCAATTTCCGAATGAAATATGTAATCTAAACACAGAAGGGTGGATCTGTGGTCCGAAATCGGAGCTACCTCGCCGACTTCCGGAGCTCACGCCGCTCCGTCCAACGGGGAATGAGCCGGATTTTGTGAGAAGAAAATATCACAGTATCAAACTTTCTGAGCGGAAAAAATCAAGGGAGAAAAGCACGGCCAGCTCACAGAAGAAAATCAAGATGCCTCCGAGAGCTGCCCAAATATGTACCCTTCGATCTGAGAGAGACAGACTGATTGATCGCTCAGAGTCTGAAACGCTCTGCGGGATACAGGAATCGATTGAGTCGTCACTCATGATCAGAATCCGTCCCGTGATCAGTGATCACAATGGAGCAGCAATGACTCCTGAAGCGAATTAAGAAATTTAGACAGCCAATGAATTTCAAACTGGTCGTATATTAATCTTCCGCACACGAGGGAACGTATCCGTCGGGTTGCCACCAAAGAACGATTCGGGAAGCTATCGAGATATTTCGAACTCCCGCTGCCGAATTAGAGAGATCGACTGAGCGAGAATACTCCATGCTTCGAGGGCAAAATGATTTCGAGTCTGCTCGACCGAGAATATCATTTCTGGCGATCAGAAGGCAAGCATAGTGACATATAGGTCTGCCAGATCGTAAGAGCCTGTCCTCCGATCGTGCGATCCTGGAGATGGTGTGTCCAAAACATCACATCGCTAGATAGACCTGACTGGCATAACCATCCAATTTTCGTCTGAGCCGCCCGCTCAATGACTCAGACTGGAATCGGAATGATTCTGGGCAGAAGCTCGAAAAACAGCGAGATACATACGGTGGAGGAGGCGATGAAGATTCCGGAGGGGAGGAGACCTCTTGTCGAAGTTCCTGGTCCCAGACCAGCGTGAAGAGTCAACGGCTCGCAAACATCGACCGCCCATCGCGAAGGAGGCATAAATAGCTAGGGATTCTCAGCCGCTCTAACCAATGACGAGGACATTCGAGGCTCATGACCTGGCAGCTGGTCAAGTGATCAAAACGCTCTCCCTTCGGCATGTGGCATCGGAATGGAAACACTTCATACGTGAAAAGCAACAATATCCCTTCTTCGCTGATTTCGATGGCTCCCCGCGCGGAACTTCTGCATAAACGCTTTTGCTTGTATAGCGCGGGCCCTGGCAGCAACAGTCAGCTTCTTTCCGAAGAGCATAAATCAGATAACGTCCTTCTGGGGGACAGAGTGAAAGAGATGGCGGGCGCTCTCTGCTTTATCGAATTCGCCGACACAACGACAGGAGACAACGACAGGAATGATCTGTGAGAGTTGTTACCCTCAAAGACCTCCAACACTCTCTTCCGTCCCTCTTCCGTATTCTCTACGCTCTTCACTCGAGCGGCATCACGAGCAGGATCATCGCTCTCCTCCTTGATGAGCTGACGATCCGAAGCCAAGGGATCCGTGATACAACGAGGCAGCCGAAAGCGAATCATTTATCACCACTCACCACCGCTTGCCCACGATATTGCCCACGGCTGGGAGCTCTTATCCGCCAGGGGATCCCACTCTAACCGTGACTTCAATGCGAAATACGAATTCGGACGAAGAAAACAAACAAACGCACTCCTTCCACATCTCCTTTCCTTGGCAATGTCCGCGTTCATCAATTACTGCCGACGAAGTCGAAGGAGGAGGGATTCCATATCTTCGGACATGGAATCTTCGATCCCTTAGCACGCAAAACTTGCCGAGGGCGACCAAAAAACCGCTAGAGTGCAATTACAGCCTCATCCCAGAAACATTCATGCCGGACTCATCGCGCGCGAATTGATTACGATTCCGAGTCGAAACAGCTCTTCAGAAATGAGAGAAAGATCTTTTTCGTTTTCATCCACTTCTCATGCTCGGCTGGTCGATTCTTCAATTACGAACAGGATGGTCGGCCTCATCGTGTTTTCTGTATCGATACTCTGCACGCTCACGCAATTTTGATTCATATCGTTGAGACTTTTCGGAGGAAAATTGAAAAATCGTTCCCACCCCTGCGAAAATCCATACATCGAAGAAAATACGCCTAGACATTCGTTCCCAGGGTTCAATGAAGCTTGCTCTCGGGATCGCTTCAACGTCGCCCCTTCTTCGTCGATAGGAGCTAGAGTTCTCCCATTTTGTCGCTTGCGGGTTGATTCCCGTGCAGCGACCCCTCGGTGCGGTTCGTGGAATCTGCTCATGGCGCCGGAAATTACGAGAGGACAACTCATCGACAAACCATTCCTGCACGGGCCCTAGCGACAAATTCGTTGAGAAAACTCTCCTGGATTTGGGTTCTTGGGGGAAATTGAAGACTCTCTCGCGAGACAAGGCTGGATCTGATCTAGGCTCTAGGTCAGTCGATCAGAAAGCCAAAGGGTAATCTGAGGGTAATCTCCGATACCGGTCCAGTTGAGACCGATCGTGGGGTCCCCCGGTCGGGCTTCGCAGAGAAGATGCGAGCCATACACAGATCAGCGCGAATATGATAATTTTTTTTGAAGTTCATCTCACTTCGGCGACTATCTGCCCCAGAGCTTCTCATCGAGAATTACTGTCGCTGTCGGAGGAATTCGGGAGCGAAACACGATCGGTGACAACTTCATCCGCCTGATGATCCGAGTCCAGAATAAAACCCCGTGAAAAAGGAGAGTCGAAAAAAGAAAACATTGGTTTATCTTCTCAAGCGTATGTGTCGATCACCGGCTGCGCAGACATTAATCAGCTTCCGAGCCACGAAAGCAATCGAGCCAATGAAAGGCGAGGAATTCGGAAACCAGAAAAAAGCGAAGACCCCAAAATGTTATTTAGAGATTAATTCATGTAGAAATTCCCGTTTCTTTTCGGCTTACAAAGAGCGAATCTCCACAGGGGGTTGAGAAGGAACTTCGACGGGTTGAATCATCATCGGATGAACCTAAACCTTATCAAGACGGGCAACTTTGCCATGTAGTGATCCCTTGCGCTCCCCGTCTATGATTTTCTCTTCGTAGTGATTCTGGACATCGATGCGCTCTTCTCATACTTTCCGGAAGTCGAGTTTGAGTCCAGGCTGACAAGGTCGGTGATAAATCGGAATTAGACATGGGTCACTCCATCGCCTCCCCTACGCAAGTTCTCCCGTGTACGAGGGATAATTATTCTATTCAAAGGAGTTTCTTGCTTCCTCCTCCCTTGCGCATCAAGCCTACGCGCTTGTATCCATCCGGCCTCTCTGTCCCATCGATTTGCGGTCTGTCTGAGATGTAGCTCACTCAGCGACAACTTCTGAGCTCTTCGTCGGCGCACGTGGAGGGTCGAAAGCTACGGACGTCGCTCATGGGGATTTCGCTGAGATATTACAGCGAATGAAATCGGGAATAAACTCTTGATTGAAGTCGAGCTTCGGGAAAAATTTCACGCCTTGAGTTGTCGACTGTGTGTTCAAGCCGACCACGAGAACACGTGGGAGGGCCCGATCCGTAGGTCCCTTGAATGGGTTACGGTGCTGGACTGACCATTCGTTTCTTCCCGAGCGGGTTTGAGCGATGCATGCTCCGAGCAAGGGGTTGTTGGCAGGGCCGCAGAGAGAAATTCTGGGTCCGGGGGAAATTCGGACACGGGCCCCCCTCGATCATGGTCTGTGATCTGTCACTAGAGAAGTGGTGGAACGAATTGGTCAGAGCAGCAATTCCCTTTGCATGCATCTTTTGGAAAGGGGAACAATCTGGGACGCAGACAAAATTATTTGACTAAAGCCTGAGCTAGGGGCCCTTCCGGAAACTCTGGGCCCGGGGCAAAAGTTCACCGATACCCCCTATCTCGTCGGACTGGTTGTTGGTGACGAAGTTTTGAGTTCCCCCTTTCCATGATGAGAGCCAAGTGCGAATTTCCGTAGCGGATAGGAATGGAGGTTCTAAATACCCCGGGATCGACCAAGGCGATTTTTTATTGAACGCTCAGGGTGATTAAGAGTAGAGCGCTTGATCTGCAGTAACAAGAGATAATCCCCAACCAGAAGTTTTCGCCGGACCGAATATCCCCGACGACATTCTCCACGATCCTCTCCAGACTCACATCCCGGGGCTGTCAATCAATCATCCTAGATCGCAAAACTCTCTTTAGGAGTTTCTTGTGGGGGGCTTCATCTTTCAATGCGCGACTCCGGAGCCTACATATTTTGGGTTCTGGTGCCTTTGCCGGGGGAGGGGGAGCTTCTTGGGCTCGATCGACTCTCGGTATCGGCCAAGTGCAAATTACATCGAAAAGTAGATAATGGCACACCAAATTCGAGGTCTGCCACCACAGCGCTTGATTTCCTGAGGCCTGCGGGAGCTCGAATACGAAAGCGGCTTCAGCGGGAGCCTCGTTTTCCTCGGAACCCATCATTCGTCCATAATGAGTTATTATGAGGAGTATTCTACTGAAGAACATGCCCATGTGGTTATCTCGGGTGAGATTTTCTAAATTTCTCATCGTGCCTACGCGAAGCATTCGACTCAGGAAATAGAGCATGCTCGAGCCGTTGAAGAATAAGAGACGCAGCTGCAGATAGAGCAAGAGAATTCCTTCGCCAAAGCCGTCGACTTTTTCGATATACAGCCTATGGATCGCCCAGAGGTTCACGCAAATCATCGAGGAATGGAACACGACACCGAAGAACTGCAGGAATCTGGGGACAGGATTTCGAAATAAGCTCAGAGGAGGTTTCGCGAGAATTCACTGTCGTCCGAGAGCTCCATTCGACTGTATCAGAGAACGAAGACCCTGCATGCGTACCTCCTGAGGTTCCTTCGATACCTCGATGATATGTCTGGTTCGGTAGCGATGGAGTGAAGTATTCGGAACTTCGCTGTGTTTTCTGGACGAAGAAAGCGCTGAACTTTCTCCAGTGTTTCTTCCATCATTGGGAGCTGTCGACTGGAATTTTGAGAAATATCCCGGGTAGGGGGAATTCTGTCGAGCGTCGTTGTCGGCGATACTCCTCATTCATGATTCATGATTGCTCGGTGAGACAACAGAATCTTCTTTCGATAATAACGGCCGAATCCCCGTGCGGAGGTCTGTTCGGGGCACCAAGCATATCGCTTTCTAAGTGTGGATGATTTTTCAAGCAAGATCGATCCGACCGCATCTGACTTCGTGCTTCCGACTTCCGAGTCTGGTGTTCTTGCGATGCACTGTTTCCCCCGGCAAACGTCAGATTAACGCGACATCGTGTTCCGTCTGCTCAGTGGCGCATTCCACGATCCGGCAAGGCTTCCTGCCTTTGCATTCGACCCGGCTGTAGGATGGGAGTAGTGGACCCAAGCGGCACGATGAAGAGACAAACGAGACTGAAAAAGTCGAATACCAGCTGGGTGCAGAGAGCAGTTCCTAGAGACGATCATTTCTGCATCAAAACGACGAATCTGAATCACAAACCCCCTCCTCTCGCCCCCGCCCCGGCAGTGCCGTTCAAAGTTGGTCAAGTTCACCTAATTTTCGGCTGGAAGTGAATATTGGGCTTGAATCAGGGCAGGGGATATTCTTTCCCATTGCTGCTCCTACAAGTAATGAGGGCACGTGGAGCGGAATGCATCACGGGACTCAATCTCCCGGCTGGCTCGAAGAGCAACCAATCTTGCTGGCTTACTATCAGTGTATTCCGCGGTACTTCATTTTCTTTCGTGATGATCCCGTTTCACCGTTCCCCCCTCACCCAACTACGCCCTCCGCCTGTTTCACCGTGTTCCCGCTCCCCGATTCATTGTTTCAGGCGACCAGACCTGACCGCGGACTCGTCTCTTTGTTTTTCGGTTTTTCAGTTCTCTCGTTTCCTTAATCTGCCATGCATCCGCCCTTCCTCACTCCTTCCGTTTTCCTGTTCCCTTGGTCCCATTCTCCCGCACCCCCAGCTTTCTCCCCCCGAAGCACCCAGATGCGGTACGAAGAAGAGGGCATGAGTTCCGCAGGACGAAGAAGCTTCAGGATTGCTCTTGCACCAGATACGGAATGCATGAATGAGTAACATACCACTGTGATTCTTCAGAGCAGCCTACGCACTCCGTCCGCTGCTCTCTGGGCATGGGCTTATCGGAGAACATTACGTTTATCTACGTATCTACTCCTGTTCGCTATCGATTCTACGAGCCTCTTGGATCTTCGACTTGACTCGGTCGCTTATGCTGCCGCATTAGTCAAAACCTTGAGCTAGCGTGAACAAGGTGAGCTCTGAGGTTCCTATTCTCCTCACGCTGCTGCAATTCATGTATCTGGGATGTTCCCCGGAGATCCACTAGAGCGAAGATTCTTGATGAAGATTTATTTTCGTCAGTGTTCATCTCCCTTGGGTGTAGAGCAGTCACGGTTTCTTGGTGTACGTGTCTAACCATTCGACGCTCGCAATCATGAGATCGCTGTTGTGTTTCACCTTCGATAACGAGTGATTGTCCTCATACATGCGGCATTTCGCCTCTACGCCGCGTGCTCTGAGATGTTTGTAGAGTTTCAGTCCTTGACCCTTATCCACTCGAAGGTCTTTCGTGCCAAGGAGAAAGAGACACGGTGCCACGATCTGCCGAAATATATACACATATGTTGTTTACGCTCAGATCACACTCGACCCCGCAACTCAAGAATCGTGGACATCTTCGATAAGGATATTCAATTTTCATTTCATTCACCTTGCTTGCGAATCTCATGGGACTCGTCGAAAGCGCGCGGGCCAAATCGTCGCTTGTCGGTAAGCTGTCGTGTTTGAATTCGCCGCTGCATCCCGACTCATACCAATACCAGTCGGGAATGTCACTGGGACCTTGCATGGACATGTCGCAAACCGGATTCAAGAGAACAGCCGCCTTGAAGTCAGCAGGGTATTGTCCTGGAGGATATAGCGGGAAAATGAAGTTTAGTATTGCGAACTCGGCTCCAGTTGATCGGAGGATCGAGAGGATATCGATTTGTTTTCCGAGTCTCGAACCGAGCTCGTGAAAATGAATGAACAGACCGACGAGGTGGGCCGCCAAGAATCCACCATGGCTCCCTCCGAAAAGCACAAGGTCAGACACGAGCGACTTATCAACAGCTTTTGCGGCCTGGAGAACGTCCTTGACATCCACGTCTCCGATCCGTCCAGGCAAGCTTCGGAGGTTAGCCTCCCCGAAACCTAGCGAATGAGAATTCAAATCAATCTTCTCAGATGCTGCGAAGACGTCTCCCGGAGGAAATCGACAGCGACTTCGTCTCACCGAGGGAACCTCTGTAGTTTACGAACAAAACGCTGTATCCACAGCCAAGAAAGAGCTGCACAGCCTTGGAGTAGCCCAACACATTTGTCGCGTGTGGTCCACCATGAGGGAAAACTATCAGGGGGCGCTTTTCTCTGCTGCTCTCATGAATGAGAATGGCTTCAAAGTATTGTTCCGGTTCATCCACTGGTCGGAGCTGAAAGAAGAGAGGCCGTTGTGAGGGAGGTAGCGTGTAAATCCCGGGACTGCTTCGCGCAGCTGATCTTAACCGTCCTGGCGATGCGGGGGATGCATAAAAATAGTTCCCTCCGGAAGCCCCAAAGAGCGAGTGGAAGCGCTCTAATCGAGGCCAGATCCCGTAGGTTCCCCAGAGAGCCGGATTCGATGCCTGATGAACCGAACCAGAAATAACGACCTCGCGTATGTTTTCGGAATCCGGAATGCATTCTCTACAGGGAATATATACATGTATATATGACGAGTTTAACGAGTTATATCCATGCGTTCGTGTTCGCCTCATTACTTGCCTTCATGAGGTGCCACTCGACATGTGATAGCTCCTGTAGGCCATTCACTTCGTGCCACTCCACTGAGTCCTGCGCGATCTCGCCCACGACGACGTGAGTCTTCACTGAAGGCGACGACCGCGATGCCAGGATGAAACCCCCGTGGATGTCGAGAACCTGCAAACGTATGTTTGTTCACTGGCATCTCTTCTTCGAGGCTCAGTGGAACCTACGGGTTCACACACTTCCGAGAGTAAGGACGAATCGCTTCGGCTTAGAAGTCATTTCGGGTGATAGCAACTCACGGTCCAGCATCCGAATTTATCATCCAGTGTCTGATTGGTGATCCTGCCACTGCCGAGGTCAATCCTGAGGATATCCAATCTTGAATGCCAGATCGAATTCACAAGAGCCGTTCTCCCATCATCCAGTATGCACCCGCGACTCAGGCCCGCGAGGTAGAGGCCAGGAAAATCGTTCTCTGAAAAAAAATCGATTCGAATACATGACTTATGGTCCCTTGAGGATTCAAAAGATTCCAGCCCGAGCTGCGGTAGGATACCCGGAGGGACCTCCCGGACAGTGGCGGGGCACGAAGGAGGCAATGAACGGATGAGGTTAACATTTCTACCTTTCGGGTGGTCAGGTATCCCAACAACCACAACCGGCTCTTTCCTTGGAGAGCTGAAATCCACCCTCAGAAGTTCGGCGGCCATTCGATGAGGTCCCCCGATCTCATTCTGGAGGTAGATGAGAGTCTTCCCCGACAAATGCATCCGGGGGGAAAAGGCACATTTATTGAGAGCGGAAATCACTTCAAACGTTTTCAAATCGAAATCGTAATAGAACAGGTGTTGGCGTCGGTTGTTGCAGAAAGTTGACCCGAGTCGATATGGCTCATTCGGTCTCTCTACCGCGATGATTCCTGGAATGGAACACCTCTGGCTCAACGCACGCTTCCTTCGCATGTCTCGATGATCGCCCCCTTCATATGTGCAAAGTGAAACCCCGTTATGACGGACTGGGATGTAACTGACAAATGGCTCGGTCTCCTGATTCCTTGACCCCAGTCCTATCTCGTCCCATGTTATTCAACTCAGTTATAGCGAACCTAGTCTTGCGAGGCGGAAACTTATAAAAAAAATCCAGGATGAAATCCTCGTCACAATCATTCGCTTGTATGCATTCTGATAGAAGACAGGCTCGTTGAAGCATTCAAACAGCTCCTCAGATTCAGTCTGGGCCTCTCGGAGCAGGAACTTGGATTCAAAGGACCCCGGATGTAACGGACCGTTTCGGCGGGTCCCTTGGAGTCCGTCGTAACGGGGTGCGACTGTATACGCTCGTATGCTGTATCGTTCGCAAATGCTTGTATCCACCCACCTCTGCCATCAGGGGTGAAGATCGCCTGACCGAGACTCGAATCCGGTTTCTCGATGACCGTGGCCTCCATGACCGAAATGTCCAGAATTACGATAACGGGACAAACGCAGCCCTCGACTTGCTCACCCCAATCTTCCTTCAGCCTGAACGATTCACCTGTTCATGGACGGTGCGTGTTTTTCTGCGTCAGCTCTGATAATCTCCATCAGTTCGGAGTTTCTCTCCTCAGCATACCGATAGCGCTGCCCGCAGCGGGTTTCTTTGCGAAATACGATTCAGCCTTCGGCGTTTTTTTCTCAGCAACGAAGAGTAGCTTCGTTTCGTCCAGAGACCATTCCGTGGATGGTAAGTCTCCTGAAATTCCAAGTTAGGAATCATGATCCATGTCCATGGGCCCATCTGGAAACGAGCGCTTACGATTCTCATTGCAAGTACCCACCCTTGGTGACAATCTTCCCGTGAAGATCGGCGAAATCGCATTCGTAAACCCCCAATCGATTCTCGGCTCTCCAGATCTCAACGTACTCGCTCTTCTTGTCCCCGATTGTTACTTCTTTGGCCACTGCCTTCAGTTGGCTCTTCGAATCAGTCTCGAGAGAGAATATTCTGCAGGAAGATCAGACTCAGTGAATTAAGAAAGTTCGGATCATCGAGAGTTACGCGACCGATCGGCGTATATTCTCCCGGCAATGTAACGAGGAACGACAATTGAGGGACGCTCACATGGATTCGTTGAGCTCTTTGGCTGGCTGCATCAGTTCGAACTGGGGCTTTCCATCGTTCCTCACAGCGCTTGATATCGTATCGAAGTTGACTCGTTTTTCCATGTCGGCATCGATCAAAGTCCACGAGGTCGTCACCCTGATGTTCTTCGCGCATGCCCTCACTTCCCCGCCGGTGGGCAATGCTTCTCCGAACTGTCTTCTGTAGATCTTCGTCACCTCCTCAATTCGCTGGAGAACAGAAGATTCAGCAAGGGGAGAGGTTACGGAATAATAATACAAATATTCGATATTTGTGAGTAAGTTCTTCAAACAGCGCAAAATTCCACACCCGCATCAGCGCTTATCCAGCGAGCCTCTCTTTATCAATGATATTATTGGTTCTTCGAATGGCACACTAGCAATGCCCACCGAGTTCTCCTTCGCCGCATGCTGAGTTTTGGAATTCATCCCTCGCCTTGAAATTGAGCGAATCTAGTAGCAGGACCGCCGGTAGATGGACGAAGCACGTTTTGGCGAAAGATAGCAGCCGGCTTCCGTCAAAACAGCACGAGACACTCTTCTAGCGCCCCAATAGAATCCACCAGATCGCACGATTCCACAGGACATACCGTGGGCGTACTGGTCTTCTACGGGCCCGAGTTTCGACGGGATACAGTTGAGACGGCGAAAGATTCGGTTACAGTCAGCGGTGCTTGATCCGCGCACTATTTCCACCGAGAATCAGGTGCAGCTGACTGGATGCATCCCTAAAGACCTCCCGACTCCCGAGGCCACATCATTCCTCTCGTCGAAGGGTCACGAGTCTAGAAGAGGTCGATTCGTGGTCTTGGACCTGCCGGGATGAGCCCGAATGGATGAACGGCCATATCTCGGGGGATGGAATGCGCTCCGGAATTCCAGGAGGAGTTCAGGGAATCGGTGCCTGATATTGGCGGGTAGCACGGCATAATGCCGCTTCGGGAAACATGGTCACGTCGGCGAAGCCGATGTAGCCGCTCTCGAGCCGGCTCCGCGAGCCGAGAGCGGACGCTTGGTAATCGGTTCATATCCCTCTAAGGGAGCTCATGAATGAGGATCGAAGAAGCGATGGCCAGTGAGCGCACCGCGTCGGGAGCCTCTCAAATGTTGTGCTTTGCAATATCGACTTGTCATCGGCTTTCGTAATCGTAATAGCTATCGGTTGCCAGAGCTTGAGCTCCATTGAACCATTGCACACCCATTCCGCTCCTCGCCAAGGATTCCAACGGAAGGGACTCACTGAGTACACCGCTGTAATTGAGCTATCGGCGAAAAGTGTGCTGCCCATGCTGCCCCTGCTCAAGGGCGAAATTAGAAGATGCGACCGTCCACCAACAACTCATTAAAGCACGATAGATCTCGTATGCGGTGCAATCCAGCGACGAGTTCAGGTGTTCATGGTGATTGCTTTTCAGAAGTCCTCCCGACAGACATCCTATGAAGAATGCCCTCTTCAGGACTCTCGAGATTTGCCCAATATTTCCTCTTCGAAGGAAAGGGCATATAGTAGTTGGAGTTGGAGCTTGTGATTGTCCGATGCTTAATGGTACATTCTTAAGAAATGATGAGTCGATTCGCGTTGTCATACCATGTTTATTTCCGTCGAAATCAGAATATCAACTAATAACGGACTGGGGAACTCCGGAGACTACGCGATTGTTCTCGAGATTCTTCGTTCATCCTCGAAACATCTCAAGTTCACTCGCTGAAGTTTCTCCTCAGTGCCGTACTTCCACGAGGGCTAAGAGGGCCATAACCTGGGCTGGTGAATTTTCTGGAGATACGCTCCTGTGGGTCCCCCTCTCCCCTCCATGGTCAGGGTAGGCGGAAGCTTCAGATTAGCCTCACGATGCGGCGGCAAATCCTAAATTGGGCACTGTCCGTCCTGGTGGACGCCGTTCTCCGCTCTGAGGGTAGGCATGGGATGGTTTCGGGTGAAGACCTTCCAGGGGGAATGAAAGCAGCCCACGACTAGCCTGGTCATCTTTGCGGCAGCTTTTTTGAGAAGAGGAAATTTCGGACAAAATTCATCTCCAAATGTTTAGAGACGATGATTTCTCCATGGGGAAGTTTATTCGCTAATAGCCTGGAATCTTTCGCGGGGTGGAGCTACAGAGTCGAGCGGAGTGTCGTTGGGAAGCTGACGACTTGAGCGCCATTCAGGAAAGCCTTCTTCCATGACCGCCCCCGCGAGCTTTCTCTAGGGTTTTTATCCGAGTCCAAGGCACAATTCTTTTGATTGAGGTGCACAGTTGAAGACGGAGCGGGTGTCAGTTTTTTCTTGAAGCTCTCTCAGCTTACCAATGCCTACCCTCTATAAGCGGAGATCGGCGTCTGCTAGGAGGGACTTCTGACACGTCTTTGTTCCTCAGATCTTGACGTGAGGACGTCTTGATCCAACCTTAGCTGCCTTTCCGATGTATTTCTACCTCCATCTAGCCGTGACTCGCTGCCTCCTACGGCCTCTAAAAATTCGGTTCCTATCAAAGGTAGCGACAACCACATCCCAGCGTCAGATAGAGAACTACTGGGATTTTTCTCCGCTCGAAAGCTATGTGAGCGATAATAATGTTTGCTGTTCCACTTACCTCCGAATTCAGCGGGAGATCCGAAAAGTTATGGAACGGATGAAGGCTGACGATGGGAAACCCGACAGGATGCAGTGGTTATCGAGGACCTTGGACGCGAAGTACATAGCCTCGATCATCCGATGAGGCTCTCGAATCCTGAAGTCTCATTGAGGTCGAATCATTATTCGTCAGCTTCGAGACGGAGTTTTCAGACCAGCGTCGATAATTTAGGAAATTCGGAGCGAATCGCGTGAACGGGGGAAGGGGACGGAACAGGCGAGTGCTCGGCGACATCTTCGGCGAATCATGCCTTAGGATAGCGATGCATTCATGACGGAGAAGAGCCGCGAGGTCGCCGAGTGCGATAAGGATGTCATAGACTCGCATCGGGGATTCTGGAAGTATTTGATGAAGATTCGATAGCTTGGGTCTACCGGGGAAATTGGCGGTCTCGAGGACAATCATCGAGACGGGGACCGCACCCAAAATTGAGCTCATCGACGTTCTCGATATCGTGTCCGAAGTCGAATTACGCTCTTACTCCTCTCACTTCGCTCTCGAAGGGTAGGGAGCGCCCCATCGGGCTATTCATGAACGACTCACTAGGTCAGAAGGCTGGTTCCTCTGTTCGATCAACAGTAATGCGTGAGACGATGTCATGTACTTGAGGGTTATGTCATCGACGTAACCTGGCCTCTGTATTTTTCGACGAGTTGACGCAGAATATATTGAAAATGAACGTTATTGAGCGCGGGACAACAGGTGGCTTGTCTATGCTGCTCAAGGGCAAAAGTCGAAGCTCCGGGCTCTCGTCAGAAACTCATTATTATAAGATGGCTTCCGTATGCGGTGAAATTCAGCGACTATTTCAGGTGTTCGCGGTGATGGCGTTTCAGAAGTTTGCGATACTCATCTTAGGGATCCTTGAGTCCTGTTCTCCAGCAAATCGAATATTGATACGATCTGTCGAGTATTCCTCCTCCCAATCCATCCATTGGTCTCAAATTTTCGACTATTAGATGCGGTCCGCTATCCCCAACGAGGACATTCGTTCACAGAGCCTCGCGGAATATGCTTCGTTCGGTGATTCTCCTGTCTCTTGCAGCTCTGGCTGTTGCCGAGTCTGAACTCGAATGCGACGGTGAGGCTCTCGGAGCCGACCCCAACGCTGCCTTGGAGTTGGGAGACCGCATCTCGTGCGTCTGCACCACAGACGATCGTTGCGGCCGACTCAGAACCAAAGTCTTCGATAACGGCCTCATCTTCACGGCTGGTAAGATAGGTTTCGCGGTTGTCGAGATCGAGGACGATCACTTCAAATTTTTCGATGGACATGAAGTGGTTGACGGCCTCATCAGTTACCCTGTCAAGGAGGAGAAATACATCGTCTACGTCCACTGTTACGACATGAAGCCTGACCCCAGATACGTGGAGTTCAACTCGAAATCTAACGCCACTGACTCCGTTCTGTCGGAGTTGAAAACCAAGTATGGAATTAACGTCAATCCCGAGACAGTCAATGAAGGCTGCTGAAAACTATGGAGGAATCCCCCGTGACCGAGGACAGTCGGAAAGAATGGAAGAAAAAATTTCGCACTCTGTTTCTGCACTTGGGAGGATATGGATAAGTGGAATGCGGGCGGCTCCATTGATACTCCGACTGAGATATCGCTTTCTTCAATAAACCTTTTGAATACTTTAATCCTTTCAACGACTCTCGAGACTTTTCCAATATTTCCACTCCTAAGATAAGCCTCTGTGGAGATGAAGCGGATGATACGGAGGAAAGCTCGCCCTCGGCTGAATAAGGATGTGCTGCGGGTATCCGCGACCCCATTGTCTTCAAAACTGATTCAGACCCCAATTTGAGAACTTAATTGATTCGTCCCAGGGGACGGCTCGTGAAATGAGCCTTGATTTTCCGTGAGATCCCATGTCGACGCGAGCAACCCGTTCCGAGCAATGAGAGACGACATTCGAGATCGATCCTCTTCCCTTGAACAACGTGTTGAACGCAGCGTAGTGCTCGCGAGCGAGATTCGCAATCGGCGCGTCGATCCCTCGATGCTTCACGAGAACCTCGGGGAGGAATCGTTCGCAAAAGGAATCCATGTTCCTAGGTCGAAGCTAGTCGTCCACGTGATTATTCGTAGATCGAGTCCTGGTTCATGAATCGGAGCGAAGCCAAAAAATAAATGTTCGTGGAAGGGAACTTTTTCACGCGGGCTTTGACCGTATAGTAGTCTGATCGATCCACAGATCCATTACAGATTTTTCCAAGAAAGGACTACTCCATTGTAGACACATCATTAGTGAAGGATGGAAATTTTTCCCGACTTTTCTTGGAATCGTTCCTTATCCCAACACGGCCGTAGAGATCCAATAGGTTTTGGAGAAAAGGAAAACAGCCTCCTACGATCACATAGGGGAAGCTCCCGGGCTGGACATTGATCTCATCGTCAAAGGGCAAGGAATTCACAAACATCAAGGAGGCTGGAACGTGCTTCGGAATCCAGGAAGAGGTCTAGGGGAAGACTCGCGGCGAGCGGCTGATCGGTCCACGGAGCTCACACAACCGTAACCCAGGTGGCACTCTGGTGCAACCTCGAGACCTATCAAAAAGGAGACAAAGACTGAGAGTTTTCCCTCAGAGATTCGATTCATCCAGGTTGACCGAAATTAATCACGACTTGTGTTTCCTCAAATGAATCGGAGATTCAGCGTCTTTATTGGTCCTGGGCAGCGTCGACATAGTACATTTACCAGGAGAGTGAGGCTTCCGCGAGATCCGGCATGCTCAACATTTAACACTTCTGCATCCAAGTTGGGCAAGTTTCGTGACAGCAGAGATCCGAGGGCGCAAAACTGTTCTTATTTAGAGTCCCGGTGATCTTCGACACCCTCTGAGAGCAGCACTTGCCATCAATCTTTCCGTGAATAGCGTAGGTCTCGCTTCCGACGAATCCGCTCTGTGGGAAAAGGAGAGAAGACGATATCCAATAATTCCCTCCACAACTTTTGAACGGTATACTTTCCTCGGCACTTCGGGGGGTGAACCGAGCGAGCCGACCCGGAATGCAAGAAAGATCGAAAACTTACAAGTTTTGAAGAACCGAGAAATTCTGCTCCACTGCCAAGACCCACAGTCTTAGCTTCGTGGTTCGTTTTGTCGCAGTCGACCTTAACCCAGCCGATGTCTCCTGATGTGAGGGGCACTCCGAAATCGCAACCCTTCTTGGCTGTCCCCAGAGAAGAGCTCTGGATCTGGGCCGACGCCACGGCCACCAAGACACAAAGGATTGCAGCGCGCATGGTTCTGCTGGAAATCATGGTAAATCTTCATGTCGGACTCGGTTCTGACACCGATCCTGACCTCGATTTTTGGAGGATCGAAACGGTCGGAACACATCGAGTGAAGAGCACATAGGAGTCAGATCCTTGGATAACGGAGCCAAGGACGGAACTTGGTTTGACTGGGACACGACATAGGATAAGAGCGAAGGAGGGAAGCGGGACTCAGTCAATTCGCATTCGACGGACGACGGAATGTACCTTTCCGTAGGTGGAGTCAGTGCGGAAGAAGATGCTTCGAGATCCGGTTCGCGGCTTTATATATTGAGAGATGAACGTTTACAGAGAGGTAAACGAGTCCCTGGAGAGGAGCGGAGACCGGTTGAGCGCGGGAGAGAGCGTCTATTCTCGGAAAGCAAACTCTCGATCCCAACGTCTCCCGTCATGAATTCCCCTTCCACTTCTTCGTTTCCTGACTGAGCTGTTCGAAAACATCGTGTGCATGATACCACCACACGGCACAGCGAGATACAATATTTTCGAAGGGCAGTGGTCGCGGCTAACATTGCGACGCCCCAAGGCAGGAATTTCCCCGTTCCACCCGGAGAGGCACTTGAACACCTGGGCGGTCTAGGCGGATGTGCTCACGAGTTCGCCAAGCCCGATCGGAGTCTATTCACGGTCGTCGAACGCCAGACCTTGGAGCACACGATGGTGTGGAGGGCCAATTCGATGATTCCCAAAATGAAGCCTGTCTTCCAAGAACGCGATACTCGACTGCAACTCTCCCGACTCTCTCATTCACATTTTGGGAGGTTCCGAATGCTATGGAGCTTCCTCTTCGAAGACGAATGACCACCCTTTATCCTGAACGGCTCGTAACGAAGCTTCATCGATTCCCAGCCGAATGAGCGGGACAAATATCAAGAGAAACTCACTCCGCTTGATGTTTGGGAAATACTTGTATCCCACACCAAGCCGTACTCACGGATAAGAAGCGTCGGCGACGGATTCCCAAACGATTTCCAGCGCTCCGAGAAAAGCGGAGCGTATCGGTGCGAGAGGCACCGAGTTCGAAGTATTTTTGACGCTTTTCACCGGAAGACCCTCCGCTCGAGGACTCGAAGTCTGTGTTCATTCGATGCAAATGAACAACGTCCCGTCATCCCCGTTTCCGCTCTAGGGGCAGCGGTTCTTTTGTTCAGTCTAGCCTGAACAATCTTCTCCAAATCATCCAGTTGGATCAACAAAGGAAATAAAAGACTCTACATCGGTTTCACGTTTCCTCGATGCTTTCATCCGTCATCCGTGCTATGAGAGCGTTTTGTCTAGCACGAATGTTTGGCCCCGAGCTGACGTTCCATGGAGTCCACCATTTATTTGCATGAGATACCGCTTATCGGCGGGCCGAAGTTGTACGTTTCATATTTCAAAAGCCCTGTCACCTTCGAGCTGTCATTCCCCATTGCTTTCGAATCTGAGGCGTTCCTCTCCAGGGATAATCTTCGAGAACAATCCCCCCCCTCTCCCCCACCGATACCGCACCACACAGGACTGCGGGGGTATCTTGGCGGCGGAACGATGCTACATCTGATCTCAACGCAAGAGAGATAGAAATGTTCCAGCCGGCGGTGCATGTTCCGTCGCCTTTTCTTGACGCTGTTTGGACTGCCGATACGAAGTAAGCGAGTGTTTCCGGAGCAACCGCTAACCTTTCCGATGCGATCGGAGCTTGATGAATAGGGAACCCATGTTTTCTCTTGTCTGCATGAAATATTTGAACAGGGCTCCTCATTGTATCTCGGTCTCTCACGAATATGATGGTCCCCCGGGTCGGACCGTAGTTTCGTAAACACCATCGCAGTGACGCAGACCCATCCGAGGAATCCCGCGACAACATCACGTCGCGATGGATTCGATCCGAACGGCTCGGCTCTTTTGCATTTTTCGAGCAGTCGTAATGGGGACCATGGCCCTGACTGCATTTGCGGGATCGATAGTCGTCATCGTCAGCCAACTCTCTTCCGCGCACTGAGCTCGTGAACTTCCGTGTTATACGCGAATCTCTAGGGCCCCATGCGGAAACGGATGACTCGTCAGGGAACACCAAGCGAGAAAAGTCGCAGAAATTAAATTCCTCGAGAGTCAATCCTGTTCCCCGTGCGACTCCGCAATCCCCCGAGCAATCGCCAACAAGACAAGCGAGTCCCTCACCCTCCCTGTGTTGCCATGGTCGCCGCAGACTCTACGTTATCCTGCTGCCGCCACCAAAGTTCGCGACAGACAGACTTCAGGGTTCGAGCACAATCGACACGAAAGTGCTTCGCTTCTTCATCGCAGACTCAGTTCGGCAAAAATATTCATTAACTTGTGTCGGCTGTGCTCCTCGATCCGCTTCGGACCATCACACCCGCTACTGAAATCGCCGCTACTGCTACCGCAACTACGAAACTGGCCGTTTCGGATGTTCTATTCCGTAAACGGAGTGTTTCATGAGAGAATCTATGAACGTGTACGCTGAAAAAAACTCCTGAAGTTCCCAAGTTCCTCGTCGTGACCGCGAATCGCTGTGCAGGCCTCACACATCGCGAGGATACCGCGCTTCCGCGAGAGAGAACGAGGTGCGTCGGAGCGTGTCCTGGTAAACGCTGGGCCCGTGACCCACTTGATTACCCCCACTTCCGCATCTCTCTGCCTTGTGCCAGTTCGCCCTGGCGCAGTTTCGATCGGACCCAATGAGTCGGTTTACTTGAAGGACTTGTGGTTTCGTCCGCCGTATAGCTGAGGTCCGGATCGCGACCTGGGTTTGTTGTCCGTTTCCAACCCCATCTGGAAACTCAGCAAGAACGCCAACAAGTGACAGCCTCAGCCATCGGCAGACAAGGATTGGAGCCGGCGAGTACGAAAGGATCATTCGGTCACGCCATCGAACCGAAAATTGTGACAGTGGGAACGATCCGTCGTCACGCGCCTCCTGATCTCAATCGACGGACTGTGAGAGGGAATATCCGTTGAGAGCCGACTCCACCGGAGGATCGCGAGAAAGTGGGAGGATATAAACTCACGGAGGAAAGCGGCAGCCATGGCCGACGAAGAGAAAGGTTCGCTAGAATTCTGAACCAGCCTAGCAGGCATAGTGGCTTGGTTGGGTAGGTTTGCACCCAAAATCGCACCGACAGAGGAAGGTCCCATCGTCAAGAAGGTCCGCTTCCAAGGTAACCTAAAATTGAAAAATCTGAGCGACTAATAGCGAGTCGGTTGTTCGAGAGCCGGCAGCCTGGGGGATTTTTTCTTACGTTCCGGATAATCCGAAGCCTCGGTCCCGTTCGCCGCAGAAATTTCTAGAGCCGACCTGCTTCCGATCGCAGACTAGAGTAGAACTTCGAGCTTTCCCCTCAGTGTAAGGCTTTTTGATTTCAATCGATGACATGTTCGCTCCCGAACCATCGCTTTTCCTATTAATGCAGCCACCCCTCCCTCGCTTTTCTAGACAAGCCGTTCTTGACTTGCCCCCCCCCCCATCCGATATGGTCTCAGGTTTTAGCTCCTATGATCCACTTCGATCTATACGGCTTCAGTAGGCCTCCTGCCGGCGGGCTCAGTCAGCGTGAATTCCGTGCTTCCTGGGCTCATGATTGACGCCTCGCTGATCCGGATGAACGACTCTATTTTCGTTGCCTGATGATTTGACGAGTAGAAGGCACAAGGAGAACGCGGGATGAGCGGGACGCAATCGAAAGCTGCTTAGAAATACCAGCTTCCACATCCACCTTTGCATGACCCGAGCGCGGCACTGCGCACTGAAAAATCCACGCTGATTTCTTGAATTTTAGAATCTCCTAGTTTCCGAACATCATCGATATACCTGTCCTCGGCCTGAAACCTGAACCGATATACCAGCGGGATAGTTATTGTGAATAGTTAATCGACGACGGGCTCCTGCGCAGTTCATACCGAGTTTACAATCCGGATATCCAGGAGACTTCTCGCGTCAGCCTTCGGAGACGCATCCGGTACGCTATCCGAAATTACCTTGTCAGATTCAGCCCACGAGAGGAGCAAGAACCAGCTCACTCGGTTATATTCTCACTCGGGTAATCCACATTATTTCCCGGAATCTCGGCCACCGAGTCACACGCTTGAGCGACCGTTCGCAAAAAAGTGTCGCCAGGCCCCCGGCCGAAATGGTTCCCGGAACAGATTTTGCCTGATTGCTCTCATCGACCCTCAATCCTCATACCGCAAGAGATCCCTCGGGAGATAGTGACCTTGACGATTGACCCTGGAAGGTTAAAGTCCGAGGAGTGTAATTCCGTGTTTTGATGCAGAATTTTCACCGAAAGTATCTTCCAAAATATCAATCATGCCCGGACGAGAATCTAACGCAGATCCAAGTGAGATCGAGTGCCGAGCTGTCCAGTTTGGTTTTTGAGATGAACTTTCCCATTTTCCCTCGGTACTAAACTCACCCGATCGATAAAGAGCTCGAAATAGTCGAAAGAACGCAAGCGCATATCCCGAAGGCGGCACAAAAGTCTCCGAAAGCTACGGAGCTCGTGTTTCGCCTGAGATCCGCTAGCATTGCCATGTTCTCTTTGTGTATGCAATATGCATTCCACCCGCTGCAAATGAAGCGTGAGGCTCGCGAACGTAGCGAGTCGAAGTTGAGCCGTGAGATTGCGAATTCCTCTCCTACGTCACCAGAAGGTTTGCCATAGGTATCCTCGTACAGTCGACGTAGTTTCTCTGTATCTGTCTCAGGAGTACATTCAGAGTTCTGGATCATTCCGAGAACAATCAAATACCATGAAGCTCTGTGCACACGAGGCTCGCCGCAACTCCGACTTCCGTGTGGTGAATAAACACAACCTCGACCTCTGTGGATGAAGACGTCGCCCTATGCAAAGGCTTCTCCGATCGATTCGCTGGTCTCTCGCAAAAAGCGTTCACTCTTCGACTTCCTCATGATCGACCGTTTAGTATTTACGTCCGGGATTCTTCCTCCGGGCTTCCGTGTCCGGCCATTCTTAAATTTGAGCTCCATGTGCCCGATTCGATCATGAGCCCTAGAAGCGCACTGCTTCCGAAGCATCACGACGAGTGGGTCGAGCCAGCGAGGCAGGATGAGTGAAAACTTCGGAGTGCGCTACAATGAGGATATTCATCTCGTGCAAAGTCGTCACGGCCCGTGAGTTCGTTTGAGGGAGGGAATATTCGGTTGAGCTTCAGGATTCCTTTCGTAGGAATGGCGTCTTCATTCGAGCTTGGACCGATCTGAGGAACCCTGGCATTTCAGCTTCTCTGCCGCCTGCCCTCCCCACGAATGGAGTCTGTCAGATCAGAAAAATTCGCGAAACGTCGCCATCCGTGGGAAATTCGAGTCCTTTCGCACGAAGCGACCCCCGAAATTCGGAAAGCTCGTTGACAACCCCCAGAGGAAGAAGCCGTCGATTTTCCGGAACTCCTCGATCGTGGAGTATGATTCTAAGGAATGGACGGAAGGGACTGAAACACTCGAGGGATCCGGCCGAGCATCACAAGAAAACTGCTCGGCAAAGTGTTCCAGCGAAGAAGATTCAGGAGGCCTGACTCAGGAGATTCAAGACTGCGATCGACCCGGAGAGTCGGGAGAACACGTCGAAAATTATGCTGTTACCCCAGAGTAGGTTTCGAGAAGATTCGAAAACACGATAGGGAGACTTGGCGGTCGACTTCCCGAAATAGCTCGGCGGAAAATTTGAAGGTTGGGAGCTTTCATTCCAACGACGGTCGGCCCGTTGTCCACTCCTCCTGAAATGCGCGGAGTTATAGAGCTCTCCGAGACGAGACGAGTGTCATTACAAGTATCGTTGAGTGTTCTTCCGAGTCTCGAGCGTGATTCCTGCGTTTCTGTTTCTGTGTGCAGGTTGATGGGAGCACGGTCAGCCTGCGGTTGACCTTGTCCAATATCTTGCAATGTTTGCTGTTAAACTTGAATCTGTCCACGCTGTTGCGGTTCTCGCGATATCTTCCTGCAAAAAATTATCCCGCAATGAAACCCTCTCGATTTGGTGCCGGTTTCGATCCGACCCTCTCACCCGTGATCTCCCCCCGGGGCCTCGCTCTTCCTTTAGCGAAGTCAGTGTACCCCGGACTCCTCTCAACGGCCTTAGGGATTCCTGGAATCGAAATCCACGAAAGTTTGTCGATTTGCAGCTTTCCCGTTGTTATGGCATCTCAGATGCCAGAAGAATCACTCCGAGTCGAGAGAAGGAACCGTCGAGCTGCCGTCACTGTCGCTCTGAATCAAGCCAACGACGCCTTGCGGAGTCCGGACTCGAGCGTGGAATACCTCAGTATTCTACAGGAGAAGCTCACCCGATATCTGACTGAACTCGGTCAGACGGATCTAGAGTACAAGCGCTTAATCAAAAATGATCAGCTCGAGGAAGAACTTCAGCATCAGCGAACACTCCAGGATCGAGGTGCAGAGACCATTTGCAAGCTCAAGTTGAAAACTGACGGTCTCAGACGATCTCACAGTCCTTCGACAGCGAGTCGAGAAGACGTAGAACTTGAAAAGCTCGTACGCTTGTTGGAGCTGTCACCAGCGGCCCTCGCCAACACGGAGTATGGCAGAGCACGTCGCCGCAAAGAGGTCAAGGTATGTTCGGAGGAATTCGGTTCCTCAACCTGGGAGATCTCGCCCGGGAAAAAAATTTCCTTTGCATTTTCGAGGCGGCGCTGACGGAGATTCCAACTGTTGGCAGAACCTGGACACCGGTGGCATTCGTCGAGGTATCATCCCTCAGCCTCGGAAAAGTCAAGTAATGCCGTCAGCTACGATCAGCGAAACGATTCCCGAGAACCCGGAGCTCCTTTCGTGGAACGCACGTCGTCCTTCCACAGAACTCCTCGCGAAAAATTCTCGCGAGAGGATCTCGGACTGCTGTTCACTTTTCGGGCGGGATCTCACCCGCTGCTGCGATAGAGTCTACGATTTCAGCGCCGCGACGCAGAGTAAGACGGAGGCGCGAGAGGCCAAGACTTCCTCCATCGTGTGTCGTTGAATTTGTGTTAGTGGCGTGATGATTGTACTCTCGATGCTTTACTCAAGTCGGGAACTTCAATCCGGACGAAACCGATAAGATCGTTACGTGGTTTGCTGTCGACGTTTTGTTGTTATGGTCGTCGAGGTCAACTCCACCCTGAACGTGCCCCACGGGTGATTAGTAGACGTTCGCGGTTCAAGGTTGAGGTGGCTGCCATTTGAGAGACTGCACTCGCACGCGCTGAAACTGCATGCTCTCCGAGGACGGAGTGATTAAGGGCTCCATCGAGATTCCCATGCCCGAGATCAAGGTCCCGGCTGATGTGCTAGATGCTCGCATGATCCGCGCAGGTTCCTGGGGAGGATTGCGTGGCGAATTGAAAACACCGAATAGTCACACCATCAACCAAGGCATAACACCGTTCCGAGTGGATCTAAATTTTCGGATTCCTTGCAGACGCCAGCATGCTGACGGCCGGTGGACGCTCCGTCAAGTATGTCTTGTTCCTGGCAAACCTCATCATATTGCTGGGAGGGATCGTGGTCTTCTCTGTGGGGGCATGGGCTCTCGTCGACAGCAGCTTCATGGAGAGGCTGCTCGGCAGCGACATGTTCGCAACGTCGGCTGCGACGTTAATGGCCGCAGGATGCATCGTCGTACTCGTGTCATTGCTGGGCTGCCTCGGCGCTTTCAAAGAAGTCAAATGTCTCCTTATAGTCGTAAGTTCACTGCTGGGTGTCAGATCTGGTCAGGATCTCGAGGCTTCATCAGCTTCCCACGATCCAGAATCCGCGATTCGGAAGCCAAAACCTCACCCGAAAAAACCTTATCAAAATCGATCTCTTCGTCGCACATTATCGCCTCTTGCTTTCTTCTCCTCAATGTGATCTCGTTCACCATACGACCGAGTTCTCATGATGTATTGGTGCCTTCGCCCCAGCACTTCAAGGGATTCAGGATTTTCACCGCCCAACCGGCTACATACTCTGAGATTATTATTATTCGTGAATCGATGACCACACTCCCTCTGATCAACCACCCCTCCCCTTTCTGCTTTGTTCAAAACTTTAATCTCCTCTCGGCTTGTCGAGGAAGATCCGTGATCGTTGCCGTCGGCCCTCTGAGCCGAATGGCTAGCTGGACCAGCCAATGCAGAATCGATTCGGCTCGAGCCCTCCATCTAGGTCCGTTTCTCGGGGCTCGAATTCAGCAGACGGTCGGTGAGATCTCGCGTATCAATGCTCGACTCCACAAATGGAAAATCAATCGAGCTACAAGTCGATTGCACTTCTGATCTGTCCGAAAGAGCTCAAATCATTCGCGGATACAAAACAGCACCAGCTCTATTGATCGACTCAAGCGCAAGATGAGAGATTCCGAGAGACATCGGCGACCGGTCTCCCCGTGCGAAACCGAAACGGTCGATGGGATTTTTTCCCCGGTGGAGCCCTCGGCGGCGGGCAGCTGAGCATAGGACTAATGACAGAACTTGCGACGTCCCTCTTGTCGATTCCTCGTCGGAACAAGGTTGCCCAAAGAGCTTCATAGTATTATAATGAACTAGGTAGGTACCGTAAATATTCCAGTACAAGCCTCTCTCCAATAGTGGCCCGTCTCCAATAGAAGCCCCTCGGCGGGATTCCCGAGTCGAATAGAAGCCCCTCTGCGAAGGGGTTCGAAGTAATAGAAGCCCGGGCTCGTACATATTGGAATATTTACGATATGTGAGTGAGGAGTGAGCCTCATTGTCAAATCGGACCTCTGGCTCAATCTCTCAACCCTGACGAGCCTCCGACATGAAGCGAGCTCCTATCGACGTCCAACAATCAAGGTTTCGTCAGCCCTCATAGATCGATTCCTCGTAGAGAATCTCGCGGAAAAATGAACTGTCGCAAAGTTCCAAAGTTTCCTTGGAATGTCCCCACTAAAAAGTCGGAGTCGATAGATTCTATCGCTGCGCGACTATCGATTATTCCCCTCATAAAATTCAGCCCGACCGTACCTGAATATCGCCCAGAGGCTCCGAGCCTATCTAGGTCCTCCGCTAGGAAAGAAGATAGACGCTCCGCTTACGTTTCAGTACTTCCTTCAACTCCTGATTGTATTCGTCATAATGTTGGCCGGTGGCGTCGTCGGATACATTTTTAGGGGAGACGTTGATAAATCCGTTTACAAGGCCATGTGGGAATCGATTCCGCTCTACAACAACGACACAGCAGTCACCCACGCCTGGGACGGAGTCCAGAAAAATGTAAGCGAATCCAAACAAGTGCCGGACCCGAGCCCTCTACTAAGAGCCTTCTTCAGATCAGATCTCTTGATCTCACCTTCTCCTTGCAGTTCATGTGCTGTGGTATGCGCGACAAAGATAAACCAAACGAACGACCGCTGGCCGCCTGGAAGCGGAACAAAAGCTTCAACACCAATATTCGCGTACCTAACTCGTGTTGCATGAGGACTGAATGGCTTGGTGGTTGCAGGAAGAACCCAACTGAACGGGATACTTATATGGAGGTAGAGAGTCCGGGCGTACCTCATGAAGATTTTTTCCGGAACGACGAATATTCTGCAGACAGTCGCCGGCTGCCGAATGGCCATACTGGGGCGACTCTCGCATCCTGAAGGGTTCTATTGCTTTTCCAGGACTGTCATGTGAAAGTTCGAGATTTCATCAAGAGTCATGCTTTAGCTTTGGGAGCGGTTGGTATAACTGTGGCTTGCTTAGTTCTTCTCGGCATGGTCCTGTCTTGTGCCCTCATACTCATCATAGAATGAAACGAATCGACACCGAAGAAACCCGAAGCGGACTCCCCGATACCGGGGGAACCACGAAACCTCGAGCAAGGGATGGAGAGGAACGATTTTTGCCAAGAGGTGAGCTGACAAGAACAATTCCGTCGTGAGCTGAGGACTTCGAACCTCCGTGCGTTCAGACCTCGAGCGAGAGGGTAGCTCACTCCCTCAAATGAGATATTCACCTACTCTCCTGCTCTTCCAGATCCCTCCGGGGAAGGCCCAATTCCACAGACCTTTGACGAAGGAGCAATAAGTGTGATAGGGGAGTGGAATCACTCCGATCCGAGAGCTGGTCATGCAAGGGTCGGTGTGCCCACCCACCTCCCGGCTGGTGCGCGTCTCAATCCGACATCATCGTAGACATCGAACTCACAATTTCGAGCACCGAACTCATCCTTTCGAAAGCGATCTCACCGATCCATTCAAGCAATTTAGTCGAAAAGAGTACAGGATGAGCAGAACTCTCTTCGAATACAGAGCCCGCTCATACGGTCAGTCGCCTGCTCGGACACGCCCCAACCTCATCCTTACGCCATGAGCACCTCCGGAGAACTAGGTATGATACATAATTGTTTCATGATGCCTCATAACCATTTCACTGCATCAATGAAAACAAATACAGATCACGATGATGTATGGGACGAATCGTGTTTAATGAATAAAAAAGAAACCGAGTGAAATTCGGAGCGATGCATATGACTCACTGCAAGCCTCGCTAGGGGGGGCGCACTCCAGAAACATTCATTTGAGCTTTTAGAATGATTCATCGGATCGATGAGAAATTCTAGAGCGCCGAGGCGCTGAGTCGAGACTCGGGTTTTTCTCGGCGAATCTATACATGAGAAGCCTAGATAATACATACCTATGAGAAACAATAGTTGGAAATCCTTGGAGATTGCGGCAACTTTCACGGACCTTGGAGCTTCCGCAGAGATTTCCGAGATCGGCATTGAATACAAGTCCGATAATGACAGCTTGTTCCTTGACTGCTCCAGCAGAGGGCTAGCTCTCGTTTTCCGTCATCCGGATCATTTCTTGAGAATTTTTCTTGCCACGGAGTGGAGCCAATTCGATTGCTCTTTGCCCTCGGCGCCTGCCCTTTGTTTGAGACGATTCTTGGAACGATATTTCTCAAGGTAACTCAGTTGCCTCGCGTTGATGGCGCCCCTGCGCAAGGATCGAATGTATTCGACAGCGTCCTCGAATTTCATGCCGAGCTCAACGAGTGCCAAAGCGACAAGAACCGGTGCCCGACCTAACCCTGCTACACAATGAACCGCTACGCAAGCCTCGGGTTTCTCCTTGAACCGCTGGCGGATCAAGTGGAGCCAGTCCTCGACTATTTCCGGAACAGGGGACGAACCATCATCGAATTGCATTTCATGCACCTGCAGAGGAACGAACCAGTAAGCAAGGTGGAATATATTTTCTCGCCTATTCTCGGCTTTATCATCAATCTCAGCGCCGGAAAGTCCAAAGGGGAATCCTGCCAATGACAGCGATTTCGCGGATTGCTCGCGCTCTTACGCAATCGCACCCCGGAGGAGCTCTGAGCGAGCCATGGATCCCTTCGAGCCTCTCTGTCACAGCGGAATATCTACCTTTATGTCTTCTTTCTCGAGAAGTTCTGTCTGATACGTTGGTTCACACACGCGCACCACGTCAGTAACCTGTCGTTTCTTGAGCTCCTGGAATTAAGGTGATCGTCATACGTGTACGCTCGAGAGGCGGGTGAAATATAAATCCTCGGGGGCAATTCGATATTTTTCCCCCGGCCGAGGCATGCGGTCGCGGTACATTCGTACTTCTGATACGCTCCAAAAGGGGGCCACTCACCTCAACATAGAAGGGCAAGGTTGCATCGGTGGGCCTGTCCGTGATGAGGAGGCGATATCCCTTGTAGAGAATCTCTGAGGGTCCAGGTCGCTGGAGGCCTCCGATGCCGACCGCAAAAGACAGTGTTGCCTTCTTCTTCTTCCCGCCGTCGAATGACGGTGTTTCCGTGGCACTCATTACGGTGGCTTGATCACGCTGGAGATTGCGCAATAAAACCCAAACCGTCTCGTGTTCTAACGGGACAACTTCCAACTATACGGGAGGTCGCAGCTCACGATCGGCAGCACTGCCTGGATAAAGTAGCACGCGATCGATGTCAGGGACCGAATGCGAAAAACTGCGGTGCGTTTGAGCAGATGAGAACAGATTGCGAGTCGTCTGGGTGGCTTGTTCAAAGTTCAGTATGATTTCATGATGAATTCCTTTCAGAGAGGCGAGGGGATTTCGGAACGAATTCCGAGAATTGCATCACCGGTTGAACTTTCGAGCGATACGAACCGTTGAGTTTGAGTTCCGATCCTGCTTGATCGCAAAATAATGCTCGAACCAACCATCGTTGCATATGTGGCGCCGCGTGAATCTTTTGGAACAGGCAGTGATGGTGTCGAACACAACATGAGAGAGGGAACACCGGTATCATAACCGAAAATGAAGCGACACATACGGGTACACATGGTCTCTCTCCCTTTCTAAGAAACGCCGAGAGACGATAGTTGTCACGGAGACTCGAGTCGGTGAATTCAGCGACTTGATCCTAGCGAGCGTACCTGCACCCTGCACACTGTTCCGGCCTTCGTTATTCAGCTGTCAACCGAAGCGGATAGTCGGAACATACACCGTCGACTCATCGTGGAGATAGCGTTCTCCGGCGAGCGGGTTCCTCGTGAGTTAACAGAGTCGGATACATCATGGTTTCGAGTTCCATGTTGCCAAGAAAGAGCACATCTGAACTCATCGGTAAAAACAGTTGGACCGATAATTCTAATCGACGGGGAACTGTGGCGCGCTGCTGCTCTCGAGACCTCGCTCATCGATGAATTATCGCGTCGGGAAATATGATCCGGAAGAAGGTCTCATCCTCCGAAGGTAGTGAGAGGATTCGGAACTCACATCGCCTCACATCTCAGATTCTATTGAGCATGAGCATGGAATTCACGGAGCTTCCGGTGCGCTCAAGAATTTAATCAAGCACTCAACGAAGGACGCAGTCGGATCGATGCTTCGTTCATCGTTGGCGTCTGAATCAGAAATCCCCGTGCAGACATGCAGAATATTGCTTTGACGATAAGTTTGTCGGCTCGTCTACGGGGAGCAACGAACATTGTTCATCTCATTCACTCAGGCTCTCAATTTAATGGAAAATCGCTTCCATGCGTCCGTGTCTTGAATTCTTTAGTACAGCGTTTCCCAGCCGGAGTTGTGCGTACGTCTTGGAGTTTTTTCTTTCTTTCGGGGCTTCCTCGGGGGTGCTCGGAGTTCCTCGGCAAGGTACTCCAAGCGATCGAGATGCTCTCAGACACTCTATTTGATAAATAAGGTAGATGAGGTCGATTGCCTCATCGGCTGGCGGTTTTTCAGATACATCCTCCCGACGGGCTATTCGGGAAGCAGGAGCATAAAGCCTTGGTCTTAAGAAATAAGCTTGTCTTCCCCCTCAGGTCGAATCGGGCTTTAGCCGTAGGGGGTACTCGCGGAGGCAAGGATTGCGATCCGCTGCTCTAACGCATGCTGTCCACCACCGAAAGGTGAACGCGGACGATTCAGGGAAGAGTTGCGCTTGAGTTTCTGTTATGATTCTTTCGTTTTTCGGACTTTATTCGGATGTTTACACGTTCTGGTATAGATATATATATATTCACGAATGATATAATCAGACCTACTAACTCCTGGGGTGTACTTTCCAAGTTGAGGCTAGCTAGCACGAAGGCACTCTCGACAACCTTCAGCCAAACCTAAATTCGGACCACGCTCCTCGACTTCGTTCCCGGGGCATGTTATCGAGATCTCTCCGAGTCCATCATTCGAACCGACTTCCTCATGGCGAATATTGTCGAGTGCGTTGGCCGCAGACATCAATCCATCATATTCAATCAGCTCATTGTAGTATTCCAGTATACATGTTCGCATACATCATTCCTGAGATCCTCGGAGCCCACGGTGAGGATCTCTGTCGTATTTCCGTTTTTCCATAAACAACCTCTTGCGCTTGAGAATTGGGATTTCTGTAGATCTTTCTCTCGTGTTTTCGGAACTGATTTCGCATGTAACAACTAGAAACTGCTGAAGATTTCCGAGCGCTCATTTCGGATAAGCTTCACACGGGTCATGAGCACCTATGGCATCGTCAGGGGAACAATTCGGACTATGTTCAGCATTTCTGCCGACACCTCGTCGAGTGTAGAGATTCCACGGGCTATCCTGCAGGACAGCAGCTCTCCATATATCTGGGAGGTCAGAGGGAGCTCAAATCCGAGTTGTTTTTCCTCAGACAGCCAGACTTTGTAGTTCAAGTGGCAGCGTCCTCATCTCCGTCATTGCAATCTGATACGACTGCAATTTGCATAATTTACTTTCGTTTCCGCTCGGCGAAAAGCTCTAGGGGAACCGGGAATAATTGCTGAACCGAGCGAGGTCATCAAGGCTTCACCTCCGAGCCTGACATCCCTCACGGCGTTCGGAAGAACCAAGAAGGAGGGGTGGATATGGTTGAGAATCAAAAACTCAGGATAAGAACACGGTGTGGAAATCGCTCTCTCTCTTTCTATTTGATTTGGAAGCCTTTCCTTCATCGACTCTCGCTGTAGCACTCGGGAGATCGACCCGTGAGCATCTGCGAGCTCAATGATTTGAGTCTGGTGCTTCTTCGATCCGCGAAGCTGACGAGGCAGCGGGACGGAATTCCGACCGTCGCCTACGACCTGGGAGAATGTTACGGGGAAACAAGTTGCGAGAGTTCCGGCGTCTTACCCGAAGGGAAGATGGAAAAGAAACAGGGAGGAACATCATGGTCAGAGAAAAAATGAGCAGGAAATCAGAGGAAAAGAACATGAACATTATTATTGACATTGAATCATATGGTCATGTCTCATGATGATGCACCGAACTCAAATCCTTCGGCTCCCGATTCGAGCGCACTGTCCCGGATGACGCATCATGGAGATGGAACACGACGGGAGATTTAGCGGGTCACTCAACACAGGAATAAAACAACAAATTTAATCTCTTGCAAACAACCAAGACTTCCACGGTCCGGTTTCCGACCTGCGACAGTATATAGAGAGTACTTAATTCTACACAAAAACCAAAGCTCGGGAACCATCGACTCAGAGCGTTCGACGCTCCCACGAGTCGCGGTTTCAGGCGAAAATCTCAGTGACATCGTTCTCACACCGTGCGACTCCTTCCGCGGATTGGAACCCCCAGCATTTTTAAATGACTCCTGCCGACAAGGTGTGCCGACTACGATCCCGAAGGTATATGAAGATGAGGGAGGTTCCCGATCGATATCGCCGTCCACGGGTTCCGCGTGAGCGCTCGGGTTGCCGGATTACGCGAACGGACGAAGAAGATGATCAAAAATGTTCAGAGAGAGCTTGAGGTGATACGATGATGGGGAAATTCCGGGTGACGAAATGGAAAAATCCGAAATAGCATAACCAGTTCAACAATGTCAGCAACCTCGGGAAGGCTACTGATATACGTGGAAGCGGAACCAGCGTTCCCCTTTCGCTGTTCAGTCCATGCTGTTGTTGCAGTTGAATGATTTGTGTGGGAATCTGCTGATCCATGATGCAGTCGCTCCTGCCGCGGCTGCTGCTCAATCGGCGACGTCGTCAGGCTTCAGCACTCGTAGGAATTGGCACGAGATGCCAGCGTGGATCTCCGACGTCCACAAATTCGATGAACATAAGTTGAAGTGGAATTCTTTAATCATAGTCGTCATTTTCTGTCCTCTTTGTTTCGTTTCTTTTCCTCTATGGATCTCGTGTGACCCGCTACTGAACACAGCACACCTGCTGCCCGTTGCCGGCAGAGTTGCCTCGTTGCTTGAGGCGATTCTTCGGTCGGTACTTCTCGAGGTAGCTCAGCTGTTTAGCGTTGATTGCTCCTCGTCGCCGAGCACGGATGAAATCAACGGCGTCCTCGTACTTCATACCGAGCTCGACAAGGGCTAAGGCGACGAGAACGGGTGCCCGTCCTAGTCCTGCGACGCAGTGTACCGCTATGCAGGCTTCAGGCTTTTCCTTGAAACGATTTCGGATCAACTGCAGCCAGTCCTCAACGATCTTTGGAGGAGGAGGCGAGCCATCTTCGAACTGCATGTCGTGCACCTGGTAGTAAAACAGTAACTTTAGCGGGGAATTCGGTCAGCTCGGATGGCGAGTATTCGCATCCTTGAATATTCGTAGTGCGATCCTCTTGGGAAACGAGGCGAGCATCTTTACCTTGATGTCCTCTTTCTCGAGGAGCTCCGTCTGGTACGTGGGCTCGCAAACGCGAACCACGTCGGTCACCTGTCGTTTCTTGAGCTCCTGAAAAACATTAGGGAGGATCATTAGGAATTGATTTTCGAATTCCACTCATCAGTCTTAGGAACCCGTGATATCAATTAGTTGCCTAGACAATCTCTGCGAAAACGTCGTTTGACCCAATCTCGGGCTTTGGACTGGATTAAGACCGCCCCTGAGCATTCAAGTGTCGGGGAATTAGCGGCGTTGCGTATCGAAGCTGAGGCTCACCTCGACATAGGACGGCAGGGTGGCGTCGGTGGGTCTGTCTGTGATGAGAAAACGATATCCTTTGTAGAAAATTTCTGAGGGTCCAGGTCGCTGAAGACCTCCGACGACCCCGACTCCCACACCGCCGAGAGATAAGCTCGTTTTCTGCCTCATTGAGCCTGCTGAGTTTGGCGACACCGTGACACTCTTCACTGTGAACGAGACAGCACCTGATTATAGACTGGATTTCCGTTTCCGGGCCTTCTCCTCGGAGTCGACACGAGAGACAGACTCTTCACGACCATCGATCACGTGAATATGTTCGGCACGGACGAGGTGACAAGCGAGAGATTTAACTCTTTGAGAGGAATTAGACCATACAGATAAGTTACCTGGTCCTTCGTGGACGGCGGGAGTTGAAAGAGAGCGGTGTTGCGCCGTGCTGACCGGGGCCGAAGCCGTCATGGACGAGCGTGGAGCCACTGTGCTATGAATTCCCCGAAAGCCCACTACGTTCACAACATGTGCAGATGTGTGTCTTCACACTGGACTAGTGGAGGATAATCCCCTCAAGAAACTAATTCACAGACCAAACTGGCAGACTGGTCAAGAGGTCGACACGGGACGGAGCTCACTCCAAGAGTAGTACAGTAAAGGCTTCGGAGGAGGCAGTCAGTTCCGGTCGTCCGCTGACGATTAATTTGTACTTGGATCCGGTCACAGTGGTAGACAATGTCTTTTACGAGTGTTTTCTTTGAAAACGTTGTTCCGTGCTCTCCGCTTGAAGAGGATTCCCGATGTTCCGTGGAATCGGCTAAGTGAGTCGAAAGAGCTCGGCGAGCTGATCGGTGAGGACGTCGGATGATTGAATCGAGGATGTTATGATTCGGTAATCGTTTGATTGTTCGCTCGATCAGACGGTGGATCGGCCAACTCCGCGAATGCCGAGTAACCTGCAAATAAGACAAAAATAACTCCAAGCTCTAATTATGCAAACCCGTCCAGAACAATAAGGGCTTCCGGTTATTTATCATGGAGATTTTGGAAGGAGTTAGGTATCCGATTCTCCGACTCGATTCCTTTCGATTTTCATCAGTAAGCAATTCTGACTTGATGGCGTTTTGATGTGTTTCGAATCCAGTGTGAAACGGCTCTCTCGGCCTTCAGCGTCAGCAGCGGATTTCGTGACCCGAACCAGCTGGTCAGACTGACCCTCATCTAATACTGCAGAGCTGTCATCAAGCTCTGACGATCAGCCTCTCAGTCCCGAGCTCCATCGGGAAGGCAACACACCCCAAGGACGCCTCGGAGATTTCCCACGTTTGACGCTTTAGCCAGGCGACGGATTCGCTCCGCTTCAAGCAATGACTAGGGTTCAATATCCCTGACAACGGGTATCTCGACGAGGTGGTCGGTCCACTCGAAAGGACGGGAGTGCCATCGTGTGCTTGGCGATACTGTGGAACCCTTATCCCTAAGCTGGAGGGAAAGACATTCTCAGATACCAGGGCAAAGAAATCGCGGCACTCGGCTAATCCGAGATAATCTAGACCCTCCGGGCCATTTCCTCAGCAGATGTTGCGATCTCCCTACCCGCAAGACTTCACGGAGCCAAGGTCGCAAGTCGCAACTCCCAGGCGTATCCTTGTCTCCACGAAGCAGTCAAGTAATTAATTCCGCGGCGACCTTCCCCGAGAGCGTGCTCGGGGAGCCCACCAGTCAGCGCCGACAATTCCACCCTTGATCGGCGGGCGCATTCGAGCTCCTCGCGCCGACCTCGAGGGCTTCGAGGTCAATCAACTTGGATGGCATTGACCCCCTCCCCTCTCCCTGATTCTCAGGCAGAAACGGAACTCGCTCACAGTGCGACATAGAGACTGGGTATTCCGAGCGGTCCTTCGGACCGGCTTAGTTGCTACTTTTGTTGGGAACGGACTCAAAGGGAGCGCCGCGTCTTCGGCGTCGACTCGGGGAAATGGAAAGCCTGGAGTACGATAGGCATGAGCAGCGGGTCGAAGAGAAGAATGGACCAGCCTCTGTGGAATAGTTCTCCTGCTCGGTCAATTAATTATCAGAGAAAAAAAAACCAAAGGACCGCGAACTATCGAATTCGCTAACCCTTATTCGAATGCGGATGACGACACTTTCGATCATAGCCGGGTATCCTTTGCTTCCGTGCTGGCGGATCGGCGAACGATCCAGACGCGTTCAAGCGGTCGGATGAGTCGTTTTCGGGGAAGAGTTGCTTGAGCGTTCCCTCTTGCTAAGGATTACATCGAGGGTACGTTCTAGCGAAACCTCTATCGGTGTCTGGCCTTATTTCTTCTCTGAACTCGGAAAGGAGCCGATCCAGACGCTCGACTCCGCTGAGGTCGTCCCCCTATTCGCGGTGGAAAGTATTCGGTCGCTGTAGCTGGTCGAACCACGTCGATATCGTCTTGATCATATTCGGATGACGCAAAGCAGGCGGAAGCGTGTCTCCCGCAGTCGTCTCGGTGACAGAAGCGGCTTCCACACGACGACACGACCAGAGCGAACACCGCGGATTCTACCGCGACGATAGCGACCGACGAGTCGACCCACGATGCGACCGACCGGCCGGCCGGCTAACTGAGAATGGATCCTCGCAGGCCTCTCGAAAGTGTCGCCTTTTCTCAAACAGTCACTGCATCCACAAATAGACGGCGCCGAATCGATAACAGCGCCTCGAAGGAAAAGAATCCCGCAGCGGAAAACCTTCGCCAGCTTATCTTATCCTCTTGCTTCTTCACTGTTCGCGCTAGTATCAAGCGTTGCATCCGATCATCAAGATGCTTGGCCGTCTCGAGAATGCAAGAAACTCGAGAAAATTCAACCTATGAGCCCTGCGCATCTCTCTCTGCCCCAACGCCGCTCGTACGACTGAGTGAGCCAATGAGCCATTTTTCTTTCCATAACTTTGCTTCATGGATTCTGTCCGAGAGGAGCTATCGGTCCACCCCCCATGGACCTCGGCGTACAATCAGCAGCGGTATCCTCCAGGTGAAAAAGTCTCTCCGGGTGAATGATTCCGACAACTCTCGGTCTGTGGTCTCTCGACTAACCAAGAGGAGCGAGCAATCTCTAACGATAAACGCCGGTACTACCACTCGTCATACAGTCAATTGAAACTTTGAAGTGGGTCACAAGCGTTGTGAGCTCCCTGTCCCACTCGTCAGCAGATCCTGAGCATTTGTGAACGACCAGCTGAGAAGTTCGGGACCTCTGCCATTCAACCGTATCGGTCTATCGCTAAATCTATTCATATTCATAACAACTCATGAGATCCCACGCCGAACATGAGGGAGTTGCGACTGAGGACGGAGGGCCTCCAAGGCTCCTCAGAACCATGATCCATAGACGCAACATCGCCCCGAACCGTCAGAAAGCTAATCGCTCGATCTGCGTTGTTTTTCGAGTGCGATGGAGCGATTTAGTGTCCCCTTCCGAACAGTATCTTCGTTGAGACAATTTCCTCAATTGAGACGATTGGGTTACTCGAGTCCGCGATATAGAGACAAACGTCGCTTCTGAGGAGACCAATGCGACGGCGCATCTCGATAACGAGCTTGAGTGGATGGAGCAGGGAGAGCGTTTAAGCACGCGACCCGATAAATCAGTCGGTGACGCTAGCTCAATACATTATGAAGATCGCAACTGCCTATCTTTCATACTCACCCCCTAAAAAGTCAGGATGAACTTCCAAAGTTGAGCACGAAACGAAATTCGAGCCGATATGCAGAATCTCTCTCGGTTAAGCTCCTCTCGTGATCCTCGATCTGGCGTCCGGATTCTGTAGTCTCCGTTACTCTCGACGTACTGCAAGTCCAGGGTATCCCAGATGCCTCGTAGTTGTTCCGCGTCTTCTTTCCCCTTCCTTTTTCCTTTTTCCTTATCTTCTATCGTTCTCCGATCGAAGTGAAGTGCTTACTCGCAGATGACGCTCCGACCTCTCGGTGTCAACTGACTTCTGTTCGTTCCGCCTGGCTAATTATTTCATTTAATTGAGGTTCCTAGCTAGGAGGCGTCCACCCTACGGCGCTGCGTGTTGCGCCTGGCAATAGGTGGAATATACTCCAGAGAAGGCCAGTCTGTCCATGCAATGGCGACCTGCGCTCAATAGAGGCGCTCCGAATGCTCCGACTCGGCTTGGACGCACCTCGACCGCTCTCGAACTCGGCGAGCTCGCGACGGAAACCGCACTTCCGGAGCTCTGTAAAGTGGAGGAGAATCATGTTAGAATCGTGGGAATCGGAGAAAGAACGAGATTTGGGAAGCGCTGAGCTCTTAACAGAGTTTCTGAATGTTCCGTGGAAATTTCTCCTGAAATACTAGCTATCGGAGTCTCGCACGTTCCGGTCGGGAGCCGTCTCGTTCCCACCACTTCTCGAGACCTCTCAGCAGAACGACCCAGCGCGATCTTATTGCAACAGGTATAGATGGGAAACGCATTACGAGGCATCTCTGTCTGCAGTCTGCTCCAGAGCAGCGACCTTCGAGTCAAGCGCTCCCTGGGATGACGTCATCTCGCACGACATCGATTATTAGAGCTTTTGTAGAGGAATCGTCCGGCTGATCTACATTTTGAGAACAAGAGTAAAATTCTCGTTATCGGCACGATGTCGCGGTGTCGAAGACTTGCCGTTCGCCTCAATTGAGTGACATGAAGGCTTCGCTCAGGGGGTTTCCCCACATACTCGCAATCGCAAATATCTGCGGCGTCGATTTGACGTTTCATAAGAGTCGAAATTATGAATTTAACATTTCGCTCAGCGCGCTCAAAGGCTCAGAGACCGATCTATTCCTGAGCCACTCATTCTCGGGCATTCCGAAAATACCCTCTCGTAAGGGTATTAATAGCCGCGGTTGAAAATAACTTGGATCAACACTCTCGTAGCTCTTCTGATGGCCGCTGATCCACTCATTCAGCGTTCGGGCCTCAGCCCGGCCCCCCGCATACTCATTGAGACTGATAAACAGTCTTCATTAGCCTCTGCGAACTCGAACTCATCGTACACCGACGACGGCATGACCTCGTGTTTGGCATAGGCCGCTGTCCGGGCGGACCCTCGGCTGCATCGAACTCGGCGATCAACAGCGAGAAGACCCACGCCTTTCGCTGGAGGCGACACCAATGTGAGCGGAATCGCCACGGGATCTCCATGCGCGGGGCGCACTGTCTCCACGCTCGGCTCAATGTCTCTCTCGACTCTCGACTGAACACGAGTTACGTTATAACTCAATGGGCCGGACGACCACGCTTTTTTCCCGGCTCAAGTTCGCGAAGCCCCGGACTCCTGATTCCTATGACTGGACCAAGGCCGGAGTTGGGTTTCAATCGAAATGAAACCCGATTAACCTTCGCCAAACCCGAGTTTCGATGCTCTTAACAACCCGTCTGCCCGTTTAAAGGTCACTGAACAGACACACTTGGCATCAGGCGCCGAGCAGCTCGACGAGTGACACAGAGCAGAATAGCTCCGTGGAAGCCGTCTGGGGGAAAAAACTCCAATCCGTTTCTTCCCGCAGAAAAAACGTCTGAATCAAGTTGTCTCATAAAAATTGTCGGTAGCACTGACTGCTGCTACAGCTATCATGCCCCTCGGATGAAAGAAGAGAGTCCTTGGACTCGCGTCGAGAAACGGGAGCAGTGTCAATGTCTTTCGCGATAGCCGGTCAAGCAATAGGCGGATCAGCCCACGAAGACAATGTCGTATACTTATCTAAGCGCTCATGGGTTCGGCGTTTTACGATGGATTTACGTCATGGAGCGTGTGACAACACGTGAGATGACGTCTCTGTTCGACACGAGAGCTATCTCGACGATGGAATGCTAGCCGAACGGCTTCAAGTCGGGACAGCTACCCGATCAACTCGTGGCACTGGCAGTCGCTGCGACATTATATTGGCGACAGTGTGAACACTCCGAGGCTTCCCAATGGCTTGCTCCACGGTCCCTCGTCGGACTCTGCATCAGATGCTCCGCGCTCTCGTTCAGTCGGAGGAATGTGTTGACTGATGACCTCCTCCGCGGGTTCGCCAAGACATGGCGGTAACAATCGATGCCCCGCGACAGCTCCGCTCGAGGAGGGGGAAACAGAGGGATACGGAGACGAAAACGGGATTTTCCAGCGCTCGAAGCTGACTGGTCTGACCGACCGCTCGACTCCGAGGATCTTCCGGCACGGATGCAGAATTGTCCAAGGACTTCATCGGAGAGAAGCGCCTAGGGGTTCGCGGTGAGCTTACGAACTATACGGTGTTTCCATTGCTCCTTGTGTGAGCTGACTTCTCGGATCCTCGCCCGTTCGTCGTTGGTTTGAGCCCATCCGACGGATTGGGCATCCCGCCGCTCGCCCGCGTCGCGGACCGACTCGCTCGTAGGACATTTGGCTTCCGAGCTGATTAGCGATCCAAGTCTGCGGGGAATACGAATGCAGGCATCGCGCAACTGCTATTCTGGTTGAGAGTCCGAGCTGAAGGTTCTAGAAAGCCCCTCGTTGGTGTAGGATGACTCCTCCCAGGGCTAAACATAGCCTCCTTGTAGACTTACGGAACACGTTTGAGCCATTCGCTCCTTAGGACCGAAGAGCGACTGAGCCGAATTTCCCCGACCGGACTCTCTTGTTTTCGAGCGTTCTCGAGACCCTTCCTTTCATGACCAGATCTCTCGTCAAGCTGGAGCCATGGTCCGATCTGTCGGCGTTGGCTGATGAAGTTCCTCGTCGAGAAGTTATGGTGGCGTGCCGTTTCAAAGGCCGCTATCGCGTGACGGGGCATCGGAACTGTCCTCATGTTCGATCGTTAACTCGTGGCTCGATTTGAGGAGACGTGGAATCCGGACGAGTTCAGACGAGAGGAAGCGTGATACCATCCACGGGCTCGTCTGACATCCGCTTTTAATCGCTAGGACACCCCTACTTGTTTGATTGTGCGATTGCGGGCCGAAAAAAAAACGTGGGGATGCCTGGAAGCCCGGAAAGCGGGACGGATACAGAATTTCATCAGATTTCTGTTTTCCCAATTCCCATGCAGCAATTCTTCGCTGTTCTCGACAAGGATGGAGCCTCTCATCAGCTGCTGGAGTCCCCGAAGGGGCGATCGCTAGGAGGGACATTGCGAGTCGCAATACGATTCGAGTGAACATTTGGCGGAGAATTCGAGCCCAAGAGAAGTTTGGTGCTCATTCCCTCAGTATCGATGCTGGCGACCGGTAAATCGCAACGTCGATATCACGTTTCGCAGTTCTCGTCCTGCCGAGAACCGTGGGTCAGAGTTCCATGTCTGACTATTGGCACTGTATTATGCCCCTAGTCAAAGTCTGTGGGCTGTGGAATAAGGGCTGCAGCTCAACAATGTTCTCGTCGAAGACGGGAACACGTGTAGAATGTAGCAAAACAAGTCCTCCAGCTTCTACAGGTAGGTTCTTATTTCGACGACGATTCGGAATGTGCAGCCGACTGTAAAGATGTCATGAGGGCACACAGGACAGAGAAGGTTGCTCGTTCCTCTGGTTGGCGTTCTGGCCGTCGCGTCGGTCGAATCTGGCTCTGTCATTACGGCAGTACATAGCAGAGCGACGCGGCGCTAGAATTCATTGCAGAGTTGAAGGACGATTTGAAGATGTGGTTCGACATAGGCTACGCCGGGCATGAATCATCACCAGTGTCGAACGCTAAGGGAGCCGGTCTTATTGGACGAAGTCGTATTTCCGGTCACTGAGGTGAAACTGAACAAGGTGAGGTTACAGAGAAACCCCGGCGCTCTGTCCTTCCGACATAGAATGCATCGAACATGAAATAAATGAGCTAAGAATTGAGCGTCGAGTCGCACGCTGGAGAAGAGCGCTACGCTCAACGTCAGGAATAAAGTTATCCAAGACAATCTTATCCGCCTTGATTAATGTTCGTGCCACTTTTACCCGTCGAGATTGACAGTTTCACAGGTTCAGTTTTCCTTTTGACGTCTCCATCATCTGTTCTTCCCTCTTGTCTTTGCTCGACGTCCAGGTATCACGAGCGCAAAGCGCCATAGAGTCGAGTTCTAACAGACGTTTTCTAGATCACAATCCGCAGAAGACGACGTTTTTCGACTTGTCCCTTCCGAGAATGCTTCGTATTCGACGAATCGACTTTCAAGTTTACTTAGGTTTGGATCTGAATACAAGGTCCGACGTACACTCGAGAGGTCCGTCGAGCACTCGGTTTCATCCTGCGGCTTGAGCGACAGGCCGACAAGCAGGGACTTCAGATCGAGTGCCGAGAACAAAATAAGCCGAGCGTCCCGATGCAGCGCCAGCAAGCTCATTCGCAGACGATACATCACGGATATCACTCAGCATCCGAGACGGATCTCTATGCTCGGGGAAAACTCGAGTTAGACAAATAATTTGTACTGAAGCCGAGTCGACTGAAGACATGATTCGATTGTCGCGACAGACACAGGGAAAAAAGTTAAGGGATGCCCAGCTTTCGTGCCACATTGTCTACATCCCGGGGTTTCTTTCACGGCTCCCGTGGACTCGACTCGAGCCTCCGTTTCATGAGTTCCACTCCGTGATTCTCACTTCATTGAAATGCGGGTGGATGGTCCTAAAGTCCTAAAGGCTTCCGGGAGGACGCTTGCCTAATCGAGACATCCGTGCGAATGACTGCCGGTCATCTCGGCTTCAGAATCGTTCGAGTAAGAGACCGACATACTCACTCAGTGAGCGGAGACGCGAAGCGGAGAAGCAACGCCCCGCAGATCGACATCGGCAAGCGAAGGTCGGCAGCGCGGCCGCTCTCGTCGTTGTCTGTCGACTTCACTTCAACTCTTAATAAGTCGCTCCTGCCGCTCTCGCCGTCATGAAACGTCTAGATCGAGAATGAATGCTTCTCTGACAGCCGTTTAGCAACCTTCGAATATCAAGAAATGTCACCAACGAGCTGATGGAGACGTTCCAAGTACAAACGCGAGTATAGAGCAACGGCGACGCAAGCCCCGATAGCGAACAGGTTCACGAAAGTTCTCGAAAAACAGTAAACATGATGAGTCAGTTTTCTTGAGGTGAAGCAAGCGTAGGTGCCCGGCGAGCGTCCAGCGTTGGATAATGCCGACTGCCTCGAGCGAGGAGTCTCACTCCGCGTAATCAAGAAACGCTCGGAAGCAGACTATACAAGGTGAGAGCTCAGGGACTGCTTTCAGAGCGAGCGCCCGTCCCCGTGGAATCAGAGATCCGATGGAAATGCAGCGGCGATTTAAGCGGATTAACAATAGGTCTGGACGCGCATTCGGAATCGGTAATAATACCGCCGGACTTGCTAATAGATTTCCGAAGAATTCGTCACCGACGTGAAACTGGTAATGCCAGAGACCCGCGGGGATCGAGACATGTTTCCGAATATTGAATTCTCCTCCTCTGTTCCTCGGAGTCGTCCTCGGGAACCTTCCGGAATCTTTGTGATTTTGAAATACCCTCTGGAGAATCAGCTCCCATTTTGCCCTCCAGATACTCTCCGGAGAGATAGGGTCTTCAGAGGATGAAAGGAATCCTTTCGCCTCCGAATCCTTATACCATCGTGTGTCTATCGCTTGCGTGTCCCCTCGGATCGGGGCAGGAGTCTTGTTCTCGTTCTTCATCTGGTCAATGCTTACGTATGAGATTCCGATCAGGTTATGGAGCCGATCCGGAGGATTGATCGAATCGGTCGCGAGCACGCGGTCTTCTGGTAAAGGTTTCCTTCAATCGCACGCGCCTGTCGTTATAGTCGTTCTCCTCTGATCCATTCCCGTGCTAGGCGTCCAGATCGCCGAGACGGACTTACGAAACTCTTACGAAATACCAATTGATTCGGGTGCGGTTGGAAAGAGCTAGACAGACGCTTCCCTGCGTACGTCTCGTTTTCTGGCCGGATACCATTCTCGAAAACATTCTCGGCCTTATCCGCCTCCGAATATCGCCGTATCGGCATACAGCCAGCTGTTAGATCGCCATGTTTCGCGTCAGGGTGATGATCATGTTGGGACTTCCAGGTGACTCGCCCTGACTGAATATATCTGAATCCGTCCTCGGACTTCCTGTTTGTCCGATAAGGAAAAATTATTGCCCGCCAGTCTCAGCTCCTGTCTGACCTTTGCCCGCCCTTAGCTAACTGGTCTTTTGTAAGAGAATTTGAATTCCGGTTTCACGCGGATCCTTAGGAGCCTCAAGACGGCGCGGACGCTTATCGATTGACCCCTAGGAATTATCTTGAAGCGAAAACTTCCGAAAAACCAAGCATTCAGAGAAACGCATCGGTACACCGATCTCTGGATCTCTCGGAATATTTTGTCGATTTCCACCAAGAGCGATCAGACTGATTGATATGGATCAACTGCAAGCTGTAAACATCGGTCGAACGATCAATCGACAAGCCATTCTGAACGCCGTGTGCCGTTAGCGAAGACCAAGACGGGATCTAGCGCCATCCAGAATCGGAGAAGGTGAAGGCTGAACAAGGCCTGGAGACGGCCGGGAACCCGGAAGGTCGAATTGAATTTCGAGGACTCAGGGAAGTCGGAATTCGACGATGATCATGATGGTGTTTCAATGAAAGTTCCATCTGAAAGGCGACCGGGAGGCAGCCATCGTTCCCGAGAGGAGCCGACATCCGGCATCGACTCGGAGAAAATCACGAACTCATATCCTCAACAGCGAGTGATCCGCATCTGCATCGAATCTTCGAAGGGAAGAGTGTCGAAGAATGATGCGACGCGAAGTGAGACAATCTCACTGGATTCGATACGAGGGAGCGTCCAAGGAAGAGCCTAAGATGCTCGGAAAATGCGCATATCAAGTAGCTCTAGCTCTGGTCGAATAAAAAAAAACGAAAGAAGTCGACCTCGCCCGAATAAGTCGAGAATTCATCGACGTTCGTTGAAATGTCTCCCTGGTTACTCGATCACCTGCTCGCGAACACTACGACGACGCGGCGACGTCGTTTTCGGCTGCGCTCCAGGAGCCGATTTCCCGAAGAACTGAGCCTGCATGGACTCGAATGCAGTATTCCCCCTCATCTATTGCTGGATCACCATCACCATTTCGGCGAAATTCATCCGAAAGGTAAGCGTGATTCCACGGCCGAGAGGCCAGATTCACGGAGAGCTAAGGGATCACAGTAGCGAAAGAGGTGCAACATCCAGCATCTTATCTGCGCTCCTAGACTGTTGCTTCCATGGCTCCAGCAGAATCTAGAACCAGAATGCCGATCTCTGGAAAAATACTCTCGTCAGGGTCCAAGAGACTGACGTCGAGCTTAATCGGGGGAGCATCGTCTCCACGAGACTGAAATGTATAAGGATCGGCTGCTCGGGACTGGAGAGGCACGACTCTCTGTATACTAATGAGGAGAGCGAATCTTCTGTGACGCCCGTGTGCAGAGGATGAGTACCGAGTCAATGGATTGACAGCGGAGCCGTATCCAATCCGGGATGGTAGCCAGCAGTGAAATCAATAGGAAACCAACGCGGAAGGAACGAGGCGACAGATGGAACATCGGCGGTGTAGACGCCGTCGTCATGTTCCAGAGGTCCATCAAGACATTTCCGGGGAAGAGTTCCCCACTCAACATCTCCGCATCGAAGATGAATTGATTATTAGCGCGCAACCGATTTTCTTCCTATTTATTCTAAGCCCCTCAATGAGAGAAACACATTATAGGACGTCAGAGAACTCTCGGCAGATCCTGATAGCTGTTCATTCTCTGCACCGATCGGATCGCCCGTGCTCTCCTCAGCTGACTCAGCTCTCCGAGAGGTCTCCTTCAGATAAAAAAAAATCTATCATCATAAATTATAATCGTTTGAAGCTTCCGAGAGCCGAATCACCCGATATCACTAATCGCAAATCGTTCTCTTGAGCTTAAGATAACACTCTTCTAGAATCGATCGTTCGATATCGGGGAGCTTTAATGGCCGTGCGATCGTTTCGCGAATCAGCTGATAGCTCCTGGGTATCAGCTGTTCGACGATTCGGAGCTGCAATCCTGAGCAGGTTTCAGAAATTTTTATTTTCGACGGCTTTCCACGAGACATTATTCGATTCATGACGAGCGTCGCTTTGCCTATGGCCATAGAGCGATGATACGGAAGCCGTTCGCTCGCCTTCCACTCGTCACATATGTGACCGCGTTGCATCATTCCCGACCGATGCCGACCTCGCTCACCAACGGAGTAACTCTCGCTTTTCTCCGAATTTCGACGGTCCCGAGAGCGAAGATTGACTTCCGAAAAACAATCGCCATCATTCGAAAGCGCGAAGCTTCTATCGATTGAAGCACTGGCCTGCGACGCATGCGAATAATCTCACAAATTACCGAAAAAGAGAAAAACACACGGGTGAAAGCCTTGAGAAAGCAAGGGCACCCAGGCTTGAAGTCAGCAGAATTGAAGTCAACAGCAGCGACGACGACAGCGATCACCACCACCACCACCACAATGTCATCCACGACAACAAGCAGCCGCACAGCGGTCAGTGCGCTCCTCGTAATGAGAATACAGACAGTAAATGTATTTCCTTCTGGCGAAGCCGACCACAAATTAACGTTCTGTCCAACAGACTAGCAATGCTCCAAAAAGCCACTTCCGCAGCCAACGACTCAGACGAACCAATTGGCCAAGCCCGGCCGGAGCCGGATTCGAATGCGGCGTTGGGAATCCAGGAAAAAAGTTATAATCGGAGAATCAACTCGAAGATCTTTGTAGGAAAGAATCTGTCGACTGTACTTCTGCGAGCGCTCCTCCGCCGAGCCGAACCGAGCCTTCTCGAGTAAGCAAATCGCACACAGCTCCGAACGTTCGAATGTGGTCGAGTCTCGCAAGGACAGAATCCCTGGAACTCCGGTCGAACTCAAAATGCTCCGGTAACTTACCTTAAGAGAATTACAGTGGCACATTGAATATTGGTATCCAGGTGCGGCGATCCAGGTCTTCCCAAAACTAAGGAACAAGTCTTTTTCGCAAGCGGCAGATAGGCGAACAGGCGAACTCGCGAACAGGAGAATTACTCGGCGGCCTGAACGCTGGCTGCAGTTAGCTTCAATCAATCGACGGATCAAGCAAACGATCGGACTATTCACTTAGAACGAATGCACACCTCTCCGACGGCGTAACGAACAACGAGCTGTGACTATGGACGTTCTGCTGCTGCTGCTGCTAGCACAGCCACCAACCAAACTCACTCGCCCGAAATCTCTCTGCTTCAAAGAGGGGCAGGTTCCATCTTCAAGATGGCTGGCTCTCCGTTCAGCCGCCAGGGGTCGCTGTTTACAAACAAATGAATGGGTTCACCGGAAAGGTCTCGGGAGTAACCGGGGAAATACCGCTTGCGGAAACTCGTCATCGCGGGAAGTTTCGGGACATCGGGACACGGGGTCGAGACGGACCGGTGCAAGGCTCTGTCCGGGAACTTCATCAACAGATTGACACAACTGATTCTTCGGCGCGAGCTTGAAATTCGAAAAGTGGACTGGAGCCTTGTCGTGCGCGAATCGTTCGCGATCGCGCGGGAGTTCCGATTGTTCTCCGTATTTCGCAATGGAAGAAATCCGTCCGCTCCAGTAACGGATCTCTCAGCCTTTTCCGGCGTCGTCAGATTTTCTTAATATGGGATTGAGGATATATTCGTCCGACCGTTCCCGTACTCCTGATCTCGACCCCGCCTCTCAACTCTAGGTCACCTCGTCAGAGGAGTCGTTGTCGAGACCTGGGCATTTAAACATGCTGCCGAGATTATTTAGGGAGTGCCGCCGACGCAGGTCGTTCTCCGCGTGGTGCTCCTCTCGCGGCTCGCGGCCGATCTCGCATGATATTCGTACCCCGTTCCGCGTTCCCTGTTTTTGCCTTCCGACAAATAGTGCCGATCACAACATAGCTCACTGATTCGCGCACGAGACTGTGGATTCGGTCCGGTTGCATTAGGGGTGCCAAGGTAAGTCGGGATGCCTCTATGTTTCGAATGCAATGTGAGTCCTCCCTGCATCCCCAAGCTCACCGGCGAGGTCCGCGGTCACCAACCCAGCTCTAGACCCCGAACCTTCCGAGAGGCGGGCTTGAGACACCCGCTGTGGTACATCATCAAATTTTATTCACAGATGTTCGCGGCCTCCGTCCTCAGACGGGTAGCCAGCCCAAACTGTTACCACGTCAGAACGTTGATCGTCTTGAAACGGAGTCACCCCTTGCGACAACCGCAGGTTAGTGCGGATCGTGAGCAGTAGTGTAGTGGGAAATCAGCGGTAGGATCGTGGATCATCGACCAGCTCGATTCGGGGTTCAGAGCTCGTCGATCCTGATTCTCTCCTCATGCTATTATTGGCCTAAAGTCGAACCAGTTCCCGTAACCGAGAGCCTCCCACGATTACAGGTAGGGGAAGCCCACAAGAATCTCCAAACGAAGAGAATGCGAACCTACGAACTTGTTCCACTGACCGAGGAAGAAAAACCAAAAACGATCAAGGTTGTGTTGAAAGAACTAGTCGAGGGTAAGTTGAGGAAGATCGATCGGGTGGTTCCGGGCGCGGGGACGACGCACACATAGGACTCGTGCTAGGTTTCGCCGAATTCGCCGTGCTCAAGGAATTTGTTTGCAGGTTACGGCGCAGTCGGAGATGTGATCGAAGTGCCGCGGAACTTTGGTCGATTCGAGCTCATTGTGCCCGGGAGAGCTTCGTATGCCTCGCCCGAAGCCCTGAAATGGGCTGAGACGCTCCAGGAGCGGGGGATCGAAGTCGTGCGCTTTACATCGAAAACATCGCCGGGGACGATCCGCTATCTGAGGAGTCGAGTCTATGCTCTCAGTAAGTGTTATGACCTGTTTGTGTGCTTCCACGATCAGAATCCTGGGACCTGCCCCTTCCAGTATTCGGGTCTCCTCACATTGAAGGAGAATCCTTCTCGTCAAGCACCTGTCGAGGAGCGCGAAGAATATGTGGAATGCTGATGATGCTGGATTCTAGCGGATTATTTTTCCCTACAGTCATGAGCGAGAAAAATCCGTGGACTCTGGAGGTATGGCATGTACGCAGCCACTTACGATCTCAAGGATTGGTGGTGCCTGAAGAAGCCATAGTTCTCCCGGATAAGCCGATCAACCATAACGATGGGGTTAGTGATCGAGACTTCCTCTGAAGCGAGTCAGCATCTCGATGATCGCATGCTGATCTGTATCTTATTGTTAATGAGACCTCTCGGGAATGCTCATCTGCTTCGACAAATGCCCTGAATGCCCTCAGCGGTGACTCACGGAAATTTTCATTGACTAGGTCTTCGGCAAAGATATCATCATAACTATTAAGATCAATGGCAAGGACGAGGCTCGGTGCAGACTCAGATTTAGGCCTGCCGAGGAACTTCTTGTGAGTAGCCCCTCGTTCAATCATTCCAAGTCGGTCGATTTCCGTGGTCCTCGACTTTCTTCGCGACTCATCGAGAGGTCAATAAGGCCAGGGATACGCACAAGCGGGAAACCATTCCTTCCGATTATTGGGTGTGCTCAGATATCCTGAAATCTTCCGTTTTCCGCAGAGTCCCGCGACTCAGTTGCAAGAGGTGGAGCAACCGTGGTACATCGACACGCCGACGGCTCTCTTCGAGTCCCAGGCCGCTGAGATCAACCAAATGCACGACGAGGTGATGGCAATCTTCCAGAAGCGAATCGAAGCTATCCGAAGTGAGGGATTGCGCTCCATTGCCGATTTGAACGTACGAGCCATTTTCTAGATACTCGGAGCACCTCCGGAGCTAGTTATTCTTCTTTATTGAAAAATAAATAATTTTTCCCCTAATGTGCTCTTGACGTCCGAAGGGAATCGAGCTAAGAATGTCATGAATAATTTCCCGATCAAGTTCACCAGAATGTTTGCGTCGAGTTCCCGCAAAATTGATTGTCCACCTTGAGGAAGTCGGATTTCGCTAATTTTAGTCTCTTCAGATCGTGCTTAATCGTCGTAGCGAAAGGCGCCTGACTGTCCCCGGTCAACAGGATCATGTATGATTCTGGAAAGCATAGGGGAGCGCGCACGTGAGCGTACGGGGCTATTCATTGAGACACACACCACGACGTCCAACAATAACTCATACTGCTAAGCTTAGGTATCTGTGATCGGCATCCAACCCAGCGAGCAACGCACCCACTTCGTCTTCCTTCATCCAGAGCAAGGTATAATTCTCGTAGTCGGAGCTTATGACAGCCGCCTCGAACAGTTCGGAGTCGTGATTCTCGAGGAAAAGACGTGCCGCAAGTGAGCCGTCATCCTTCACGGCCATCTCAATCCTCGAGCTTTCGTCCCTGGATGCACCGTGGACAGGAATATGGAATCTTACATCGAATGAAGTTCTAGAGCTACGTGCACACATACATAGCTACATAGTGTGTCTGTTCGCACAGACGTCCAATTCAGAGTGACGGAATCTTCTCTTGGAACTTCGGCTGGCCGCGGCTACTCACGAACTATTGTTGGAGAGCATGTACATAGTGAAGTGCTGATACTCGTCCCGGAATTTTATGAATGCACATTTGGCACCGAGTCCGAATACCGAGCTCGTGTAAGAGTCTACCTTCCACACCTGGCCTCTGGCTAACTGCAGGGATCATTCAGAAAAAATGAAAAATGTCTCTCTAAGATTATCTTGAGGGAGGATGGGATTTGAGCGTCTCGGATCTCATCATGCGGCGAGCAGTAAGAGTTTCTCTTGCGATAATCATCAAACAATGTCGACAAGGAGGCTTTGAATGCGCGGAAGCTTCACCGTACCTTTTTCAGCTCAAATCCATTCATGAAGAACATTGGGTCTGACAGCGCGACCCATGCCAAAGTTGACGCTGCAAAAATTCCACGGACGAGAGCGGGCATCATTCGCGCACCGCAGACTGTGGAGTCTGTGCAGCTTTTTCAATAAGCCGGAGATGAACAGCTTTGCTGGCGATTCAATTCCGTGGTCCTGATCAGAAGTTTACTCTCAGTGCTACGTGACTTAGAAGCTGTCGTTGCGGCAATTTCGCCTCCACAAATCAGACTCCGCGAAAACCTTGAATTATTCACCAAGAAGCTTAAGATCGCTCACGGTAAGCAAGAAAACGGGTGACATTCCATTTATTAAGAAGAAAACGAGTGGGTCGAAGAATCGAAACCTAGTGTTCCAGAGCCAGCGCGCCTCCAGAGGACACCCTCAGCCGAGGTTGCTCGAATCATCGGTCTCCATCATGACGTTCCATCGACCACAACGTATTCGAATATCTGATGCTGGGAATCATATACGGCATTTTCCCCGAATTTTTTTGCCCCTCAAAAGCCTCTTATGGAGGATCACCTGGAAACCTGAAGATACCGTGGACATTCACCGTTTCAGCGCGGCCGCGCTGAATTCTCAAGCCTACGAACACCTTTCCGAAAGCAGAGTCATCACGCGAAAAATATTTTCCTGATGGGTCAAAGCTCAGCTTTTCAATGAAACGGAAGGCTCATCCAGGCTCAGCCTCAATTCATATCTTGGACGATTTTTGTAGGATATTCACAGGTCTATTCGCAATTCGTTCTGTTTTCCTCTTCACTAGCTGTCTCTCGTGAGCGTAATCGGACCGATTACCGATCGAGGGAGTCGAGGACCCATCGGCGGGGCCGAGAACGAGCAATAATTCCTTGGGCAAGTGTCATCATCATTTTTGCAGATAAAAGGATGGAAAGGTTCCCGGAATCGATCTCGTTGTCAGCTCAAGTGATGAGACGTCATATCTCACATTCGGATACTCAATAATTCTCTTCGCTGAGCGAGGGTGCTCGAAGCTCCGTTATTTCCGGAGATAAACGTTCGATTGAGGGCTCATCGTCCGGTAGGGTTTCCAACATCATCAATAGCGAGATTGATGCCATGGTAATTTCGAGAATGCATTCGATCCGCTCCTCCCGAACCCTCTAGAATCGGCCGTTCAACTGAAGGCGCTCTGTGATTCTATATCGGCGACGCCGACGTGACTACAGATCTCAAATATACGCAAGCTGTTTCCATTTCGAGCGGTCGCTAATCCCGCTGCTTCCGATCACTTTGAGGCTGGAAAGCTTCGGGAGCTCTAATTGAACATCGGTTTCAGAGCTTGCTTCGCTCTCTGAGAAATGAGCAACTCCCAAGGAGACACGGGACTTTTACAGATGATCGAAATTGGTTTTCTCGAGCACATTTGTTGAAAGATGAAGGCTTCTGCCATTGTGGGAGCTCGCACGCACATTCCTGCTCAACCTAATGACTATCTGTCTGCCTCGCTGACAGTGGCATCAACAATATCGACAGTCACTGCTCCTAGCGCTACAAAAAGCTCGAGACTCAATGTTGAAAATCCAACTCGAACGAGGCAACGAACGAGGAACAGCGAGAGCGGCGCGGTGGAAACAGCGAGTGAAAAATCAATGAAACGGAGTTAATCCATTATTATGATGCGTCCGGTCACGACGGAGCGCTCGGGCGAATGTTCTTTTCCCTCATTTTTTAGCGAGTTTCTCCCTCATCCCGAGATCGCGTGCTCGAATCCATCCATTCATGAACCGCAGGCGAGCAATGAGCTAATTGTCAGTCGACAGGGTAAGGATTGAAGGCATTCATTCATGGTTTGGCTCTTCGGGAGCATCGCGCATCCTCCTGTCAAGGTTTCGCGTAAAACTCGGCGCGTCCGTCGGCCTTCGGGAGGCCCTTTATAGGAGGGTCCTTCCTGTTCCAAGCTCGGCGGAACACCTAAACTTATTCGCGAGAGGATCTCGTCTGTATTGTCCCTCCCAGCCTAGGGATTCGGAGAGTGCGAGGAACCTCCACCGTGCCCATCGCGATCTTTCTCTCGTGCGAGACGAGGGAGCGGTCAGCCTGAGTCCCGGCTAACTGCTGAGATGCCTTTTTTTCTAGGGGCAAGAGCGGAAAACAGGGGCATCGAGAGGCGGCACGCGGAGCTCGCGGGCCATATATACTGTTATTAACTCGAGCCTAATGGTCTTCATGGGAACGCGGATCATCGTTGTCGGTCTCCGTTCCCAGGATGATTTCGATCTCGAACTATACAGCATATTTCCGAATCACTCGAGAGCAAAGGTTAGGGAGGCAGGATGGACCCAGAATCTGGAGTGCACTATCTTGAATTCAGCGGATGCACCGCTCAATTGCACGAAAAAATCAGAATCATCCGGGGATTCTACTCGGGCGAAGGAACGGCAGAGAGACTGTTTTCAGGGCAAAGTCCCGGCTCGAACACCTGCAGATTGAGGCTCGAGTTTGTTTCGTTGAAGATTCGTCTAATAAACTGATAACCCAATATCGGGAGGGAGGACGCTATTTTCAGAAGTCCGAGTCGAGGCGAGCTCTTGTGAAAAGGTCAGGCGAGAAGTCGGGTGACGTTGTAACATTTTCTCTTTCGAGCGGAAGACGATAGCTGTGTCTAGTTCACGGCTTGGAGAATCAGAATCTTCCCACCCACGTGTCTCCCTGTGCGTCGCCGGGTGATTTCGTGAAACTTGAGAACCCTGAGGTCTGCTACCTCCGTATTCCTGGAATTCGATCTGCAAGGAGAAGGAAGGGCGCGGTGAGTTTTTCGAGAGGAAATTATGAAGAGAATACTCTCGCTCGACCGCAAACGATGCTCTCGATCGAAAGTTAGTCGAGTTATCGGCATAGATTCCTCTTTTTCTGTGCCGTATGGGTTTTCTCGGCTCTACCTCTTGATTCGTGGGTTCCACCCGCTCGGGCCGTGGCGAGTCTAGCGTGTGAACTCCGGCATCTGTCCGTTCCGCTAGCTGGCTAGCTGGCTAGCAAGATTGATACGAGCTCATCAGGAGCAAATCGGTACGGAGAATCGGAAGCCTTGCCAGGCGAAACTCCGAGGTCAGTCAGACCACCTCCATCTGTTTCCATCTCGCTAGCTTTCACCCACAGCTATCGGCCGATCAACCTGACCGCGCATTTCAGCAAATCAGTTCGAATTTCGGTCTCTGTTGATTTAGATTTCGCCCTCCCTCACCCTTCCGGAATTTCCCCCTGATTCCGAGGGATTTATCGGAGTGGGTATGTGTGAATGAGGAGAATTGGGTGCTTGAGATACGTTCAGGAGATGAAGGATTCTGCCCCTGAGCAACTCGAGAGCGAAATCCTCCGACGGATGAAATCGCCGGCTGAGCTCATTCAACGGCCTGAATTCAGCCATTCGGACTTTGAGGGGCGACGAGCTTCTTCAGCGCCCAAGCTCATCTCCGGGATAGTCAGATGGTGCGAGTCCTTTTTTAGCTAGATTTCGAAAAGCGTACTTCTCAATCATTTAGAGGTTCTGAATGAATCGGTTCAATGAGAATAATCACTCTGATTCACACCGACTGCTGCTACGAGAGGGAAAAACTCCGAATTAAAGGCACTGAGGGGCACTGCGGCCACTTCGATCTGCGAACACTCCCAATCCCGTTCGACTTGCCGGAATGCCTTCGTAGATATCATTGCTACCGGCAACAGCAGCAGCAGCAACAAGCTTGGCAATGAGTGAGGCAATGAACAAAGAATTTTAAGCTATCGAAACTCGGGTTGTTCGAGGGCCAGAAGAATTCGTCTCTTTCTCGAAGAGATGTCTTCGTCAGAGTTCATCGGCGTCAAGGGCGACTTTTGGTGGATGCGATTCTCTCCCGCGTGGTCCTCTCTGTGTTGGGGATATTCATTGTTAATGATTTTCTTAGACAGCTCGCCAAACAAAGGTTCCGTCC